ATTGAATGTTTGATAAAATTCATTACGTGACTAACTAAGCCATTTGTTAGTTCTTATCGTGTATGTGCATATAGCGCAAAAAAAGGAAAACGAATCCTACCTGAAGATGACCAAATGATGAGGATGTAGATGGTCAGAAGAATATAGTAGTAAAAGAGAGAAGAGGAGATACGGATAGCTAGACGGAAAGAGCGAAAGATGAACTGAACTGTTCCAATATACTAGAGGGAAACAAAAGTGGAAAAAATAGAGAGAGAGAAAAAGGAGCAGAACGAAAAGGAACCTGGTGTGCGAAAATCACGAAAATATCAGGAGAGGGAGGGGTATATGGAAGATTGATCACGAGCAATGATCAAGTAAGTTACCGGTAATTTAGTAATATCTGTTATCGCTAACATTGCCATGATGAAAAACTAATACATCTTCTTTCTATAATGTTCAGTACAAAAGTACAAAGAATTTTTACTTCAACTGATGCTTGATCGCTGATAAAATCTCGTGCCAAAAATGTATAATGAGAACCAACAATCAATAAGTCGTTATCATTACGTTTTAATCGATTATAAAAATAAATCAGTGCTGACAAACACAAATAACGATCTGCCAGTGGTGCAACTAAAGTCATAACTGTAAAGGATCTACAGGTGCATATCCATCATTATGACAAATGGAAAGACATAGTTATAGTGCCTTAAAGCATGATGTTTATTCGACGAAGTACTACATCCAAATGTAACTATTTATTATACAACACGATCTTATATACTAAAGAGAGAAAGAGAGAACATGAAACGATAGAACTAGCTAAAAAAAAGAAAGAGAAGGAGAGAGATGAAAAGATATAAGGGGTGTCATTCAAAAAGACGTCCGTCACTTCTGTTGGTATAGGGTGATGAACAGCATTGTATGTTCTTTTTTTCTCTCTTATGATAAAACTGTGTGAGAATATAGCAGAAGGATGAATCTTTATTTTCATATTTAAATAAGTTTTATGTGGACTTTAACGAAGTTAAGTCTTAACTTGGTAGAAGCTAGTCAATAAATTCTACAAAAACAAATTGATTTTTTATTTATGGATATCTTGAGAGAATGCAGGTAAACGATTATATCTTTAGAAATGAAGAATAATCAATTACTCTTTTTCTTATTTATATAATATACAAGAAAGAAAGTAACATCTCCAAATCCATATGTTTTCATGATGTTAAAATAAAGCTGTTTTTGGAAGCATTCTATCTTTCATTAGTTTACTTATCGACTATAAGTAATTGAATAATCGATTTATTGAAAATATCTATATTTTCAATTATCTTATGGTTCTTAATTCGCATAATATAAATCAATTAAAATTTGATTCATTACTAAAATAGTTTATTATAGAAAAAAAAAATTGTGAGAAATGATTTACATGGTGATACAAATAATGATTTTTTTTACAAGCATTAAAACATTTATTGAATACTGTTCGTATAAATAAATAATGAAGAATATCTCATTTAGTATAAAAATGAAATACACAAGTCATCAAAAGCAAATTCCGTTCCGGTCTGAGCGTATCCAGAATGTGGTGTTCCACCTGTTGTCGAGAAAATAAGTGTATCCAAGTTAGTACAACCACCATAACATGAAATAGTTGTTTGATTACCCACTTGAAGCAGAAAAGTAGCATGTATCTCATAAACACCAGATCGATAGGCATCGATAGTCCATTGTAGATTATCTCGCCAGACAGATCCCACCACCACTGAATCAAAAGAAAAATGTGTACCATTGACTGCTGCTATTATAACTTGTGCTCCTCCTGGATTATAAGCAACATAAGGTTGTGAAATAACAGCATTTTGATAACCAGAATTTGACGTTGTTGATACATTGATGTATGAAGTACTTGTCCAATTGAGATTGTCATATCCATTAGGAATAACACCTGATGTAGATGTTTGACCAGGAATATCATCAAATGTAACGCGTGTTGTGCAATCTAATAATAAAATGAAAAGAATAAGTGAATTCTAAATATATTATTCACGATAATAGAACTTACAAGGTTTTGTAGTAGTCGTAGTTGTTGTTGTTGTAGTTGTTTTTGATGTTGTTGTTGTAGCGGTTGTAGTAGTAGCAGTAGTTGCTGTAACTGTTGTTACGGAAGTTGTTGAACTAGTCGAAGAAGTTGAACTTGTCGATGAAGTGCTTGTTGATTTTGTTGTTGAAGTAGTAGTAGAACTTGAGCTAGTACTAGTAGTAGAGCTTGCACTTGTGCTCGTTGTCGAAGTGCCGGTTGTTTGTGTAACAGCGTTAGCTGAAAGATCTGTTGTTCCGTCTAAAAATGCAAATATAGAAGCATTCAAAGAAGACTGATATAATTGGAATTTTGATAGTGCGAACAAAGAATTACATTTGCTTGTTACATGATCAAAATAGTATCTATTATTTACCTGAATCAGATACATAAAGTGAAAGAATCGTTGCAAAAACAACTCCCATAGTCAATGCACCAGCTAGAAGACCAAGCAAAAGAGGAGCTGAACATGGACAACAACAGTTTAAACTAAATTAGAATACTTGAATAGAAAATTAAGAAGAACAAAATAATATGAATAATACTTCGTAAAAGCTGTTCTAAGTCGTCTAGATCGATTTTGTCGTCGTTCATCTTCGTTGTCCTTTTCATTTGTTTTATAATTACTTCCATTAACGCGAGCAGACTCAGTATCCCATTCATTATACTTTATCGGCAACTCTGACATAATGATACCGAGATGAACAAGATCGACGAAATAATATATGTTCTCAACTGATAAATCAAAAATAAATTTATATCAACTATTTCTTTCTTTAGTTTGTCTATTTATATAGAGCTCGCGTTCGCTTGCATTCATTATTCAGGATAAAAAACAAATGTCCTGCTTATGGCTTTATTCGATATATCTTTTGAAAAGAACTCGGACATATGGCTTCTATTTTACATTAAACTAATGTTCGTCCTAAGATTGTAATCTATACAATTAGAAATTATTAAGAAATATACCTAGTATCCGATATAAAATCATAAATCTTAGATTTATTTGTATACTTGTATTAGATACGATCAAGTTTTACATCCTATAGGAACTGTTTGTTATTTAATTTTGATCTTTTCAATAACAATACTTTGAAAAAAATAAACAAGTTGATTTATCTGGCTTTCTTTCTCTATTTCTTTTGATTATTTACATGTATGTTTAGCTGTAAATGTATTGAGTATTGCACGTGATTGATAAAATATTGTAATGAAAGTACATTCTAAATTTATACAAATGTTCCTGTGTAGATCGTATGTCTTTATTTATTTTAATTTTAAAAAACAATTACCTACTCGAGTTTATGTACATTTCTCATTTACTTTATTATTATTTTATTATGATGACAAAATAAATATATGTATAACAAATTTGTTTAGTCATGCAAAAGATTCGTCTGTATATTGTAGAAAAGTAGAGTAAAAATTTGAACTTATATCAGTAAACAATAAAACTTTACGTAAAGAAATTTCAAATAATTATCATCATAAAATATTATAAACAAAATAAAAGATTTTATTATATAATTTAAACATTTCGATTCAGAGTCTATTCTCTGAGTTTTAAAGAGAAGTGACTCTTCTTCTCTGTAATATAAACTCGTCCAATGAACGTATACTTGTCGTATCTTCTTTCCTCCAAATTTATCACACGAAATGCTTGCCTATGATAACGTTGACACATGATTGAAGAATAAATTTACTTTGGTAGTCATGCGATAAATGAAGACAATAAAATGATTTCTTATTAACAAATAAATAATAGAAAAACTATGTCTTGTTTATTTACATTTCAATGCACTTTATTGTCATTTGTACGAATTCTAGTCACGAATCTTAAATATTTGCTTTTCTTTACGAATACAAAATTGAATTTTTCTGACGTAAACAATACAGTTATAGGTTTCTTTATACAGCTTCAAAAAATACTTATAATAAACACAAATTTCAAGTACTTTTTATGCAGAGAAATAATTAAAGGAAAAAAGAAGCAAGTGTGTGTGATTTTCGTAATCATATTAAGTCAAGCAAGAAATTATCTATATGATATAAACAGAATAGATTTTTGATGTTTGCGAGATTAAACTAAGGCTTATTAGTCCGATAAAGACTCATTCAAATAGAATCTTTGTACTTTCCGTATAATAAAAGTACAATTGAGCAGCTTACTCGACAGGCATAATAATCACGTTTGTAATAAGTTATATTATTTGTTCAGTTTCATGGTTTCACATTTGTTAACAAATACATATTCAATAGAATCAGTAAAACAGAAGAAATTGCTTACATTCTTTATTTTTTATATCATAGACATAACAATTCATAAGTATGAATTGAAATTTAAAACAATATTGATAAAAAGTACGATCGTAAACGCGATTGTATGTATATCCATATTCTTACAACTACAAACATATTTGTTAATATGGAAATATTAACATTATTGAAACTCTATATTAAAATGAATTTCTGTAAACGATTTCATAACATAACTTACCTCTTTTTGTAATATTATTTTTTTTATAACTTTAGTATTCAATTTTTGTTTTTCAATAGACTGATTATGGAAAAAACTAATAGGTAGAGGTGATTCGAAAAAGCTTCTTAGTAAATGCAAATTCAAAACGAAAATATTTCTATATGAAAACTATGCTGGAATGGTATATCTATATAAAAAAGTTACAAAAAATAGCTCGTTGAGTAAAAATTTCAAGCCATAACTCTAGTTTGTCATTGAATTATTGACTTTTATAATAACGTTCAAAAATAACTTTTTAGATAATCTTGTATATTGAGAGTGGTTTCCTTCATTTTCATAAACGTAAGAAGATTGTTGTATTATACAATCTATAGAGATATATCGAATCAGTTATTTTCATCTTGATTTTTCAATCGATTGTAAAACCGCGCTCAATCATTCGCAAAGTTTTTGAAGGTCCATTCTTTAAATATCGATGTTTTCGTTAGAAAACAAACTCAAGTTCAACAAGTTAATTTATAGTAATTTTTCGTTTTACGATACCGTCTATTTGCAAATCAATGACTATAAGAAAATTATTAATTGATGAATAATCGTTTGTCATGATCTTCTTTCAATTTCAACGAATCAGATTTATTTCTATTACCTCTGTTGAAGAGCACATACTTATTTTGGACGGAATACACCATATTTTTTTTCATCTATAAAATCTTTGTATACAATGAAAATTGCCGACGTTTTTTTTTCTTGCGTTCTTTTTCTTCTTCATTCTGCTACACATTAACATATGCAAATGAATGAGTAAACGGTGGTTTTTTCCTCTCTCTACCATTTTATCGTGTGATCGAAGTGAAGCCATAAGAAAATAAGATGCGCACTGGTATGGTTGGTCGTGCTGCTCCATGTTTGGTACATGCGTGTACTATTACAAATAAATCGAATGGTAGTGTCTATGTACGAGTTTTATATGAACCAGTACGCAAACAGGACGATGATATACATGAACGACGTGTAGAATTCGAACTAGCAAAAAGTGCTCAAACACAAGTTGAGGAAGCAGAATTCGACATGGGTTCGTATCAAATGCGTGAAGCAATTCGAACAATTGAAGTTACTCGAGCAAATGGACAAACACAAGAGATCAATGCTCCATTTGACAATGTTAACGGTGTTGAACTTGATTGGCTCTTTATTATTGAAGATAGAAATATTAAATCAATTCAACCAAACAGCCATTAATACATTACTTAACTCTTCATCTTTATATCTACGTAGATAGCTCAATGGATTAGCCAATTCATGATGATTGTATCTTTCTTGTATTTGATCTCAAAACTTTATTGTTTTTTTTTCACACATTTTTCTATTAACTGTCTTCTAGACGACATATTATATTCCATTGCATAGATATAGTTTCAATGTGAATCAGCAATATTTCTTTGAAACAAATATAATCTTCATATACTCCAGTACTTAGTAAATCGAATATTAAACAATTCTTTTTCTAAAAATTATTTAATAAAATATCAATTTAACTGTTAGACATGTGAAGATTTTTAAAAGTTTTAAAATAAAATATTTATTATAAACTTTTTGTATATGTATATTGTAAAATATAAATTATTTTTTAAGAAAATCTGGTCTAATTATTGTGATATGATCTTATTTTGAAAGAAAAAGAAATAAAACTAGCAGCATTATAATTCAATCTATTGAAACAACAGTTATATATACACAATATAACTATATAGCTCTGTGAATATCGTCTTCTATCCTATTATACATCTAGATCATATTCAAGTTGCTTTCATTAAATAATACTTTTATAATTTGTCGCTATTGACTTCTTTGAACAATAGTACTTTTTGTTATTTCATATTGAATTCTACAAACAGTTAAATCAATCTATAATATTGTTGGTTCTGATTTTTTTGTCTATCTAAGAACACAATTAATAAGAAAATCGAAAATGACATGTCATGAACATCTTCATTAGTAAATACTTGTATCATATTTGCATGATCTTAATACGAAGAATTATTAGCAGCATGTAGAGAATGGATGTAATGATAATGAATTTTAATACCAAAATTACCAATGTATCTTATATACTATGTAATTGTTTCCCACGATGTAAAAAAACTGAAGAAACGAATCATAAAAGAAGAAAACCGAAGGTTTTCAATATTCATTTTATGAAAATCTGATATTTATTGCTACAAAAATAGTATTTTTAATGCTTTCAATTGTAAAACCATATAATCAGACGAAAAATTAGGTGATGAATGCTTTTAATAATTGTTTTAAATTTCCACAGGATTGATCATAAATTTCAGATTTTGTTAATCTGCGATATGGATACAAATCTAAAAATCGATCGTTTCGCAGATATGGAGGAACATATTTCCAGGACGCATTGTTTTTGCAGAATTCCACGCCATGATTTAGATCATACAAATGAAGCCGGTTTATTTTATCATGAGAATTTTTAATTTTTATACAGAGAAAGTCTATGTTAACCTGTTGATAATATGTTCTCATACGGTGATACAAAACGTATTAGTTCTTTGTGGAGAAAGTATTGCTCTAATAGTACATCATATTCCTTTCAGATGTGTAGTTGAGTTAATGAGAGAAAATAATGTAAAAAGAAACGATTTAGATAGACCCAGAAATTATTTTTTTATGATTGTCAAAAATAAAAAATAATTCACTTTTATTTCATGCTTAATTAATGTCAACGACGATATTGATAAATTAGTTTTAACTACATAATTATATACAGAATTATAAGTAACTTATGTAAAACATGAAAATCGCATTCAGTTGTTGTATGAAACATATTTATTTATTATCAAATATCCGTTATAAATTATTAGTCATCCTGTTGCCGTTTATACTAAATGAAAAGAATTGTTTCTTCCAGTCGTAAAATAAAAAAATACAATTTTTCGATTATTCCATCCAAAATTCACATTTTAAAGAATAAATAAGAGACACAACCTGTTAAATATTTTGTATAAATAACATTCATTGTTTATTTTTGTCGTTGGTTTGTAGTCTCTACATACCTCACATAAATAGTTAAATGTCGATGCAAAATAATTATTTTGATGTATACGTATTTTTTTCTTTCTTTCTTTCTATTGGATTCTTTTTTTTTTTAAGTAATTACCTTACATTATATTTGCGCAAGGCTGAGTTTCATTATTAATGTAAGAAAAAATACCGATCGACAGGCAATCATTATACAAAAAAAAAATGGAGACAAATATTCAATCGAAGATAGAAAATCGTGCTAAGAAAATGTATATATCTTATGCTTTGGTTATCATTTGTTTATTTGATTGGTTTTATAAATTCTTTCGAATATTAATTGGCTTAGATTTTCTAAGTATCTTTCAATATTTTTCATATATTATTCATTTATGGCAAATCAATACTATTATAACAACATTAATTATTGGTATATGTTTATTAGGAATACCAAAATTTATTTCGTCTCTACAAAAAAGTTTCGATGTTATAAAAAAAGCTTTAAAATCAATCATGAAAAATTCAATTATCATTGATATACCACTTGTTCTATATCTATTGATTATTATTTTTAAATTTTATTATTTAATATTAACATGTATAAATAATGATATTAAAAATGATCAATCAGATTCTGACATAACAATAAATATTGCATATTGGAAAGAAATTCGTCAAAGTTTAACTCTTTATCGTTATTCAACTTTAATAACTATTATTCTCTTTTGTCTTGGTATTTATACAGTAGTTACTAATCAATTAACATATCAGTTATCGAAACGAATTCTATCAATATTTGCAAAACAAATAAAAATTATTCAAAGATTTCTTTTCATGACAATTCCAACACCATTGTCCATGCTAAGTTTATTATTATTGAATACAACAGTTCAATTATTTCCAAATATATCTTGTGGAATGTATAATATTTTAACAAATCGTTCAATTATATACTTTATTATTATATTAATATGTTTAAATCAATTTTATAAATGGTTATGGCCTTCATCAAAGTTTAAGGTAGATTTTACTGGTGATATTTATTTAAATGATGTCTCACGATTAAATGAAACAAGAATTTTCTCATTATTTTATCCTCGAACATTAAATGATATTGAATATTTAATATCAAAAGCTCGAAATGAAGGTAAAACAATATCTATTCGTGGACAAGCACATACAATGGGTGGACAAACATTACCATCACGAAAAGGAAATCGAATGAATTATGTTTGTGATTTAAAATATATGAATCGTGTTGAATATAATGAATCAACAAAAGAAGTTTTAGTTGAAGCTGGTGCAACATGGACACATGTTATAAAAAAACTTAATATATATGGTCGATCACCTGTCATCATGCAGAGTTATTGTACATTTAGTGTAGCAGGAACAATTTCAGTTAATGCACATGGTATTACTTCTGATCATGCAATGTATGAATCAGTTATTAGTATTGAATATATGGATATGAATGGAAAAAGAGGTGAATGTAATCGAGAAAAAGAATCGGAATTATTTTCTTTAATGATTGGAGGATATGGTCTTTTTGGAATAATTACTCGATTAAGATTAAAAACAGTGTCGAATATTAAAACTTCACTGGAATATATTCGATTACAGGTAATTTTTTTTCTGTCAATATTGAATATTTATTTTATGTCTTAATCTTATAATTTAGTCGGATCATTTTTCAACATACTATGAGAATTTTCTTGATGATTCAACAATTGAAATAAAAATTGCACGTGTAGATCTTGTTCGTCCAAATAATATTTTAATGTTTGTATTTCGTCAAGAATCAGGTACATCAGGTACTGTTGCTGATTTAAGTGATGAAGCACGTGTTATGCATCCACGTCAACATTTAATTTATACATATCTTGCTCAACGTAGTCTATTTCGTCGTATACGTTTTGCATTGGAAAAACTTGCTGCTCGACCATTAGATTTAACATATTCTAGTGATCGAAATACAACAATGTATGAATCAGCTAAACCAATGGCACTTTTATATCAACCATTAACCTATTATGATGATACATTTATTTTACAAGAATATTTTATTCCAAAAGAAAATTTTCATCAATGGTATAAACAATTAAAACCTATTCTTACAAAAAATTATGAATATGTTTTTTTATTAAATTTAACAATACGTTTTGTTAAGAAAGATGAATTAACATTTCTTGCATATACAAAACAACATGATTCATATGCATTTGTTTTCTATTTTCGAATTAAACGAAATGAATTTGGTGATCATGAAGTAAAAGATATACACCAAAAATTAATTCAATTAGCATTTGAATGTCAAGGAACATTTTATCTTCCTTATCGACAACATTATTCTTATGAACAAATTCTACAATCATATCCAATGTTTGAAGAATTTCTAAAGAAGAAATCAACATATGATTCAATTGAATTATTTTCAAATGATTGGTATGAACATTTTCGACCTGAAAAAGATATACCAATAACTACAAATCAATCAAATAATATTGAAATCGAAACAGATAAATTTCAAATAGTTGAACAGCGTCGAACAAATTCATTTTATAATGTTATTATTGATGAAATTCTTCGAGAAAAATTTCGTAAATTCCTCCGAACAGTTTTTAATGCTGAACCTGTTCATAGAATTTTTAATTATGTTAATCGAGCTGTTCGAAATCCAGCTAATAAGAATGATAATGATATTTATCGCGAATTACAAAATGTATTAAAAACAAGACAATTTGCTTCTATTCAACAAACATATGCTTTATTTAGACAAATTCGACAACTACGATTACAAATTAAAGATATGTTAAGACAACAAATAACAATTTTCAAACATTTAGGATATTGTGGAAGGGTAAATTTTAGTTAATAGGACAGATTTATGATGAGCTCTTTACTGAGTTTTGACAAAGAAGTAAACTATAGTTCGTTGAATTTAAGCTATTCAAATCGAATTCAATAGTTTATTTTATTTTGTCGTATATTATAAAGTTAGTTGAATACGAACGGTACTGAACCAGAAGTATAGTTTTGAATATGTTTTTTTATACCTGCTAGCAGGTGTGCCGGATCGAGAAGTTCAAAAATCGGAAGTTTTTTTCTGTCATGTCGGAAAATCTGACATCCCTGATGTCTACATTCATATATTAATTTCTATCTTAGATCAAGGATATAGTCAGTCTTGGTGATGGTGGTCGATGTATTAAAGAATTACGTGAAATATTAGAGATTAAAAATGGTCGTGTCTATATTATAAATGAACGTGAACGACCAACTGATATAATCGAACGAAATAGTTTATTTCCTATTGGTACATTTATTCCATATAATTTTTCAAATTTAACCGATGTTCCTATTCCAAGTGAATCTATTGATCTTGTTGTTTGTTATATGGGTTTACATCATTTACCACAAGATCAACTTGATATATATTTAAAAATGATTTATCGAATTCTTCGTCCAAATGGTTTATTTTTATTTCGTGAACATCATGCATATGAAGAATTAAAACCATTATTAGATGTTGCTCATATGGTATTTAATGTTGTAACTGGTGTTAGTTATGAATCGGAAATAAATGAAATAAGAGCATTTCGTACAATTGAACAATGGCGTTCTTGTTTAAGACAAGCAGGTTTTGAAGATACATTTATTTATGATGAACAAGAAGATGATCCAACAGATGATATTATGATTATATTTCGAAAACCAGACAAACAAAATATTGATGATGTAAATGATATAAATGAAATAATTCAAAATGAAAATTTTCGAAAAATAATTGCTACTCCAGAAACAAATTATTTTCGACCATGTGAATGGTTAATTGTTCGTACTGCTATACAATTCGGACAATATTTAAATCATACACCATTTTTTTACTTTCCTTTTATGAAATTTCTTTACATTTATTGGTCATTATTTCGTACGGAAACTGAATTAGCTATACAAAAATTTGGTTTTCAACAAGCTGTTATATATTCACCAGGATTTGTAATGAATAGTGTTGTTGGTATTTTATTATCAGGTGCATTTATACAATTAGAATTTTTTTCAGTTCTTATTCGAAATGCAATTCGTAGTCAAATCAAACCTGAATATGAACAATTAATTATTGAAAATATTGATGAAAATTTTGATTTTAAACAATTAATTGATGAAAATATTGATGATATACAAAAATTACATAAAACTGGTCTGTATGCAATACGAGTGCCAAGGCATCGTAGTTTTACAATAATACTTAAAAAATTTGCATTATATTCACCTAAAATTAATCTTCAAGCAATATCAACTTTAACTGATTCTATTCAAATTGAATTAAAAATTAATAATAATGATGAAAAATGTCTTTTATGGTTAAAACAACGATCAAATACTGATATTGTATTTGAATATAAAAATCCAATAGATAAAACTCAAACAATTATAATTATACGTGTTACTATTAAATATTTATTATCATTTATACGTGAATGTGAACCATTTGAAAATGATAATTCATTAACAATTATTCAAATTTTTGATCATTTTAATTAAATAGTTTAATTTTCTTACTAACTGATAATATTTAATAGATTTTTAGATTATGAATAAAAACAAAAAAATAAGTTCAATGCAAATGTGTTGTTTTTCAAAAATAACATTGATAAGATGATTACTTTGACGTTTTCTACTTTTCTTTTCTTTATATCAATACGGTATATGTAAAGACAAACCACATGTCGTGCTGCACGTTTTTGAAGAGATAAATTGCTTATTACAAACTTACCAAGAGGTAAAGATCTCTCCCGATCTAGGCCTTTTGTTATAAGGGTATTTGTTATAAGTGTGTTTGCTACAAGTGTGTTTGTTATAAGTGTGTTTATAAGTGTGTTTATTTTCGCGTTATTGTCAACGTTATAAAAGGAAGAAGAAAAAAAAAAAAAAAAAAGGAATTGTCACGTGTGATTATCATTGTAGTGTGTGTTTACTATTATTTTGATTGTTAGTGTATTACGTGAATAGTAGTAGTACGATTATCATTGTAGAGTGTAACCATTTGTATTTGATGATCATTACATAGTTTAATCATTAGTATTTTGATTATTGTTATATTATATCAAGTGATTATTTATACTGGGATTATAATTATATTATATTACAATTTACCAACTTTAGCTATTCTCGGAAAAAGATAGTGTATATCGTTCGATCTTTCTTTGAAAGATGACAACACATAATCTTTTACGTGAATCAGTCCTGTTAAAATTAGTGCAAGGTGAAGAGAAAATCGATCGGAATGCGATTGTTAAGTCTCTTAGTCAAATAATTCAGGCATCAGATATCGATTCATTGGGAAATCTTGGTGATGTAACTGAATGGTATGTGATATGTAAATCGTCAACAGCACGTGAAGAATTAATAAAAAAAGGTGAACTGATAGTTGATGAACAAACATTTATTATAAGTGAACCTTACAAGAATATTAAGATGATTAGGCTTGTTAATTTACCACCAGCGGTGCCTGACGATGAAATTAAATCTATTGCATCGAGATGGGGTGGTGAAGTAATTAATATTGAGCATGAAAGAATGCCACATCCTTTCAATGATATTAAAACATTTGTCCGACGAATACGAATTCGTTTTTCTTGTCGTCAAGATGAAGAAAATGTTCCTCTAAGTATTAAATATAGAGGTTTAAATGTACAAATTTATCTCGAAGGGAGGAAGAAGGTATGTTATAGGTGCAAGAAAGAAGGTCATGTTAAAGCTGAATGTTCAGTACCAGTGTGTCAGAAATGTCGTGGTGTAGGACATGATGATTCTGGTTGTCAATTTGGTCGATTAAGACAAACATATGCCGTTACATTGCTTTCATCTCCATTTAACGGAGATACCACTCCTCTATTAAATGAACAAAGGAGTGGTACCCAGGTCAAACTCACCCTATCGGATCCGATGGGAATTCGCCGGAAGTTGCCGGAATCCTAGCAACAGGATTCCGACAAGCGATTCCGGATGTCGGAAAGTGTCAGATTCTCAGAGGTTTCGACAGGATCCTGGTTATTCCGACATTCGATGCCTTTTTTGTCGGAATCCTGTTGTTAGGATTCCGGCAACTTCCGACAACTTCAGGCGAATTCTCCATCGGATCCGATAAGATCCGATAGTTTTTTCGTCGGAATCCGACTGTCGGATCGAATCACCTGGGTATAAGTAATGGAAAAATTAATGTAAAACAAGTTAATGCAAATACTGGAACTGGCCGCCGGAAACGGGCTTGTTACCGGTGTAAGAAGGAAGGACATATTATGAAAAATTGTCCTGAACCAGGATTAAATGATATTAATCAATCTAAACCGTCCGATGTTACACGAACGGAAATGAATGATGGAGAAGAAAATGGGACGGTCATGACGACGATAACAACAAGTGTTGCGTTGCCAGATAACCCGATTATTAATGAACAAGAAATTAACCCGATCCAAGATAATGTGACTGGAGGGACTACAACAAATATTTCAGATGGAGTTCAGGTGATGGAAAAGATTTCATTTAATATGATGAACAAATGGAACATTAAGGAGATACGGAAAGATTATGAAGATTTCAAAAAAAGAGGTATTGCTGATCGGAGTATGGATTCAGATAGTGAATCTAATACAAAGAAGGCAAACACACACAATTCATCTGCATCGACCCTTGAAGAAGGGGAAGACGATGGAGTGGATATGGGAAATAATTAATGTTATTACTTAGTTATTATTATTACATTGCTATTGTTATTATATAGTTATTATGGTGATACAATTATTAGTATTGTGTATTATATTATATTTATTCCAATTAGATTATACAAATCATTAGCCGCCCGAATTATTAATTTAGGTGTTTGTTTCTTTTTTGTATTTTCTTAGCTATTGGTTAATAAATAATCTAAGGTTTACCGAGAAAAAAAAAAAAAAAAAAATCTCTGATTACATAAATGTTGCAATGACGAAAATATGCAGACTGATAACAACATTAGTTTGCCAGAGCAACACTTTTATTGTCGAAAAAAAAGGAAAGAATAGAAGTATGTACTGCTGATAGTTTATATATGATTTGATTGAAATGAATTAGTACATAAGAGTCATTTAGACAATTTGTAATTAAGATGACAAAAGAAATTTTATGATGTGGAAACTTATGATAATAGATCACTGTGAGTTATGTCATAACTATTCTCAGTCTTTCGAAATATCTATGAATCATACTAAAGGAATTTATGATCTATGACTAATCATACTGAGTGTATTTTTTTTTGATTTAGAAGAGTTTTGATCGTTTATAAGAAAATGAAATGCGTGTGGACTACAGGGTTCTAAAATTCAAGCTAGAATTGACTCTGTGGATATTACTTGTCGACTGAAATCAAAGCATTACATCTATCACTGTTGAATGGTAAGTAAATATATAATATATCCACGTGACTATTACCCTCATTATGTGATGATTCATCTACAGGTAATTACATTTATTTGGTTTTTTCCCAGTGAAAGGAAGAAGAAAAGAGTCATTTTCTAAGTGAAGAATTGAAAAACTTGTCCCGGCTTGTTGCAATTTTATGTAAACAATAAGGAAAGAAATTATTTCATATGCAGTTGCTATCAAGTTGTATATCATTTTCTTACACTAGTTGTCTATTCTAGATATTTCTTTATTATTTTAAATATCAAAAGAGGTATAAGTTAACAACTTATTGTATATTATACATTGTAGAAACATGACATCAACAACTCAAGATCCATTTTATTTATATTCATCTCAAAATCGTCGTTTATATCCCATTTCTGATTATCCAATCACTCATTTACTTGATCGCATTAACATACATTGTCGTATGCTAAAACAACCTATATATATCAAACGTTTCCTCTATGCATTCATTTTTCTTTTATTATGGACTTTGTTCGATACATTTTTCTTTCGATTACATGCAAAAATTTATAATGCGACCTTTGGACCTTTTCATTTCAATCAAAAACAATTTGTAGAATATGTTAATCAATATAAAAATGATCAGTCATTCTTACCGCAATTTGGAAGAATTGAATATATTCAAGTGGAATTAAATGAAGATAATATTCAAAACTCAATAGGTAAATATGATACTATTCGACGATATTCAAATCCACGAACACGTGATAATCATATTGCTACATATAAAAAAATTACACATCCGTCAATATATGTTAAATTACCTACAAATTCACAAAAACGTTTTCATCTACATCATCCAATTCATTTTCAATCATATTCAATTCAAACATTACAATGTATTGTAAGAAATCTACCATTCAATTCAGCATACACATATCGAACATGGACTGAAAAATCTGAATATATTCAATATATTAATGAAGAATATGCAAAGAATTCCACAGAATTTAACAAAGCAGTATTAACAAAATGTGGAGTATTAATTGGATTTCTCTATCGACCTCGATATGAAAGAGGTTTTACTGGAAGAGGTGAACATACATTTACATCGGATGATATAGCATTAAATATGACACATAGTTATTATTTTTTCTATTTATTACTATTTTTTGGTTTAATATTCATTTGCCTATGTCTTATATGTTTAATTTATTTCATTCTTTATTTATCAAATATTATCAAGTTCAAAGTTTTTCATCCATTTGGAATATGGTCACTCTCGTTGAAATTATCTCCAGATGTCATTGAAGAGCTTTATCTATTAAATGTGTATGGTTCTCCACATGAACAATTATTAGAATTGGATAGACTTATTAAGGAGAGTTCAAACAAATATGCTGAAAAGCTTGTAATCATTAGAAATGCTTCTGATGACTTATTTGTTGTCTTATTAAAAATGAATGAAAATGAAGGATTAGATCTTACTGATGAATCATCACCATTTATTGTTTGTCCTGCTACTGATATACGAAAAACGACACATAATAATGGAATTTGCTATGGTAAAGATTCATCATGGATTCCATGGCCATGGCCATGGCCAGTCATAGTAACAGAGGAAAATGAGTATGCAAATTGGCTACATCATCGACTAATAGAAATAAGTGATGTTTATAAACAACGGTAAGACAAAATTCAATTGATTCATTCACAGGATAAAATATAGTAGAGCATTTTGAATTGAATTATATAAGAGAAGAAAAATGCATAGATACATCTTTGTATTTACATAAATTATGATGAGCATAGAAAATTATTTGTTATGAGATACCTCATTTTGAATAGTAGTCATGTTCTTTAATTCATTATTTGATTGATTATTAGCAGACCTTTTTTTAACAAAATAGTTATTTACTTCTTATCGGTTCTATCAATCATTTTATAAACCTATTGTTAAGTTTGAGATTATAATGATCTGCATCAACAATGGAGGATAGTAATTATTAAATATTCTAAAGAATGTTATTCTAAAAAATACTAATTTATCTTCGAAAACACTTTCTCATAAATATATATTCTTTTTTTCTAGACATGAACAACGTCTTCGATATGAACCAAACAGCGAACCTCTGCAGGATGGTACACATCCAATTTTGAGATTGGGTACTATTGAATATAGAAATACTCGTCAACGACGTCCACAAGTAAATACGACAGTTACACATAACAGTCCTTTATCAGCTTTAATCCATGAAGAAAACAATAATCAACGTTTCAAGATTGAGAGACAAACCACTATTGAATACTTTAACAATCTATCGGCTTCTACTAGTCCAGCTACAGCTGAATTTATTGCTCGATTTCGCTTGGAACATGAACATAATCATCAAGTTGTAAATGAGGATATGATGAAGGAACAAAATACGTGTACAGTTTGTATGGAAGATCTGAAAATCAATCAGTTTTATGCGCGCTGGCCATGTTCTGATGCGGTGCCTCACTTATTTCATTATGATTGTATGTTGGAATTATTAAGAATGAGAAATACATGTCCAAATTGTAGATATGAAGTCGAAGATACTCCAATAGAGTGATCTTTGTATGGATTATTTGCATAATGGTATATTTTATTTGAATGTGTGTTTATTTCAGCATTTTTTGTGATATCTCTGTCAAATTAGGCCATATGGTAATCAAGAATTTATACAAAAAATTCGAAATTTTAAATTACTAATTAATTTTATTTGCCTTGTTACTTTTTCAGTCTTTTTAAAAGAATAAATATGTAATTACGAAATTATTGTTTTGAAATTATATTCTAGGATGTTGATATGTAATTAGTCATCTAATTTCATTTTTCCCTTCATTCTCATTGATTTTATACTATCTGGTTTATCTAATTACGTATGATTGCACTCGAATGTGAACGAGTGAGATGAACAGGTAAGAAAATTTATTTTGAATATTAATTAGTGAATGACTGTCAAAATCAAGGTTAAATGTTATACATTTCTTTTTTTTTTCTTTATTCTATTATAAATCAATATTATGATTTAATTGTACACTTCTTTCTCACGATTATGAATAGAAATACTATGTCAAACAAAATAATGATTCTATTTATATTTATGATCAAATAGGGCAAAGACTAATAAATGCTTATTTATTTTCTATATCTTATTCATGAATATTTTTGTCTGTTTCATACTTCGATATGGTTCTATGTCAACATAGTGTTATTCACATTTGTTGTCAAAAATATCTAAGCTTCTAATTTATCGTGTTATAGAAAAAGAACATTAATCACTTCTAAGTATTCACTTTTCATATTCATTCTTAAGAAATATTTATATGTATACAAATATTGATAAGGCTTTAATAACAAGTTATAGTTAAAAAAATAAAATTTGTTATAGAGATTCTAATCATAAATATTAGCATAAATTAATTATACATGAGTTTTGATTTATGAAACAATCATAGCTGGTGAGTTTAATAGTTGTTAAATATTGTTTGTTATTTCAATAATAGAAATTTGAAGTTGCTTATTGATATATTTGTTATTTTACTGTAAGAGTATTAATAATTTCATTTGAGTTTTCTCGATACAATCGTTTGTTATGTGTGAGACTAAAGAACTTTAATTATTTGAAATCTAATTTCTTTTTTTTATCTATGAATAATAAATAAATACTCAAATTATATCAACTTAAAAACACAGTTCATAGTCATCTAAAATACACCAAACGAAACATAATGTGCTATTGATATATCATGTAGATTGAAATCAATATATTTTCGATGAATGAAACTCTACTCAAGATAGAAAATATAGATTGTTTGATGGTTATTATTATCATCATAAATACATTCACAATACTATAACTTATTGGTGTTGTGAATATCTAGATAGTTGTCTTAAATATTTTATGAGATAAAATAGACTAAAAAATCCCATTAAGACTGTTTTTATCATTTTATAGAAAATTTCGATACAACAAAATCTATAACCTATTCATCTTTCTGTCTCTCTCTCATTTGCTTTTAGTTTAGATGAGTTTTATGAGAAATAAACTCTTTATTTAAGATCTTAATCTAAAATGAATAATACAAGGAAGGATTTTTATCTTTGTAAATGGTATGCTGATATAATTGATGAAGAAACTGATGATGTAACAATAATTTATCTTGGAGAATTAGAATGGAAATTTTTAAAAGTTAATTTTACAAATATTTTACAATTTATTCAAAAACAAACTTTAATATCTCGATTAACACTTTTAAATTATAAATCACCAATATTTGATGATGATTGTTTCCAAATTAATTCTAATGGAATATCTGGCGAATGGAAGAGAAAAAGTGAATGTATTTTTTGTGAGAAATTATTTGACAATGACGATGGATATATTTTATGGGAATGTTTTATACCAAATGGATTAGCACAAATAAAAGTTAATAATAAAATAAATAAAGGTTTGGGCTATGTAGAAAAGTTAACAATGACATTAAAACCTTGGCAAGTACCCATTGATATTTTACGATGGGGAAGATTTTTATATGAAAATCAATATATTATTTGGATTCGTTGGATTGGTAAAGAAGAAAAGTTTCTCATTTTTCATAATGGAATAAAATATTCTGATGGAATTATTAATGATGAAATGATTGAATTTGGAAATTATCGTTTAATCTTATTAGAAAAATATATTTTACGAAATGGATTATTAAGTGAAACAATATTTGATAGATTTGTTTGGATTAAAAAGTTTTTTCCATTCGAGTTTCTTGATATAAATGAATGTAAATGGGAAACATGGAGTGAATTCTATGAAAAGAATTGTTTAATTGCAAAAGGTTGGTCTATTCATGAAAATGTTAATTTTAAATCGGAGATAAAAAGTCATTTTGGAAAAATGTTTTATGGATTCTTGTTTACAATTTTAATTCCATTATTATTAATATTTTGGTCAAAACAAACAGAAAAATATATTTTTCTATCAATACCAATAACAAATTCAGTTGTTGTTTTATTATCTAATTTTTTTGGAATAATTTTAATAATATTTGCCATGTTAGAATTATGGTTTAAAGGTGATGGACTTCCAATGAATGCATATCCACCATCAAAATTAGTCGTGACAGGTGTCTATAAAATCTTTTCACATCCAATTTATATTGGAAGTTCATTAATATGTTTTGGTTTATCAATGTATTATGAATCTAAAAGTGGATTTTGGTTTGTTTCTCCTTTATTAACATTATCTTGGATTTCACTTGTTTATGGTTATGAAAATGAAGATTTAAAACAAAGATTTAATAAAGAATATACTTGGAAAACATTATTAAATATACCAGAAAATGTGAAAATAAAATATGAATATGCAGATATCATATCGATTTATTGTTTAGTTTTTCTTCCTTGGTTAATCTTCTATGAAATTCTTCTGTTTATTAGACCACCTTCTTATTCAGTATCAACTTATTTTGAATTTGAGCATAATATTCCAGTTATTGAATGGACAGAATTCTTTTATGTTTTTACTTATCCTTATGTTGTATTTTTACCATTGATTTTGCAAACAAAACAACAAGTTCGTTGTTTTATAATTGATGGTTTGATGAATATGAGTATTGGAATTTATTTACAATTTATTTTACCATTTGTTGCACCACCAAAACAATTTATTCCAAAAACAATCTTAGGTGAAATGTTATTATATGAACGTTCTTTTGATGGTCCAGGATGTGCATTTCCATCATTTCATGTCTCCTGAGCATTTCTATCAGCTTATTATTATTCATGGATTTATTCCAGACACAATTTTATATTTTATATTTTATCAATTTTAATATCTCTCAGTTGTATAACAACAGGAATGCATAGTATTCTTGATGTTGTAGGAGGTTTTTTGTTATTTTTAATTTGTATTAAACGAATTAGATTATGGATTTACATAAGAAGCTATTTTGAGAATTTAGCGAATTCATGGTCATGTTATAGAATTGGTAGATTACGTATTATTAATTCAAGTATTTATGTCTTTGTAAGTGCATCAATAGGTGGATTGATTATTTTTTCATTGATTGGAGATATTTCTGGTGTATTATTAATCAATTTATCATCTTTATTTATGGCAGCAGTGTGGGGTCAATATATTGAAAGATCAAGTGGATTATCTCGACCATTTGGTTATTTTGGTTTTATCATAGGTGGTATAATGGGATCATTGATTGTTTCATGGTTTTATAGTATTTCTCTTGTTCGAATATTATCAGCATATGCATTAGCAAGTCCTTGGATACAAGGTGTTGGTCGTTTTCGATGTATTATCCATGGATGTTGTCATGGTAGATCAACAAATAAATTTATTGGAATATTAATAACTAATTCACAATCACGAGTATGTTCTTTATCAAAATTAAAAAATGAATATATTCATATAACACAAGGTTATTCAATATTATCGAATCTAATTATCGGGATGTTGTTATGGAGACTTTGGTATTCAACTATTTCATTATATGTGATAATTAGTCTTTATTTTATTTTAATTGGACAAAGTCGATTTATTGAAGAAAGATTTCGAGGTGAAATTCAAACAAAAGTTTATTGTAAACTAAAAATGTATCAATGGTTGTCAATTTTATTTGTATTAGTCGGTATTTTTCTAAGTATGATTTCATTTGATAATGACACAATTCATATGAATTTTCTTTGTAAATATGAATATTTGATCCCTTCGATATTATTTGGATTTATTGCAACATTTGCATTGGCAATAGATTTTCCTGAATCAAAAAAGAGATTTTCTCGATTATGTGATTGAAGAAGAGAAAGTTTTATATAACTTCAAATCTTTGTTGAATAATAAATAATATTGTAGATAGTAGATATATTTTTTTACAAAACGTGTATTTCAAAAGATATTAACTGTCATAAATAATTATGATAGAAAGAAAGAAATATTGTATCTGTTATTTATCAGTGTCATTATCATACCTGAGTAATCATGGTTTGCGTTTACATAGTATAATGAAACATATTATCGTATTTTTCGATAAGTTTTATTTAGGTAACAGTAACGTGTTGAATAAGAATGAAATATGAGCAGATCTCTATTATTTGTTGTGTTTTATTAAGTATTATTGCTGTTGTGTCGACAATAATTCTTTCATTAATACCAGTATTTCTACCAACCAAGGGAATAACTCTACGAAACAAACAAAGTATGTATTGTGAATTGTATTTAATAACTTTTTTTTTGAGATCAAAGAAAAGAGATCGAATGAAAGTAATTTGTTTGTTTTATAGATTTGTAGAATAGTCAAATTGATGATGTAATATATAAGAAAAAAAAGAAAGTTTTCATAAATGTACATACAGGTGATACAAATAAAATAAAGTACAAGAATAGTCAATGCTTATTTACGCCAAGAAAATGTGATAGATATTGTTAGAGAGCACTCTAACAGTAGTAATATTATCATTACTATTTAGTTGTTTGTTTTCTTTCTTTCTCTTTTCGGTGTGTATGTCCGTGCGTGGGTATGTATGTGTGAGAGTGTATATCTTCTTCTTTTTCTCTCTTCTCTATTTTCCATATGACGACCATATGGTTCATTCAGGTCTTTTCTTCTAGTCATATGGGAAGACGAATTTCTTATCTTCTCTCTCTACGTTTCCTTTACTTTTACAAAAAGATGAATTCCATCATCTTCCTTACTCTCGTCCGCTTTGGCGAGAAGTAAAGGGGATATGCATGATCGCCCTTTCTTCTTCCCCTTATTTCCTTTATTCTCTCTCCTTCTTTTCTTATATTGGCCTGGATACCAACAAGGGTATAAATAGTTCTTTTTCTCTCGAATAAAACACTTAGATTATAAATTTATTTATTCAATAATCTACTGACTCATTTAAACAATAAGAAAAGGTCTTGTGACAGATATTTAATTTTGACTTATTCACCTGTCACTATTATATTTGTTTTTATTGTCTCTTGATCATTTGAATGAGTGCATTTTGTTATTTAATATTTTGTTTTCTAATTTTTGTTCCAACTCCAACGAAAACAACTGATAAAGTTATAGTTGACAATGATTGGAGTGGTTCAGCATCATTTATTCCAGTGTTACTTTTATTGGATGCTGCAGCAGAAATTCTTGGTATCACTGTTGTAGTTGGTGTTAGTTGGGTAGATCAAGAAACATTACATGTATTACGCTTTCTTGAATTGGGTAATCTCACTAAAATACCAGTTTATAAAGGTGCTACTTATCCACTTTTGAATACTCCTTTTCGTACAAATACATGGGAAATAATGCATGGCAAAATTCCATATAAAGGAGCATTTGAAGAAAAAAATGTAACAGCAGAAGCTGAAGGTACGGATCCAACTGGTGGAAATCCAACACGTATTGTTCTATCTGCTTTACCAGAAGGTCTTCCAACAACAACAACAACAGCTCAAGATATGCATGCAGCCAATTTTCTTATTGAGCAAGTACATACATATCCTAATCAAGTATCAATTTTGGCTCTTGGACCATTGACAAATATTGCTTTAGCAATCAAATTAAATTCAACATTTGCAAGTAATGTCAAAGAAATTTTTGTACAAGCTGGTTTTTTCGATAGAAATCTTGCTCAGGTGAATATATATATAATACTTTCAATATTTCCTATCATAAATAAAACAACTAATTTGTGTATATTTAGGTAACTGGTTCAGTTCTTCAAGCTAATCTTAATTCAGATTTCAATCTTCTTTTCGATCCTGAAGCAGCATCAATTGTTCTTACTGCTGATTTTCCTTCCATTGTTCTTGTTGGTCGAGGTGCACAGGTGGCTACTTTTAATTCATCTTATATTGATAACATTACTAGTATAGTTACACCATACACGACACTTATTGCTAAATACTATCCAAGAAAGTTTCCAATGTGGGATGAAGCAGCAACTGCTGTTCTTATTCATTCTAATCTAATAACAAATGCTGTTTCTGCACTTGCTGATATTGATATTGCTTATAGTAGTCCATCTTATGGCACTGTTCATCTTTGGCAAAAATTACTTGCTCCAGTTTATGTACGAAATGTTAGTTTTATCCAGGCAATAGATACAACAGAATTTTTTAATTTAGTTCGACAAGCAGTTCAAAAAAATTATTAGATAATATTTTTTACTATGTGAATCTATTTTTTTTCTCTTCAATAAATGTCATTGAATCGGATAAATCGATTGAAAAAAAATAATACAGTAGCATTTGCTTTGATCGAGGGTGGATATGGGTTTGGACTTGAGTTTGTCTCATATATCTCGAACATACCTATGCCCACCGATTCCACACCCACACCCTTTGAGAAACTAAAAGACTAGTTGTATTTAGTTAGACAAAATTGCTGATTAAGAATAAGAAAAAAAAGATGGATATTTCAATCCATACATTCTAAAAATAATGATGTATCGAATTTGTTCAATTAGTTAGGATCATCTATTGTTTTTTCATTAAATGTAGATGTATTATCCATTTAACAACGATCATTTTGTTATAAACAACACTGCGATCAATAGTATCATTAATATCATTTGTTGATTCTGTATAACATTTGACCAAATTATCCATAAATGTTTTCAATAATTCCTTTAATTTATCATCTCCATAAAGTTCACGATATTTTTGACATGGACTCCATGTTTCAATAACATTGACAAATTGAAGAATCGATAACTCTCGTTCATATTCAATAATATGTTTTATCCTTGTTTGTTGATATGGAAATTTATCGAGTATAGATTCATATTGATTAATTACTAAGTGTGTTCGATCACTCCAACAACCCTTCAGATCATTGTGACAAAATGTTTTTAGCATTTCAAGAGCTTTTGTATTATTTAATGATGGGAGGCCAGTACCCCAAATACTTAGAACACCACCATTTGGTTTTAGGATACGATTAACTTGCTCAAAAAATTTTTCTATATCAAACCAATGTAATGCTGTTGCTACTGTCACAAGATCAATAGAATTTGGTGGTAGAAATGTTAAATTCTCGGCATTCGAACAATGATATTCGATATTATCTTTCAATGTTGCTTGTTTTAATTGATTTTCACTACCATCAACACCAATCACGCGATGACAATAAGAACTTAAATCAACCGTAGCTTGCCCACTACCACAAGCAATATCGATAGCTAATGGAATTTTTTGATTAACTTCATCAATATTGGTTGTATTGAAATAAAATTCTAAAATTCGATGATAGATTTCTTGTGGATATCCTGGACGATATGCTTTATAGATTGCTGTATGATTCGATTCAACAAATAATGGATAATTCATGTTTACTCCCTAGTTCTGTTGGATATATTAGACCTGCTATGAAAAGTTATTTCGAACAAGATAAGAAAAAAAAGGAAAATATGAGAACAGTCATTATTCAAAGGTTATCATACGATAAAATGTATACTTTTTTATATGTCCAAAACAATACAAAAATGACTGTCAGATATTTAATGGATGTGTCAATAGTAAAAAACCACTAGCGGCTATTCTTTTTGATTATAAAAAGAGAAGATATTTCAATGAATGGGTGAAATATCTAGTAGTACAAAGACAAGCCGTAGATGACTAACTGTTTTTTTCATACGTTGACAATAGATGTCGTCACAAAAGGAGCTACTTTGATAAAATTACTACATTGTATGGAATATAGTGATTTGATCAGAAATCCTTCGAAAATCATTTGAATGTGAGAAAGTGTCTATTTTCATATCGTCGCAAGTTCTCTTACATATTTGTAACTTACGATGACAAGATAGCCAAAATATTTATTCACTCTTGTTGTAAAGTTGATAAAAAGATTACTCAGAATCCTTAGCTCCACATCTTATGAAGAATCAATTCGGAAACGCTTAGCTCTGATATCCAAAAACGTCTGTGATGAGAGTGAGAGTGAGCTAAAAAATATGAGCACGTCACGGCGAGTTTCGGCCAGGAAGGGTGTGTGTGTAGGTATCATATTTATATCCCATTCACACCCACCCTTTCTCTCTTATTTAGGTTGTAGGTGTGGGTGTGGGTGTGGGTGTTGGTATACAGTTCGTCTTGTATGCACACTCACTCTCAAATAGGGCACTACAAAATATTTTTCGTCTAATTTTTCTAAAAGTGTCACTTTAAATTGAAATATTCTGTTATAATGCTTAAACATATTTAGGAATATGTACAAAGTTTTAGACTTCGAAGTCATACGCTTTGTTGTGATTTATCATTTCGTTTATATCTTAGCTGTATTAAAAAAAACCTAAAACGTACTACACGATGCAACATGAAAAGTCTACAATTAACATCAAATTGTTTTTTTTTGTGTAGTAGTTACATGGTCTGCTTTAAAAATCAACAGAATTTTGAGGTATTATAATTCAAATATACAAAAATATTCTTTTTTTTGGTAGAAAATGAGTGTATTTTGTCTCATTTCATGTAAAATATAAAAATAGAATATGTTGAATAGTTGCTGCGTGGACAACTATATAATCTATGTAGTCGATAAAAAGGTGCAATAAGAAAATAGAAATTTCTCATTCATTTTAGCTGTTCCGTAATGTCGAAATTTGATTGCTAAAACTTTTGTCCATTTTCAAAACAAAATGTCTAACCATAAAAAAACTGATCTTATATAAATTGTGAAGTATTTTGTTTTTCAATAGGGGACATAAAAGGATCAAAAACTGATATAAAAAAATACCACTAGTTTATCTTTCAAACTGACGCTTTTAGAAGAATCGACAAAGGAACTTGCTCAGTGTCTTCTGTAATTAATCAATTTAATAATTTTTTATTTCCAAATAATAAATAATATCTATCTATCCATGAATTTTTATTATCATTAAATTTATACATCATTTTTGATAAAAATAAAATAAAATAGTTTTCGTGTAAACTTAAATTAATAAATAAACATTGAGAATAATTTCATTTTAATTTCGTCATAGAAATAATTTGATAAATTCATCTAAAGTTTATTTTAATATTTTCAAAAAAAAAGACATTTCTTCAAGAGCTGAATGTATTTTTGACAAAATAATCTAAATATATTTAAAAAATAGTTTTTGAAATTGATTTCGTCATGAAATTTAGTCATTTTTATTAAATACTTATCCACATTAACCAATTTTTAATCTGATAATAAATATTTTTTATTACTTAAAAAATCTTTCAAATTCTTTATTGATTTCAATATGATTAAGGAATTACTCCACATCGGAATCTGGAATCGGCAGGTCTGACTCCGATCCTGATACTTACAAAATTTAAACTATACGAATCCAATGCGATACTTAAAAAGTCAGATCTTATTTCAATCCGACTCTGATCTCAAGATACAAAAATTTTAGTATCGTTGCTTTATTCTTATACATATGAATATCTCCAGGTTTATCGAAAATTCAATAGACACATAGTTATCATAGTAAAACGGATTTGAATGATTTCAAAGCCCTATAAAAATAATTAAAAAAAACAAGCATCTATTAATTTTCCGATTTCGATACGATACTAAAAGTAAATGAAACTCTTACCGATTCGGATCCAAGTCCAAAAAAGTTTGATTTTGCCCATCCCCATCTATGAAATTCAACAAAAGTTAACAAAAGATGAGGAACTTAATATTTATTTATTCGAATCTGCTAATCGAAATAATCATATTTAATTCAATTTTGAAGAAAAAAACCAAAAAGATTTTTCTTCGTTATTTCGTCAGAACATGTGTTTTTCTTCAAATTTTAACCGATTGTTTGCATTGATTTTCAATAATAAAACTTGACTCTGTGTTTTATTTTTCTTTCTCCATCTTTTATTAAACTAAAAATTTTCTTTCTTTTTTTAAAATTAAAATTACATTTACAAAATTATTTCAAATTTTACAATTCGATGATTATGATAGTCAGCAACATAAAGATTTCCTTCATCATCAAAAGATAAACCACAGGGACCATTCAATTGACTTTCTTCATCATTTCCACTAACAATAGTTTCACCTTCTTCTTTTCCTTCACACCAACGCATTATTCGATCATTCTCACAATCTGCCACATAGATTTGCCCCAAATCATCAACAATTATTCCTTCAGGTTGAGATAATTGATTAAGATTTGCTCCTTGACTATTTCCTCCAGCCACAATTCTTCCTTCTTTTGCATCTTTTCTCCATTTCATCACACGATGATTGTTTTGATCGGATATATAAACAGATTGTTCTTCATCAACAAAGATAAAACTAGGAGAATTGAGTTGATCGAGCTGATCTCCTTCTCCATTTCCACCTGCCACTACAATTCCTTCATAGTATTCACCCATCTTCCATCGTGTCACTTCATTCTTTATCCAATCAGAAACATAAAGAAATCCATATCTATCCATTGCCAAACCATCACAGTTAATATCATCAATGAGAATTTCTTGATTCTGATTCAACCATTGAATCACTCGTCTGTTTTCACAATCAGCAATGATGATTGAATGATTTTGTTGATCAATAATCACCTTTCCTGGACAATACAATTCATTCATTTCATCTCCTTCTCCATTTTCACCTGCAATGATTTGTCCTTCGTTTGCATCACGTTTCCATTCAACAATACGATGATTCCAACAATCAGCAATGAAAATATTTTTGTTTTTATCAATAAAGATTCCCGCAGGACCATTGAATTGATTTAAGTTTTGCCCTTTTCCATTTCCAGCAGCTACGGTGATGACATTTTGTTTCCATTTGTCCAATTTTAGTTCTAGAAAATGATGAAAAGAAGAAGTGGAAAATTTGTATTTCATCGAAGAAAAAAGAAAAGATTAGTTTTCAATGAAACTTTGAGTTTGCTTTTTTGTTAAATAAAAATTTGAAAAAAAGAAACTGTTCTAGAATATTTGTGAATAACAATACCAATGAATTTGACAATGAGGAAAAACTGATTTGAATAAAGAGATTTGTACAGAATAAAATAAATTAATAAAGATTTAAACTATTTCGATTAGAAATAAATTTTATCTTTTAATTTTTCTTATTGAATCAACATTAAAATAATGAAGAAAAAAGAGAAATTGTGATTTATTTTTACTATTCTATTTATTCTATAAAGCTGATAGTATGTCTAATGTTGTTATTTATCAAACATGTTTCAAATAGAATAAAATATTTCTCAAGTAATAAACAAGAATTTCAAGAAAATCAGCGTTTAGATATTTTTGTTGTATTCAATGAAAGTTATAAGTATAGAACTTCCATTGATTTGACTATAGCGATCAATAGGTTAGAAATATCAAAGAATAAAGAAAAACTCATTTTTTAATTTAATATTATTTCATATCCTATTATTCTTTTCTTTTACATACAAATAGATTGAATTTTCTGTTTCTATTTTTATTGATTAAATAAATTAATAGTATTCTCAATTGTTTTTATCTTCTTCATCATTTTTTTTCATCGTATTACAGTTTTTCAATATAATTTTTTAAAAACTTACTTTTTGGTAAAATAATTGAAATATCATTGATAAGTGATTCTGATTCTTGTTCAATAGACATGTTTGACAAATTATTTAATTCTTGTGTACTTTTTCTTAATTGATTTGTTAAATATTTTAAATTAATTTCATTAAAGTTATTTTCTTTATGAAGTTGTTTTATTTGTTCATATAAATCATTGAATTTCATTTCTATATCATTAATACATGTTTCTGATGATTTAATGACAATGTCTCTACATTCTTTTGCTTTTTGTTGAATTTTTTCAATTGAATTTATTTCCCATAGATTAATTTGTTCTATTAATGAATGATTATGTTGATTTTGTTTTTGTTTATTAATTCTGTCTTTAAATTCATTATAACCATGAATAATATAATGTAATTCTTCATTTAATCTTTGCTGATGTTCTGGGATATGTCTGGAACAAAATCTTTTTGAACATCCTTCACAAGTATATGTATTGTTTTCTCGATGACATGTAAAACATTTTCTTTTATTGTTTGCCATTACGATGTGTCTGAATAGAAGTTAGTAGAAGAAATGAATATCTATTTACCTACTTTTTTTAGACATAAACTTAAGAAAGTATCGATGTACACACGTGTGCATGGCTAGTCGGTTATGTACATAGATAGGTAGAGCCATTTTACTAGTAAATATAAAATCATACTATTATCTCATATGTATTTCTTTTGTTAATAAAACTAAATGTCTTATCTTTCTAATAATTTCATTTAACTCTGTATCATGCACGTTGTGTTCTAAATTAATACTCGTAATCAAACCGAGCCGACTATTGATCATGAAAAAAACTACATTAAGATAGTGAAACAGATCTTATTTTTTATATATCTTCTCAACTGGAAACATATTCTTCTCATCAGTATTGTCCTCTTTAAATTTCTCTTTAACTAATCGTCATTAGTATTTAATTAACAACGTTATTATTTCATCGATATATAAAAGATATACGATTGAACAACGTCTATGCTTTATATAAAAGAGACGCACAATTTGTTCTTTTAACAGTATTGTTATAATGTGAATCATTCGTACTGGATATTTGTCTTTCTTCTATTCTATATATCGTAAGATGATAAATACGATCCTATACATATATGTATTTAGTTCTTTTCTCAACTTTCAAGTCTTTTTCGGTCATTTATTCTCCATGTAACGTTCTTCTATACTGTTGCATATGTCGCTCACATAAGAGTAAATACTAGATACCTAATCGATTAACAAACTTCTTATTAATATATCTTCATCGATTAGTTAGAGATGAAAGTGAGCGGACAAATTCTTACCAATTAAGAATAGTCCTAGTAGGGAACAAGTCCTTTATTTACATTCATTATTGAATGATTAGGAAAAAGACTTGCCGTATGTCCACCTGCTTTCATACCAAGAAGGACAATATCGATTGATTAAAAATATTACAAATCTTATCGTTATTCTCATCTAATATTTCTTTTGATTGTTTTTCATAATCTGCTACACATTCTTCAAAATGATAATCAAGTATTTCAGCTAGGTAATTATTATTATCAGCACTATGTACATTTTTTTTATTGGAAAAAATTTTTTTTAATTGTTCTCCATATTTTATGCATTTTCAAAAAGAAGTGATCGTAAATTTTGATAACAATTTAATCTCATTTTAGCATAATTAATATAATCAAAATCTATAGATGATACTTTTGCTTGTATTAATGCCCAAAGTCCAGCCATTAAATGTACTAAAGCAGAAAATTTACGAATAAGTCGACATAAATCATCATTGATTATTTGTTGATCGAATTGACGAGTTTGAAAATAAATTTTTAACCATCGTTTTTGTTCATCATAACTTGGATATATACTAAAATCTGCATTTTCAACACCAGCATATTCCACAAAATGAGCTGCAACATCAAATAAAGCATAATTTAAATGTGTAAATTCAAAATCAATAAATGATATTGCTTGATTTTTATCATTATAAACAATATTTTTAACAAGAAGATCATTATGACATAAAACAAGATCTTTACCATATTTAGGATTTGGAATAAGTCGAGGTAAAATATGTTCTTCTACTATATCTATATCGGATATAATTGATGATAAATCAAATGAATTTTTATCTAATAATTTTAAAAACTGACGTAAAATTAACATTATATATGGTTGTTCAGTTTCTACAACAGGTATATTATGAATTTCTGCTAATTTTATTGCAATTAATTTTGAAATATTTTCTTCTCGTACATCATCTCTTGAACATGTCTTACCAGATACAAATTCATATATAATTCCATTATTAAATTGAGTAAGAACACGTTGAGAAAAAATACCAAGTTCATGAAATTTAATCATTGTATTGATTTCTGCTTGTCGATCCATGAATAATTTTATTTGAATACCATAGATTTTAATAATTAATGCATTTGAATCATCATCTGGAGTTCGATTATCAAAAATATCTAAGATAATATTTGTAAGACCTTCAGTAAATGTAACCAAACAAGTATTTGATGATGTCCAATCCGATCGAATTGATTTAATTAAAGGATAGATTTCATTCGTAATAATTGAATTAGATAAAGTCACATTCTCAATTATTGGATATAATTTCATGCTAGAATATATTCAAATCAAACAAATTATAAATATATATGTATATGTTATTTTTCATCATAAAGTGCTTATCTGATTCTATTTACATTAGAAATCAAAAGGTATAAGAAGTGGATTGTTACCTAATTTCACAATAATTCTTTTCAACTGAAGTCCTCGATATAACTGTTAATAATAATAAAAATGGCATTCATTTCTACATGATATGCAATATAATCATTATACTATCGATATTCCATTATATTCATGAGATACAAACACAAATCATTTAAAATTTTTATTTTATCGATTAGTATTCTTCTATACAAGGAATTATATATAAACCAATAAAAATATATTATTTATAGAGGACATGACTTAGCAAAGGTGCAAATAATTTAATAGGATATAGATCCTAAACTTTAGAAATTATTGAATTTTTATCGAGATTCTAATATACATATCAGTAAATAAGTGATTTCGCCTATATAATTCATAGAAACATAGATCTATTGTAAAAGAAATTTATATTATATTACTATGTGTATATGTAAGAAATATTATCTTGAGGATGTGGGCAAGGATGATAGAGAAGAAGACACACCCACATCCTCAAAGTTGAATCAGTTTTAATTGTTGATGTCTAAATAACGAAAAAAAATAGATAGAATTAAAATATTGAATTGATAAGTAACTTAATTTTCGTGATAGATTTATATTTAAACGTCCTTGATTTGTTGATGATAAACGAGATGATTTATCGACTGTTATTGAAGCAAATGTTCCAGCTATAAATGAAGTCAGTTGAAGTTTTGAAGATATTAATGATGGAGGTTCAGGTAATAAAATTAAACCAAAAGTAAAAGAAGTTTTGCGTAATGATGAAGAGGGTGTGAGTACGGATATGTAGGTGTGGGTTCATGTTTTATTTACTCACATTCACATCCTAATAGAAAAAGATTTTCCTTCGTTCTTTTCTTATCAACAATTTCTTTTTTTTAAATTTTATTCGACTTTTTGTTTAACAAAAAAAGTTTTTATTTTACAAAACTAAATTTCATTCACAAACTATTTCAAACCTTTCAACTCGGCGATTAAAATAATCAGCAACATAAAGATTTCTTTCATCATCAAAAGATAAACCCATAGGACCATACAATTGATTTGATTGATTTCCTTTACCATTTCCACCAACAATAATTTCACCTTCTTCTTTACCTTCACACCAACGCATTATTCGATGATTCCAATAATCTGCTACATAGATATGACCCAAATCGTCAACAACTAATCCTGCAGGTGACGATAGTTGATTCCGATTTCTTCCTTGACCATTTCCTCCAGCCACAATCCTTCCTTCCTTTGCACCTTTTCTCCATCTCATCACACGATTATTGCCTCTATCTGATACATAAACAGATTGTTCTTCATCAACAAAGATAAAACTAGGATAATTGAATTCATTAAGTTGATTTCCTTGTCCATTTCCACCTGCCACTATAATTCCTTCGTTGTAGTATTCACCCATTTTCCATCGCCGCACTTCATTCTTCACAAGATCAGAAATATAAAGAAATCCATGTTTGTCTATTGCTAAGCCCCAACAATCAATATCATCAATGAGAATTTGTTGCTTTTGATTCAACCATTGGACTACTCGTCTATTTACATAATCAGCAATAATGATCGAATGATTTTGTTGATCAAAAATCACATCTATAGGACAGTTTAGTTGATTCATTCGATCTCCTTCCCCATTTCCACCTGCAATAATTTTTCCTTCTTTTGCATTACATTTCCATCCTATAATACGATGATTAAAAGAATCAGCAATGAAAATATTTTTGTTTTTATCAATATATATTCCTCCAGGGCGATTGAGTTGGTTTAAGTTTTGTCCTTGTCCATTTCCAGCAGCTACGTTGATGGCATGTTGTTTCCATTCGTTCAATTTTGGTTCTAAAAAATGATGAATACAAAGGTTTTTATAGGAAAAAGAAGAAAAAAGAAAAGATTCATTTTTAATGGCATTTACAAATATAAAACATCTACTGATTTGACTATAGCGATCAATAGGTTGGAAATATCAAAGAATAAAGAAAAACTATAGTAAAAATCGAATAAACTAATCAAAATAAAGCATAAATAAAAAGAAGAAATAAGTAATACAACGAAGATTTCTGATATAATCACATAAACTTTAAGAAACTCGAATCAAACATAATTTCTAAAACCATTTCTAAAAAACTTACTTTCTAATGAAATAATTGAAATTTCATTAATAAATGACTGTGACTCTTGTTGAATAGACATGTTTGATGGATCATTTAATTCTTGATTCATTTTCATTAATTGATTTCTTAAGTATTTTAAATTAATTTCATTAAATTCATTTTCTTCACGAATTTGTTTTATCTGTTCCGTTAAATCATTAAACTTCATTTCAATATTGTTCAAAAATATTTGTGATGATTTTATGACAATGTCTCTACATTCTTTTGCTTTTCGTTGAATTTTTTCAATTGAATTTATTTCCCATTGATAAATTTCATTTATTAATGAAAGATCATGTGAATTCGGTTTTTGTTCATTAATTCTATACTGAAATTGACCATAATCATTGATGATATGATTTAGTTCTTCATTTAATATTTGCTGATGTGCTGTTAAATCCATTAAACAGAATTTTTCTAAACACCCTTCACAAGTAAATGTTATTTTCTTTTTATTGCATTTAAAACATTGTGTTTTATTGTTTGCCATTGCCATATCTTTGAATATAAATTTATAAAAGAAATGAATACCTCATTATTTACTTTTATAGATATATTAAGTTAATAACTCAATGACAATAAAAAGATCACTCAGTAGTTGAAGAAATCGAAATGCAAACAATTCTAGTGATGTATACTCAATAAAAGAATGTTTTAATGTAGCTTTGGATATAGGTAAAAATTATATACAGATCTGCACTCATAACTTTATTCACCACATGGATAATATATCGATCTTTCATCCACTCTCATTCGTAAGATAGTTACTGTGTGATACTCTATTTTGCTCATTTTTATCTCATTACAAAAAAAAATCAACTTACCTAGTGGAAACTATTTCAAACAATTGAATTTCTAAACTTGTGATATTTTGTAATTATTTTGATATGAATAAGTATTCTGTCTGTACTACTTATAAGTGAACAAATAAAATATTCGTTCTCTACATTAGCCACATGTATAATCATATATGGGTATTCTTTTCTCTCTTTTATATATGATCATATCTTATTTTTTCTGTTCTATTGAGTTCTCTCGAAACGTGTTATTTCCAAATTAGGAGCAAAGGGACATCACATAACTATTCTTTTTCTCGTAGAAAAGAGTCCAGCAAACATAGATTGTTTGTTTGCTTGCTTGCTTGTGTATCCACAGGGTCAAAAAAACGTCGAAGACCAGTTTTTCGGAGAAGATATTTCTAGAGATATTTCGATGCGGGGACTTCGAATCTGAGGTCTGTTGGTTGACCAGAGCGGGGGGAGAGGTCAAAATAGCATCGAAAACCTATTTTCACGGTTTTCAATTATTTTTTTCAGTAGATGAGTAGAGGATGTATTTCTACGAGAAAGAGCTAAGCGAGTCCTCGGACGAGCGTTACTTGTTTTCTCAGAATATATTATATTGCGGAGATGGAAATAATTGAAGAAATATAACCACTTCTCATCGTATAAATACTCGCGTTTTTTCTTAAATCAACGAACTATTACTATGCGTTCAAATATCATCTTTTTCTTCCACTTTCGATTAGGCTGTAACTCCACTTTGAATTTCTATTTTTAATGATTAAATTCTTCTAACTATTTTTCAAAAGAATAAAATGTGATGTTTGAAATAAAGAAGAGAAGACAAATAATAAAAAATACAGTTTATTTTTGATTAAATAGATTTTTAGAGTTTTATTACGAAACAAGATGGAGAAGGATACTCTTTTCAATTAAAAATAAACTTCCAATAGTTTTGTTTTGCTAATTGATGGAACTGAAAATGTCAAATGAATTTTTCCATAGAAGAAAATCTATCGAAAATAAAACTATTGATAAATATAGTAATTTAACTGAAAAAAAAACTATATCGCAATAAATAAAAAAGATATGATTAGATTTAATTATAAAAACAAAAGTATTATAAAAGCTATATAAAAATGGTAATAGCAAATATTTGCGATGATTGAACTTAATAATTTATTACATAATAATACCATTTCTCCTCATATAAAATATAATAAAACATGTTTGGAAAAACTCTATATTATTTAAAGTAAATTACTTCGTAGAAATTTTGTGAAACTTTTCATCTGACATCTTTTTAGAATAACTTTAAATCATTATCATAGATATATATGTGAAAATTGAATATTTATTGAAATAAAATTTTTATAATTTTTAAATAAAAAATACTATTATGAGATATACATAAATAAATTTATTCTCACATTTATTTAAGTTCTTATTTATAAATTACATAAAATAGTAAAATTTTGATATTTATTATTGAACAAAGAATAATATGATGTATTGATGATTATTTTTATCAAATTAAAATCTAATCAATACATCAATGTGTTATATTAAAACCAGAATGATATTTTCGAAATACAACCAATAAGTTGCTGAATATTATTTGTTGTAATATTTCTTTATTATAATTATTAAATAATTAACGTAGAAATCGAATATACGACACTTTAATGAAGTAATAATATTATCATTCATGTGATTTATTATACAATAAAATTTAAATAATGTCAATATTGATATAATGAGAAAGATTCGATGAAAATGGCATTTCGTAAGATTTTTAATATTCAAAATTTGAATATATGTAAGTCAAAATGAAAAACAATAGAAGAAAAATTTGATGAAAAAGAACTACAAAGATTTTTCTTCCTTGTTTTCTTATCAAAATATTTCTTTTTTTTCGAATTCTATTCGATTTTTTCATTGATTTTTAACAATAAAACGTTATATCTTCTTTTATTTTTATTTTTCCATTTTTTATTTAACAAAAAATTTCTTTTCTTTATCTCAAAATTAAAACTTCATTTACAAAATTATTTTAAAATTTACAATTCGATAATTCCAACGATCAGTAACATAAATATTTCCTTCATCATCAAAAGATAAACCTGTGGGACCATTTAATTGATTTCCTTCACCATTTTCACCAACAACAATTTCACCTTCTTCTTTTCCTTCGCACCAACGCATTATTCGATGATTCCCAAAATCTGCCACATAGATTTGACCCAAATCGTCAACAATTAATCCTGCAGGTTGAGACAATTGATTGAGATTTCCTCCTTGACCATTTCCTCCAGCCACAATTCTTCCTTCGTTTGCATCTTTCTTCCATTTCATCACACGATGATTGTCACAATCTGATACATAAACAGATTGTTCTTCATCAACAAAGATAAAATTAGGATAACTGAATTGATTGTTTTGATTTCCTTGTCCATTACCGCCTGCTACTATAATTCCTTCGTTGTTGTATTCTCCCATTTTCCATCGTCTCACTTCATTTTTCTTCCAATCTGAAACATTTAGGAATCCATGTTTATCCATTGTCAAACGAAAACAGTCAATATTATGAATAAGAATTTGTTGATTTTGATTAAACCATCGAATCACCCGTTTGTTCTCAGAATCGGCAATGATGATCGAATGATTTTGTTGATCAACAATCATATCTGTTGGTTCATTCAATTCATCCACTCGATTTCCTTTACTACAGCTACCTGCAATGATTTGTCCTTCTATTGTATTATATTTCCATTCAACAATACGATGATTTAACCAATCAACAATAAAAATATTTTTCTTTTTATCAATAAAGATTCCAGTGGGGCTATTGAGTTGATTTAATCTTTGTCCTTCTCTATTTCCACCAGCCACAGTGATGGCATCTTGCTTCCATTTGCTGAATTTTGATACTAGAAAATGATGAAAACAAAAGATTTTGATGAAAAGAAGAAGATTTGGTTTTTATTAAAGGAAAGAAAAAAAAATAATTTTGAATGAATCGTTCATAAGCCTGCTTAATGATGAGATAAATTTTATTGGATTTTTTTTGTAAATTTCGAAAGGAATTTTATTGAGAAAACACATATATTATTCGAAGTTTTGTATTGGAAAATAAAAATAAATTGTTTTCAAAAGAATTTTAATAACACAAATGTTTTGTTATTTTTTTGGAATAGAATTCATTAGAGTGAAATGAAGAGATATTATGTTTTGAATAGAGTAACGAATTTTGAGTTTATATTTTTTCGAATCGAAATTATTCTTGAAAAATCATTTATTTTTGAAACAAATTGACAAATATTTAACTGATTAAATAAGACTAAACTTAGTTTAGGTCACGTCACTCTCCGGCTTTCATCTATGACTCGATTTTCTTTTCCTTTCTTTCTTCTTAAATAATTCAATTGATTAATGAAATAAAATTTGTTTCTATAAATAAACGAAGGTTGTGAGTGAAGATGTTTACTTACATCCTCATGTAGTATTACAATGATACTTATCGTTTCATGGCATTGCTCTTTTGTAATCTCTAATCATTATTTAATTTACAATATTCTTATCATAAAAATCTATCGATGAGTTCACAGAAATCTCATAACATGGCCTATTCTTGATAATGAATATAATTATTTCAAGAGAATCATTTCATAATAAAAATAAAGGAGAGTTTAATATATCTCGATTTTCATTTTCACTTTCACTCGAACAGTAATTATGACTATACTTACAATTTTTATAAAAACGATACAGATATTAATATATGAATTTTTATAAATAATAAAAGATTAATTAAAGATCGATAATTAGTTAGTGAATAGAATAAACAAAAATACGAAAATAGAGATTTTGACGATTTTCTATGATAAATGTAGATGAAATTTAAATTGATCCGAAATCTTTGGCAATTAAAGTATCAAATTAAATCAACAGAAAGATTTCAATTTTGAGAGAAAATCTGAAATGAAATAAACTTACTAGAACTGATTATGTTTGTTGTTGTTGTTGCTTTTGTTGTAAAAAACATTTGATATACTGCTGATGCTAATGATGATACTAACGTTGATGTATAATTATTATTATTGTTTTCCTTATTAATTTCAATTAAATGAACAAAATAAGATCCATTTGGATGCTCTAATGTATCACTTTTTACACGAAGTTCAGTTCCCATTCTTAAAATGATTTCATGTTCACTTTCATATTCTGTATAACCAGATACTTTTATACCATTCAATACTTCAATTAAAAACGTCGTAGAATTTTTCTTATTTCCAAGAAATCCTTTGATAACACTAACTTTTGATGAACATGAATTAACACTCCACCATGTTATTATTTGATTTTCATGAAAATTTTTTCCAATATCTTCAGTAATACCACGCCATACAATTTCTTTTACAGTTGGTAATTTATTTAATGCTGTATCAAATAATTTCAAATAAGGAAACCAGATTTTACATAAATGTCTATCTTCATTTCTTAAAATTTTATTTAAAACACGATATAAAGTTTGTTTACCCCATTCCATTGTATAAACATAAATTGATGCTGATTCATCACGTGTTAAACCGTGTTCTGATGGATAATGACAATATTTTTTTGCTATTTTAATATAATATGGTAAATTAGCAATTTGAGATTCTATTGGTTCTAATGCTTTTTCAATTGAAACTAGTTCTTCACTAAGAAAACCATAAACAGGTGTTAATCTTTTAAATGAACAATCAATATCAGTAAAACGATTCATCACTGTTGTATTCTTTATATTTATCTAAAATAATCAATGAAAATATTAAAATTTGTTTTTTTTCAAATGGATCCGATTTTATAGATCATTTATATTTTTAAATAAGATAAGAAAAAGTAGAAACTTCTTTGAATGTCCGTTAATAAAATGTTGAAAAACTTCACAATTAAGAATATTCGTGAAAATGAATAAAAATAAAAATGATGAATATGAATATGTGTAAAAATGATGGTGTCTAGACCGTATCATATGTGAATAAATTTTGTTTATTAAACTTAGTTAATGACCTCTATATGAAAATCCACGATGCTTATATATAGAGCTAGTTAGAAAATTCAAAGATATTAAATTAAAAATAGAATTCAGTAACTTATACAGAACAAAAGGAAAGAAAGAAAGAACGAACAAACATATATGAATATTCATTACTCTTATGGCATAAACTAGGTACAAGCCACAATAGATATTTAATTTGAATAATAAAATATATGATGGTCTTTATATTCTTATTGCATTTTTTGTATGCTGTATAATTATAATTAAAATCATACACTTATTTTTAACATGCGTATGTTCTTAACAGAAATGTAAATCCAAACTGTGATATAATGACATTATCATTGAACTTTTCCTTTATATTCATATTCTTCCTCTTCTACACTAGGTTCTTTCTCTTTTAGTTTCTATGATACGTTACCTTTTCATTCTATAGAACATTCCAATACGTCACTATACATATATCTAATCGTTCCTGCAGTGTGTGTCTATCTACCCGTCTTCATTATCTTTCTTTTGTTCTTTCTTCTATTACTTAGTTGAAATAAACTATTATTTCATCTTGCATTTCTTTTTCTTAATCAAACTTTGTTATTGCTCCTTTTTCGTTCTTTATTCCCTTTCTTTTGTAAAACAAGAATCATGCTTCTCTTTACAATATTCGCTCTGTAAATACTCAACCATATCAGTGAAACGTGAGAAAATGAAGGAGAATCAACATTCTTTATAGCAAGAGATATATCGTGCCACAATATACATCAAGACGTGACACAAACATAAATCGAAATATTTATTCAAGTGTATGAGCTGATTTCTGTTCCTCGTTAAATGAATATTCCATTCATGTTACGGCTTCCGAGACCACAAAAGTGGTTGCGCGTACAGAGAGTATACACCCCCACAATAAATAGAACTTTTGGAGTTTTTAGCTATGAAAATACAGAATAGCATATGTTAATTTCATAGATTAATACGTATAAAGTGGCTCCCAGTATAAAAAAATTCTCAAGTTCATATTCATCTCTGAAGATATAGAGCAACTGAAAGCGTACCCGTATTCTTAATCAAAATTACCAAATCTAATTCAATTTTGAAGAAAAAAAACAAAAAGATTTTTCTTCGCTCCTTTGTCAAAATATCTCTTTTTCTTCACGTTTTAATCGATTATTTTCATTGATTCTCAATAATAAAACTTCACTTTTTTGTTTATTTTTATTTCTCGATTATTTATTTTAAAAAAGTTCTTTTCTTGTTTACAAAATAAAAATTTCATTTACAAAGTTATTTCAAATTTTTCAATTCGATGATTCCAACGATCAGAAACATAAAGATTTCCGTCATCATCAAATGATAAACCAATGGGACCATAGAATTGATTTGACTGATTTCCACCACCATTTCCACCAACAGCAATTTCACCCTCTTCTTTTCCTTCACACCAACACATTACTCGATTGTTCTTAAAATCTGCCACATAGATTTGACCCAAATCATCAACAATTACTCCTTCAGGTGAAGATAATTGATTAAGATTTCCTCCTTTACCATTTCCTCCAGCCACAATTGTTCCTTCTTTTGCATCTTTTCTCCATTTCATCACACGATGATTGCCTACATCTGATACATAAACAGATTGTTCTTCATCAACAAAGATAAAAGTAGGACGGTTGAGTTGATTAAGTTGATTTCCTTGTCCATTTCCACCTGCTACTACAGTTCCTTCATTGTATTCACCCATTTTCCATCGTCTCACTTCATTCTTCACAAGATCAGAAACATAAAGGAATCCATGTGTATCCATTGCCAAGCCACAACAGTCAGTGTTATCAATGAGAATTAGTTGCTTTTTATTCAACCATTGAATCACTCGTTTGTTCCCATAATCAGCAATGATGATCGAATGATTTTGTTGATCAACAAGCACATCTATTGGATGAGACAATTGATCGATCCGATTTCCATTACCACTTCCACCTGCAACGATTTGTCCTTTCTTTGCATTACATTTCCATTCAACAATACGATGATTCCAACGATCAGCAATGAAAGTATTTTTCTTTTTATCAATAAAAATTCCAAAAGGTCGATCGAGTTGATTTAATTTCTGTCTTTCTCCATTTCTACCAGCCACAGTAATAGCACTTTGGCTCCATTTGTTGAGTTTTGATTCTAGAAAAGGATGAAAACAAGAGATTTTAATGAAACGACGACCAAGAAAAATTTTGAAAAGAACTCTAATGGAGAAGAACATCAAATATTTGAAGTTTTATATTTGAAAAATTGAACAAGAGAAAAGATTTTGTTGATTTATTTTTGATAAATAAAAATTTAAAAATGATTGAAGTTTATTTTTATTAATCAAACATATCTTTTAAATATTTCAAGAGCATTTTTTCATGTAATTTAATATTATTCCATATTTTATCATTCTTTTTACATAAAAATAAAATGAATTCTCTATCTCTATGAATATAGTATTATTATTGATTCAATTAATAAATAAATAAATAAATGATACTCTCAATTGTTTTTATCATCTTTGTCTTCAATTTTCTTTTTTTATCGTTTTTTAGCATAAATTCTTAGAAAATGAGAATTATTTCTTAATGACTTACTTTTTGATAAAATAATTGAAATTTCATTAATAAACGGTTGCCAATTTTGGTGAATAGAAATACTCGATGGATTATTTAATTCTTTTGTAACTTTTATCAATTGATTTTTTAAATAGTTTAAATTAATTTCATTAAATTCGTTTTCTTTTTGAATTTGTCTTATATGTGCAGATAAATCATTAAATTTCTTTTCAATATCATTACTACATGTTTGTAACGATTCAATGAGAACTTCTCTACAATCTTTTGCTTTTTGTTTAATTATTTCAATTGAATTTCTTTCCCATTGATTAATTTGTTTTATTAATGAATGATTCTGTGGATTTTGTTTTTGTTCATTAATTCTTTCTTTAAATTGGTCATAATCATTAATAATATGATTTAATTGATCGTGTAATTTGTTTTGATGTTCTGTTAAATGTGTTAAACAAAATTCGTTGGAACATCCTTTACAAGGAAATGTTATTTTGTCTTCATTACATGTTAAACATAGTGATTTGTTATTTTCCATTGCCATTGCCATGTCTTTGAATAGAAGTTGGTAGAAGAAATGAACGTCTATTTATCTACTTTTATATATGTAAACTTCATGACTCAATAATAATAAAAGCATTGATCGGTAGTAGAAGAAATGGGAAAAAACGTTTTCTTGTGGCTACAATCACTAATTGTGAGAAAATTCCACTAATAAAACTGACGTAAGATCTAAGATGGCTGGATGAAACTTGGAAATCGATTCTATATTAATTTAAAATAAAAAAACAAACATTTTATGTGGTATTCATTCAATGAAAGAATATTTTAATGTAAATTTGAGTGTAATTAAAGATTAAACATAGATCTGCAACTATAACTTTACCTTTTTAATGGGTCATATATATCAATCTCTGAACCACTCAACTACATTATCATGTTCACTTTCATCATCCTCGTTCACAAAATAATTCATGTGTCTTACTCTTTTTCATTCTTTTTTTTATATTCTTTCAAAAAACAAACCTACATAGATGAAACTATTTCAAAGAATTAAAATTCTTTCCATCAAATAAATTTTCTAGTAAAAGAAAATCTATCGAAAATAAAACAGTTGATGAACATAATAATTTAATTGAAAAAGAAAAACTAAGTTGAAATTAATAAATTAGATATAGTCAAATGTAAGAATAAAAACGAAATAATTCTATATAACCGGATACGCTTTGAAAAGCTCTAGAAAAATAATAATATCAAATATCTGCGATGATTGACAAGAACGGTCTTCTTCATAATCAAAAGCAAAAATTTTAGATAATAAAACTATTGATGTGACATATTTTTAAAATACATTTAAACCATTGTTATATATCTATATTGAAATACAGTAAAACCTCTATTAATGAACATCTTGGGTTTTAACAGATTTTTAGTTTCCTTGTTCAATTTTTGCTGTAAATAGACTTTCACAAGATGAACGCTTTTTTCGGTTTTTTATATAGGAAACTAGGATGTGGGTGTGGGGAAAGGAGAGATCTACACCCACACCCAGCTATCGTATGTTTGGAACAAGCAGAACAAATGAAAACGAATAGTTGACAATGAGTTCATCGATTCTATATGACAGAAGAACATGTATTTCTATCTTCGATTGTAAAATAACAACAAAACACGTTAAATTTATCTGAATAAGTACATGTAATTCGTGAAAATGAAGATAATACTTCACATCGTACACTTGCTGAGAAGTACAAAATCTCGATTAACAGCGTTTCGATTAACAACTTTCTTCATAAAAAATAAATAGATAAAAATACTTTTTTTTGGCTAATTTTTGTTTAAAATAAAATAGATGTTTAATAATTTAAAGATAAAAAATATTCTTTTATTTTGTTATATAGTAATTGAGAAAGATTTCTTGTTATTTGGAATTAATTGTAATAGATTTTAATATAAAGGTGCATAGCTATCAGTTGTCTATACTAATCTTACACTGTATATATTTAAAAGTTCATTCAACGTAAAATCTCTATAAGATGAACACTTTCTAGAGAGTCTCATTGGTGTTCATCTTAGCGAGGTTTTACCATATTAGATTCATCTTTTATATTTTGAATTTTGTTGAAATTTAATTAAAACTGTTTTTCAATTTACATTTATTTAAAAAACAATACCAAGAATTGTTTAATTGTTTAATTAATATCTTATATATAAAAATACTATTCATATTGTATAATATCGGATGAATACTTATTAAACTCAAATTATTATGAATCTTTATATTCCTTCAAGCTAATAAACAATATTTATCTATCAATATGTGATTTTTGATAAAAATAAAAATAAATTATTTTCATATAAATTTATTTTAATAAATAATTATTGAAAATAATATTATTTTAATTTCTTCTTAAAAATAGTTCAGTTTAACAATAATTGAATAGATTTATATAAAATTTATCTAAAGAATATATTTCAATATTTTCAAACAATAGACATTTTCCTATACCTGAATGTATTCTTGGCAAACTAATTAGAATCCGATTATAAACATTTTTTTATTATTCATAAAAAAATATTTTGAATTATTTATTCGATCATTTCTTTAGTTATACTAATGCGACAATTTTGTTAACAAATTCTACTTTAAATTGTTAATATGCATGGAAAAATAAAAGTCATTCCTTCAAATTATTTTTCTCTTCATCAAATTTGAAAATTTTTCACAAATAACGTCATTTATTTGAAACTAATAAATAATTTGACTTTCTAAAAAAAGAAAATGTTGAATTTTCTTTATTTAAAAAAATTGAAATAAATATGATAAAGATATTAACGAATATTTATTTTTATTTCTTTGAAAAATAAAAACATCTCTTTGTAAGTTTTATGGAAAAAAATCAAATTTAATTTTGTATTATTTCAATCTCTTATTCAGTTTTCTTCTGTAATTCTTTTTTTTCTATTCATCTAAAGGAAAATGTTCATTAATTTATTCTAGAATGTCAAATAAAATTTCATTTACAAAATTATTTCAAATTTTTCAATTCGATAATTCCAACGATCAGTAACATAAATATTTCCTTTATCGTCAAAGGATAAACCCATAGGAACATTCAATTGATCTCCATCACCATCTCCGCCAACAATAATTTCACCTTCTTCTTTACCTTCGCACCAACGCATTATTCGATGATTCCCACAATCTGCCACATAGACTTGATCCCAACGATCAACAATTACTCCTGCAGGACAGTACAGCTGCTTGAGATCTCGTCCTTGACCATGTCCTCCAGCTATAATTCTTCCTTCTTTTGCATCTTTTATCCATTTCATCACACGATGATTATTCAAATCTGTTACATAAACAGATTCATCTTCACCAACAAAGATATAAGTAGGAAAATCGAGTTGATTGAGTTGATCTCCTTCTCCATTTCCACCTGCTACTACAATTCCTTCATTGTATTCACCCATTTTCCATCGTCTCACCTCATTCTTCTTCCAATCCGAAACATAAAGATATCCATTTTTGTCCAATGCCAAACCCCAACAGTCAATATTGTCAATGAGAATTTGTTGGTATTGATTCCACCATTGAATCACTCGTCTGTTCCCATGATCAGTAATGATGATCGAATAATATTGTTGATCAACAAGCACATCTGTGGGTCGATTCAATTGATTAATTCGACTTCCATTGCCACTTCCACCTGCAATGATATGTCCTTTCCTTGCATTATATTTCCATTCAACAATACGATGATTCCGGTAATCAGCAATGAAAATATTTCTCTTTTTGTCAATGAAGATTCCATAAGGGCTACTAAGTTGATTTAATTGTTGTCCTAGGCCATTTCCACCAGCCACGGTGATGGCAGTTTGTTCCCATTTGTTCAGATTTGGTTCTATAAAAGGATGAAAATAAAAGATTGGTTTTCAATGAAACTTTGAGTTTGTTTTTTTTTGTTAAAGTTGAATGTTGAAAAATAAATCAATAGTATTTTCAATTGTTTTTATAGTTTTTTAATATAAATTCTTAGAAAATGAGAATCATTCTTCTAGAAATTCTTTCTTAAGAACTTACTGTTTGATATGAAAATGGAAATATCATTAATAAACAGTTTTGAATTTTGTTGAAGAGAAATACTTGATGGATTATTGAGTTCGTCTGTAATTTTCTTCAATTGATTTTTTAAATAACTTAAATTAATTTCGTTAAATTCATTTTCTTCACGAATTTGTTTTATTTGTTCCGTTAAATCATTAAACTTCTTTTCAACATCACTAATAAGTGTTGGTGAATATTCCAGAACAACTTCTCTCCAATGTTGTGCTTTTTCTTTAATTTTTTCAATTGAATTGATTTCCCATTGATCAATTTTTTTCATTAATAAATGATTTGATGGATTTTGTTTTTGTTCATCAATCGTTTTTTCAAATTCGTTATATTCATTGACGATATGATCTAATTCATCATTTAATATTTGCTTATGTTCTGCTAAATCCTTAAAACAAAATTCTTTTGAACATCCTTTACAAGGATGTGTTATTTTTTCTTCATTACATATGAAACATAATGTTTTGTTACTTGCAATTGTCATGTTGTTGAATATAAATTTCTAGAAGAAATAAATTATCTACTTACCTACTTTGATAAATATAATTTTTATAATTCAATGACAATAAGAAGCGTTGCTCACTAATAGAAGAAATCGAAGAAGAAGTTTTCTTGTAGCAACAATTACTAATTGTGAGAAAATTCTACTGATAAAACTGTTGTAATGATAATATTCTTTTTCTCAATGCCTTTGAAAATATATATCATCTCATCATCGAAGAAAACGTGAGATAAACACCGATTAAATACACATGAATACGAATGGAAAAAAAAGAAACAAATATAAATATGATATTTTTTCTCGTCCTTTTTTTTCTCTTGACAATAACCTTCACAAGCGATTTGCTTTGTCTCATCATTATTTGTGCAATATAAAGTGGCTTTATATAATGATTTGATGTATCTGTTTTCTTTTGTATTTTTGACAAAACTTCGACAAGGAAAGGTAATGAAAGAAAGAGAATGTATAAACATTGAATCATTATTTGTCTCCTTCATATATGCTTGTGTTTTCGAAATAAATGTTCGTAATATAACAACAAAAAAACAGTTAGTTAAGTTGGAATATTCCACACGAGAATGAATTGGAAGACAAAATAGAAGGAAAAAATCAACAAAAGATTAAGTCATATGTAAGAAAAAAAAACAGAAGCAGACTGATAAAATTATCTTCTTAACTTTTTAGTTTCTGAAATTTTTTGATCAATCGAATTTAAGATAGCTGCACTGTTGAATTGTTTCAACCATTTATCCATGAAGAAAAGATAATATCGTCAAAGATTTATGATCAATTCTTGACATATACTGAAAAAAAAATGGAGTAAAATTTATCCAAGATAATACCTACCTACATTAATAATTTGACTTCTCTTCGATTTTTTGAAACCGACCTGAATTACGTTTTCCGTTACATCTAGCTTTGGAGAATTATTTTTGTCCATTATTGTTCAATTTATTTAAACAAAAAGGTTAGAACACGCTCGGAACTGTTTCATTAATAATAGATGGCGGAATGATTCAATAAAGATCAAAGAGTTCATAATCAACTTTTACAGAATAAATTTAAAAAATTAATTGAACGTTCACCGTCGACTTCCAGTTCTTCTTCTATAATACATCCAATCATTCCTTCTATCAAACACCCATCAGATTGTCCTTCTTAATCGACTAAACTGTATGCGCAAAGAAAAAATTGCAGTTATTAAATTTAGTCGACGCTGGTGAATTAATAGATATGAATCAACTTATTTGTAAATATTCATTATTGATTAATAATTATTTTATCCCTCTATAATGCATTTATCAAAAAGACGCCAAAATCTTGATGATTTCATTGATATTATATTCTCAAAATATTTTGAAATTCTTTTATCATTAACAACAACGATTTCTTCAACTTTTCCTATTCACATTTGTCGATTTAAATAATATTCGAGAGACATCATAAGCAAGTACCGAAAGTTTAAATATAATTATATGACTAAACCTCAGATAAAAATTTTTTCTTTTACTTGCAAGATTGTTTTATAGAGAAATCGATTACAATAAAAACATTTACATAAAAGCAACTATGAAAATATAATTTGTTGTTTCTAAAGGTAGTTAATTAATATAAATAAATTTTTGAATTTGCGGAGGACGTTTTATTTTTTTCATTCGTTGTCGTCTTCTTCTTCTTCTTTTTAGTTGATCTTTTGCTGGATCAATTCCAAAACAATATTTTAATATATCCATTACAATAAAAAACGAACAAATACATCCAATCATCAAATAACATATATAACCAAATGATTTTGATACTGTTTGACGAATGACTAATGTTCGTGAAATGATTCCACAATATTCACCAGAATAACTTTTACTAAGACATTCACATTTATAATCACCTAATAATGGTTGGCATACACCATTATTTAAACATGTAACATTTTGACAATAATCTATTTGTATTTCACAATGAGTACCAATCCATTCTGGTTTACATAAACATTCAAATGTTGTGTCTGATGTTTGATTACATATACCTAAAAGAAATATCTATTCTTTTTAGAAATAATATGATGAAAAGATACGAGACCCTTATTCCAACACGTATTTGATTGATACGGTCGATTATCAATTTCACAATTTGAACCATTGAAACCTTGTGAACAGGAACAACTATAACCATCGGCAATGCTATTATTATTAATACAAGTTCCATTATTTTCACAAAGTTGCATCATATCACAAGGTGCCGATGATATATTACAAGTTAAACCAATTTTATTTTGTCCACAGAATGGCATAACGAAGAATGGTGAAGATATAGATGATTCACCTGAATAGAAATTAATTAAACATTAAATCGAATAAAAAAATAGTATATAAAACAAACTCGTTGTTAATTGATTTATTGAAAATGTTGAAGTGAAATCTTTGGGGGTAGTATCATGTTGTACTGTCATTGAAGACATACTGGAATTGCCGTTGATGTTCATCGTTGAACTAATTTCAGTTGTTGTTAAATCTTTGACAGAAGTATCATGTTGTACTTTCGTTGAAGACATAGTGGAATTGCCGTTGATGTTCATTGTTGAACTAATTTCAGTTGTTGTTTCTACAAAGAAAAACATAAGTCTATTAATAAAATGATTATAACGTTCTATAAGATATTCTCGACCATATCCTCAACGAAGAGAAACTAACTCTCAGTTAGACATCTAAACACAATATGAATTATCTTTTACAGCAGATGAAAAGAGCTTTATGCCCTAAAAATCAATTTAATCTTTTTAAATTTAGATTGTTAAGAAATTCTTCGATATTTACCACATGAATTTATCGATAAAAGAAATTTTTGAATACGACTGTTGCCTGGATCTGTAACATATATGTTGCCACAACTATCAAAAGCCATTCGTCGTGGATTTGATAGTTGATTAGATAGTGAACCACCTCCATTGCATCCAATTATACAATGAAAGCCATTTGAAGTTGATCTAACAATGCGATTATTGCCAGTATCGACAATAAATAAAGAACCATCACCATCTAATACAACTCCACTCGGATTCGACAATGCAATCGTAATATTGATTGATGTACTTCCTGCAACTGTTATTCCACTTGATTGTTTCGATTGAAAAAGTTGAACGCGATCGTTTCCCCAATCAGCTACATATAAGTTAAAATTAATGTCAACAAAAATTCCACGAGGATTATTAAGCATAGTCGAGGTAGAGCCAATAGAACCAGTTCCAGCCAAAGTTTTTAGTGATGTTGCATTACTACCTAACCATATTGTCATAACTTTATTAGAAGAAGACGGTGAACAGTATAACGTATCATTGATATCAACGAAGAGACCGAAACATGACGAACCAAAATCCATGACAGTAATACTAATATTTGAACATAATGTCCACTTATCAATTCTACCATTCGTATCAACAAAAATATCACCATTGTTTGTAACAAAAACGGAATATGGGCTGTAGATATTATTGGATATTATTTTTGTTGGCTGAATAGAATTATTAATCCAAATAGAAACTTGATTTTTTTGTAGATCAGCGACATAGACTGAATTATTTGTGTCAATAAAAATACCATAAGCATTGCTAAATTGAAAGGTTGGTTGAAAAGTAATTCCAGTTGAATTCCAAGTGGTACATTCATTAAATCGTGGTTGATTGTATGAAACAGCTAAATAATACATATACTTTCATATTGAGAAAAATATATTACAATTAGATTAGTTTTTTTTGATAAACTATTTATTAATTTAAACATACTATATGAAGAATTTGTAGATATGTTGCTATTAGATGTACAACGAATTGTAAAAGAAAAAGAAAATTCTTTTTTTCTGTTATTATTATTCAATATAAAAAAAATCATTTAATAAATAAATTAGATTAATCTTAATATGCAGAATTTTGCCCTGTTTTTATCAAAGAATATTTAGAAAAAGATTAAATTATTATATTGATTTATGCATAGCAATGATCTTTAAGATAAATTGATTCTCTATACCTGACACTTGTTTCATAGTGAAGAAAATAAACCATAAATTGAAATCACCAATTGACATTATTTTAACCATTTACTATTCTCTAAAAATTGATTGTTGATCGAGAAAGCTTCTGATTGTGCTGTTTATTCTTAGAAAATGAGACGAAGAGAAAGAAGAAAACTAACAATTTTCTCCATCTGCCCGCCTCGTCTCAATTTACTTGTCCATCTTTTATTGACTTCAACAAATATGACTTAGCTGAGAACATTTTTGTAAGTCATGACTTAAAAAATAAAGAAATTTTAACAAACAACATAATAGTACTGCTACAATAAAAATCTCATTTTCACCGTCTACATGCACAGTCATCAACTAATGTTTTTTTGGTCAACTTAAATAAAATTGTCCAAAAAACCATCGATGAAATGAGAGACTGATAAAAAACAAATATGATTTCATAACGTCAATAAAAAATAAAATAAAAACTTTTCAACGGCAAACAAAATTATGAATAATCGTTATTATGATTATTTCTTTTACAATATTATTGACATTCACATTAACTTTTTATACTTCATACTTTTTCACCTATTAATAAAAAATATATATACATAGAAATGTACGGACATGTTCATCTGCTTAGCGTGTGAACAAAGAAAATATGATATGCACAACTTCATCTAAAGCCTCAACTTCTGAAAACATAGATAGAAAAATAGAATAGTACGGAAACAAAGTCAACATTCGATTTCAGAAGTATTGTGATATGTACCGACTATGTAGGGATGGTCATTAGTGAAATGTAGTACTTATATTATATACAGCATATTTCGACGATTCAACATCAAGATGCTCAAGACTGTTAGCTATCAATATGTATTGTATTGGAGAAAGGGTAGGTGTGGGTGTCGATTTAGATGATGTAATTGTCTTCCGTCCACCTACACCGACATCCTTGTGGCAAAGTTCATCTATATATTTTTAATACATATAAAGTATTATCATAAGATTTTTCATTATATCTATATGATTAAAGTGTAAAATAAAACTTAATCTTATATGAAATATTATATTATTATTTCTTACATTGCAAATGATAATAGATAATATTTCTGTCCTTAAATGTAATAGAAAATGTTTTTAATATTAATAGAAATAATATTATCTCATAAAAGAGTGAAGACATGAATGATACTCTTTCCCATTTTCATTATAATCATAATAAATGTCAATAATCTTCAAAATGTACTTATATTTGTGAGTACGAATTTCGAATTTAGTTAAAATATTCTAGATACAAAGATCAAAGTCATTTTCTATGTTCGATACCTATAGAATAATTTCTATCTTATTCTTTATAAATAGTTATATTATAAAACGGAATAGTCTCGTTTCCGTTGATTTCATTCATTATATGTAATTGATTACATAAATATGATAATGTGTATATGAAATAGATTGTAAATAATTAATGCATGTTTGAACTATTACGAATAAAACAATGACTATGTGTGAAAACAGTATCATTATATATCTTATAGAGTAGACTCTATCATTTTTCTATATTCATATAGTTCTTTTTTATAATCTCTAGGCTTCTTTTCATACGACGCATATGAACTTATGTTATTATTAAAAAAAAGGTTATAATCATTAGTCTATTTTTCTTCTAACAAAATGACAAACGATACAGATTGTACAACATTACAATCATATAGTTATATGTCTGAACAAATAACAAAATATATCGGTGTATTTCTATATATTATCTGTTTATTTGGTACTGTTTTGAATATATTAACACTTTTACAACGAACATATAAAACTCGTTCCTGTACACTTTATCTTATTACTGCTTCAGCATGTGATTTTGCTCATTTAAATCTTGAACCATTATCAAATATTCTTCAATATGGTTTTAATTATGATTGGACAATTAATAGTTTAATTTATTGTAAAACAAAAAGTTATTTAGCATATGTTTTTACAGTAACTTCAGGAACGTTAACAACTTCAGCAAGTATAACACAATATTTTTTAAGTTCAGACAAAAGTACTCGATGGTATTATGCTCGTCGACTTATTGGAATTCGTTGTATAAAATTTACATTTATCTTTTGGTTTATTGTATCAATTCCTATTCTGTTTTGTTCAGATCGTTTCTATCATATTTTTCAAAAAGAACGTTTGATTTGTTCAAATCCTGCTCGACATATATATTGTTATACAGTTCAACTTTTATATATATGTTTATTTAATGGATTTTTACCTCCATTTATTATGTTGATATTTGGACTTTTAACTCATCGAAATGTTCATCATCTTGGTCAACGAACAAGACATAAATCAATTCGAATTCAACGAATTAATCAACAATTAATATCAATGTTAATTCTTCAAGCAATTAAATCAACTATTGCTTCAATACCATATTCAATTTTTAATTGTTATTGGTTAAGTACAATTAGTAATCATAAAGCATTATTATTACAAGCAAAAGAAAATTTAATTCATCAATTTTCTTATTTACTGTTTTGGAGTAATTATACAAGTTTTTTTATTTATATATATTCATCACAAATTTTTCGACATCAATGTATGAAAGCATTGAAAAAAATAATATGTTGTCGTTCTGGAGAAAGAGAACGACGATGACAAGTTATTTAATGTTTGTATTAATAATAAATATTTATATTTACAGATTTGAGTTTTATAACTCTCTATTTATTTAATCTGTTTTACGTGATTGATGGTATCGTAGAGCGAATTAATATGGATGTTGTTTTATTCTCTTTTTATATTCATATCTATATATTATGCCTAACATATTTGTTCTACTAAATATAAATAGTAAATGGGAAAAAGTTTTATTGAACTCCATGTCACATATTTAAAGAATTTATATTAGTTAGAGTGTCTATGGAGATCGGATATTTTATTTTATTGAGCAACAGAAAAAAAAGCGACCACAATTATTGATATAAAAACAGTCAATAGAATAGAATGAGGCATAATTTTTTTTGTTGTATTATTAACACAACTTTCTGTTACATTATTTGTATTACCACATACTAAACTTTGTCGACATAAACTATGACATGTAGTACAATCTTCATTTGTACTAGTTTCAGAAGATTGGCATCCAGTTAAATCACAACATTGACATTTACAACGTGTATTGCCATTGTTTTGATTTGTACATGTACCATTTGTTTGACCCAAATAAGATATTGATGGACATGATGATGGATATTTATTTTGACATTCTTGTGTACAAGCTGTTGATGAACATTGAGCTGCTAAGACAGGACCTACATAAACATTTGGTGAACACGAAGGTCCCGATTGACAACACATGCATGAGCATGTATTACCGATCCAAGATGCAGTAGCGATAGTAGTAGTAGTTGTTGTTGTTGGTATAGTTGATGTTATAATTTCACCAATACATGTACCATTTGTTTGCCCACGTTCATTTGAGATGCATCTATCTGGATATTGATCAAGACATGAAAGACTGCATGAGCTTATTTGACATATAAAAGTGGTACTGTAACCAATGAATGCTGGTGCACATAGAGCAGAACCTGTATTGCAACAATTGCATTGACATTTATATAGAGGAGTATTGATTGGTGAACATGTAGCTAAAATTTGACCATTTGGATAGTCTATTTGACATTGAGAATTTAAACTACGACAATATGAACTACACGATTCTTTTGTACAGGTCTGTATGTCAGAACTACCAATAAAAACTGGATCACAAAATTGACCAACACAACATGAACATGAACATATATCTTGTTGACAACTAACAAATGTCACTAGTAATAATGTAATTAATAAATACATTTTTTTGATGATTTGTATATGACATAAATAGTTATGTAACTGAAAAAGCGACAGAAATAAAAGAAAAAAGATAAGATTTACATTTATTTGACTAAGGACATAAGAGCAAACGAGGAAAAAAATTTTTTTTTGAATGCTATATCATGTTAAGTATTTGCTTTGTAATTGTAAGTCAAAGGAAATTTTATGTGATGGTAATGTATGACTGTAAATGCACGTGTGCTCTATATAAAGCGCGATTGTTTTATTGATCGTCTAAATATTGACAATTTCTACACTTCTCTTTCGATAATACTCTGACAGAAATTTGTTCCTCATGTGAAATAGATGCTGATAGAAAATTATAAAATTATTAATATGCTCAGCTTTATGGAATTGAAAACAATCATCATATTCGAATGAATTATATATTCTAACAATTTCCCTGAAAAATAATTGATTAAAATGTCATGATTGAAAGATTAGAGAGTAAATATTTATCAACAGATTGTGGAATTAAAATTGACGTTTGTTAGACAGAATATGTCATAACTAAAATTGCTACATTGAAAACTCAATAATCAGAAGGAGCAATTTTTGAAAAAACTGATGGTTATTATGATATCCTGTTGACACAAAATGCTCTGTCGAGTTGCTGTTCATTTATTCATACTTTATTTTCAAAGATATTATACTATAATAAAAAACAATACACTGAATATATTGTTAGCTAATAAGAAAAAAAACTAATGACGACACTTAGTGTCGGACTCTTTCGCTAAACTCAAAATTCGTTTACAAAAAAGTATAAAATCAACTCGCATATATACCATATAAATTATGAGATTTTATGAAAGAAAAAGTTAAAGTTTATATAATATTAATTCAATATTATCGTTCATATTTTCCATTTTTTCGAATTTGTTTTAACAAGTGTGTTTTAGCTAAAAGATGTCTATAAATTTGTTCACACGAACATCTACACCCACATCCTGAGAATACGATTATTAGTTGAAAGAAGTAGTTAACATCAACAAATTTATAGATTAAATCGCACTTGTGACGTAGCTGAATATGAGCAGAAGTTATTTATTAGGTATAAACTTCATCAATAAAATTTTAATAAAGAACGAAAATATGAATGAAAAATAGAGATATTAGATTATTTTAATATTTATTATCAATACAGATAAGAATTAAAAAAAAGACTTATGAAATAATTCTTTTGAAGGAAATTCTAGTTAGAGAAGACCATCAGAGAAAACGACAAGTTTTGTTCATCTTATCATGTTTTCAACATATTCTCTCAAGAGAATATTCCTACAAAAGAGTAACAATAGAATTATTCAACTTCTTCAGAATAAACACGAAAACGTTTTTTATCTTTTCTTTTCATTAGTATTTTACAAAATATGACTGGGAAATGAAGCGTTCAAAAACAGATTTTTTTAACAATGAACATCGGGCATAAAGTAGTACGTCATTCTATAAATTATCAACTAACCAAAAGATTTCGTCGATTTAACGAGACACTTTTTTCATTCTTCGTCCTGCAGATTATTTTTGTGTTTATTGTCTTTTTACTTTGTCACCTATAATATCAATGTGTTTGAGATATATATTATTGATTGAATTAAATTTGACTACGTAAGCGTAAGTATAAATACACTCAGAACAAAATACTGTTTCACACTCTTACTCGCCTCTTTTTACTTTCAATAATATAAATTCGATTTTCTTTTTCATTTATTTATTCACAAATAAGTAGTAGTTTTTTCACAATATGCCTTGTTTCTTTGTTGAGACTATCATTCGTTTTATAAAACTATGCCCGTAGTACGAACATAAAATATATCTACTTTTTGAAATATAATAATTAAGCTGATTAAAATATTTGACAAAAAAAGAGTATGGTCGGAAAAATTGATTTGTTTCAACATATTATTCAGTTATTCATTTTTGATATTCATCTGTGAACAGCTACTCATACGTTACCATCCGAATACATGTGATTAGGACTAACAAATGATTAATATTCTCCATATCTACATTTATATCTACTCTTGTTCAATGAAAATATTCAGTCAGCTGTACAGATAATGATCTGTCTTTTATCAACGATAGCTCTTTTTCAACAACTACTATACAATATGACTTCGAAATATTACTGCTATTCATATATTATTTGGTGACTGATAATTTATTAAGAAATGTGAATGATTAAATAGTTTGATTACATACAAAAGAAAACTCTGATTCAGTTCAAAAAAGAAAATGTCATTCTGTCCATATCGATTAATAAAGCTCAGTACTATTGAGATAACCACCGTTGCCCCCTCCACCAGTAACTAATACTTGTTCATTTGCTAATGTGGATGCTGTGTGATATTGTCGTGCGATACTCATGTTTGCTGTAGTTGTCCAAATACCTGTTGATGAATTGTACAATTCAGCACTATTGAGATAAGCACCGTTGTATCCACCAGCAACTAATACTAATCCATTTGCTAATGTAGATGCTGTGTGATATTGTCGTGCGATACTCATGTTTCCTGTGGTTGTCCAAGTGCCGGTTGATGGATTGTACAATTCAGCACTATTGACATAATTAACACCGTTGAATCCACCAGCAACTAATACAAATCCATTTGATAATGTGGATACTATGTGATATACTCGTGCGATACTCATGTTTCCTGTCATTGTCCAAGTGCCTGTCGATGGATTGTACAATTCAGCAGTATTACGATAAACACTACTGCTGATTTGTCCACCAGCAACTAATATTGATCCATTTGCTAATGTGGATGCTGTATGAAATCGTCGTGCGGTATTCATACTTCCTGTGATTGTCCAAGTGCCTGTTGATGAATTGTACAATTCAGCACTATTGAGATAAGCACCGTTGAATCCACCAGTAACTAATACTAATCCATTTGCTAATGTGGACGCTGTGTGATATGTTCGTGCAGCATTCAGGTTTACTGTGGTTGTCCAAGTGCCTGTTGATAGATTGTACAATTCAGCACTATTGAGAGAAATGCTACTGCTGCTTCCTCCCCCAGCAACTAATACGAATTCATTTGCTATTGTGGATGCTGTATGATATCGTCGTGCGGTATTCATACTTCCAGTGGTTATCCAAGTGCCTGTTGATGAATTGTACAACTCAGCACTATTGAGAACACTACCGATGCCGGTTCCACCAGCAACTAATACTAATCCATTTATTAATATGGATGCTGTGTGAATTTGTCGTGCGACACTCATGCTTCCTGTCATTGTCCATTCTAAATAAGGCAGAACAGTAAGAAAAAAATGTTGCTGTTAGAATGACTTCAAGTTTCTTATATACATAATTTATCCATCAGCTAATGACAGATTAAACGATTTCAAACCTTCAATAAACTTCTCTTTATTTTTATGGTTAAGATAGGATTCATAATGAAATGTTAAATCGAATTAATCAAAAATATGTTATAAACAACTTCATTGAAAGTTTTTGAGTTCTGCCGATATCGCGAATTGACGAAACTGAAACACTGTCCTACACTACAGTTATGATAAATAATGATCAAATTTTAGAATTTGAGTGGAAGTCATTCTACATTGTTCAACATAGGGAAAACAAGATGTATTTTCACCATCTTGAATGAATGGTGTATGTATGTGTCAAGATGTATGTAAGAATGGATGTCAATGAGGGTATGACTGTGAGTAAAAGAATATAATTCTCGCATCGTTCTCATGAAAAAACCAGTACACAAAGGGTTGATTGATGATGATGAAAGGCGTTGTTCTCAAGTTTGAAGTTTGTATTTTATGTTTTCACGATATTTTTTTGAATTACTGAACTCTATACAAATGCGACCTATAACGTGAGATTAGGTGGTGATGGACATTTCTCATGTGTATATTATGCCAGCTAGCGCTTGCATGTGTAGAATTATTCAAATCATCTCGAAAGGGGGTGGATGTAAGTGATTACTAAAATGATCAATGAGTTCTATCGCATAAAAATCTTTTTATCAACAATATTTTCGCCTGATACTGTTGAACAGAACAAGAATATTCAATACTTAAATAAACGTAGATCAAATCAAATCACCAAAAACTGACTGTATTTCGACTTCTGATAGGAGATATTCCCTAATGTTGTTTATCTAGATGTCGATCGTTCAATAGTTAAAATCAAAACTTTTAAATATCGTCACTTCTATTAATCATCCTTTGAGCCACTACAAATGATTTAATATAGTACTCACTCGGTATTGCTGTTGTTGTGGATGTTGATGATGTTGTTGTTGATGTTGATGTCGTAGTTGGTTCTATTTTAGAAAAATGATTTTAGTTTGAGACTAAACATTTGGATAATGTTTATCTGTTAATTTATTTCTATTTCTTTAAAAATATATTGACGTGAAATATAAATTGATTATAATAATAAAATAGGAAATGTTTAAATGATTTATATTATAATTATAATCCTATAATTTTTACTTGAATTAAATCTTTTTCTATAATAATTTTTAGCAACTGAATTTATATTTCTTATAATTTTAATAATGAAACTTTTAGAATTACAGAGATTGATTTCTATAACATTTTCATATAAATTCTTTTGTTGAAATCTTTTATTTTGATTTCTGATGAGAGTCTGATCATTAAACTAATCATATTTTAATTAAAAAAACGACTGTAACTTCTTATTTATTTCTTAGGGATCTGTACAATGCGTTATATTTCTATAAGATTCCGATGAGTTCTCAATAACTTGAAATTATTTTTCAAAAAGAAAATAACTTTTTCTTTCTCACAAATATATTTCTCTACTAACCCGGTGGATATCGTGTTCCACTAACAATATTCATACTAGTAGCATCGACATCAGTCAACATATTTTCATTTTGGTTCAACATATCAGAAAATAATTCACATTTAGAAGTTGATTGATGAAAAGTTGCTGCTCTGCATTGACTTTGAGTTAAACAGGCTACTTGACAATTCCTAATGTTTGATGTAATAACATTAATGAATGGTAAACAAGTTGTATTCGCACATTGAAATTTAGAATCAGGTATTAAAGACATTATGATTGATCCTGTATCTTCTCCAATTATTTGTGTAATAATCATTAATAAAATCCATGAAGAAATTCTTCTTGAAGTCATCAATAACCAGATTCTAAGTTGATGAAATGAATTCAATTCCTTAAAGAAGACAGAGTATTTATTAAGCAGTAAACTCTTTTTCTTCTCTTTTCAGTTGATGATGCATCGTTTTTTCCCAGAATTCATTCCATCAGTTTAATTAAAAAAAGCAGTCAGGACTTGTTTACCTCTGAATTCATTTCATCAATTTAATCAAAAAAAGTAGTCAGGACTTGTTTACCTCTAAATTCATTTCATCAATCTGATGAAAAAAATTTATCCATTCAGATAGATGATTTTTCTACGTGTCTGAATGTTAGTTGAGGACAAATATATTTATAAATAGAGCTTTTGAGTTATTTGAAAGATGAATAACATGAAGAATGGTCGATCCAACTAAATTGAATTTGAATCAACATTTAATTAGAGATAAAATTTTTTGTAAAAATGAAAATAATTCAATTAAAATTTATTTATATATTCAAATCTGAATATTTCAAATGTATCTCATAGACTATACAGTAGATCAGTGAACTGTTCCCACATTCATATGGAATAAAGTCGATCTTTAGTATCTAAGCGAAGAATAATCAAATGAGCTTTTTCATTATATAGGATAACTAAAGGATTACGTGGTTATTTGTGCCTGTTAAAATTATTAGATTAAGGTTTTGTAGTATTATAACGTTGATTAAAGAATTGTTTATTATAACAACACATTCTAACGTGCTTTTTTCTTAATGAAAAATCTTCATCCGGTAAATGTTTGTATTAGTTTTCTTTCTTTTTCTTTCATTTGTATGTTGTTATGATATATTATGCATGTAGAAGGAAAAAAATTAGTTGGAAAGTCTTTTTAATTGTTTTTAAGAAAGAAACGATAGAAACAGAGAGTTTGTGAAATCGTGTAAGTTCTATTATAATGATAATAATATAAACTATATTGTTTCACAAAAAAGTATATATAAATATGAATGATTATGGCAACTAGAAAATAGCATCTACATGATTACATTAGTAATACTAAGTTGATGACATCTTTACCTTCTTTTAATATTTTATCGAAGAAAAATATTCTTTCAAAATTTGAATATAATTATATACAACTTCTAGATAAATAATTATTTATTTTTTCTTCTTTTTCTTCTAGTGACAGTGGTTTATGTACTAGAGAATATATTTTATACCGAAATATATTGACAGCATACTATTTATCAATAAATTTTATATCAATTAGCATTCACAGATGATTGTTTATCTTTGTAGTTCTAGAAAATATTATGATTATATCTGTTCTTATTGTCATAGCGAAAAAGAAATCATCAATAATTGCTTGAATAATAACAATTCTAATTTTAAACATCAAGAGATGTGTAATTTGTGTTCTATCATTTAGGAATAAAGTTAATAATGATATTATAAATCAAAATTTCTCTCTAAATATTCATTGGAATTTAGAAAACATAATATTTGATGATCAAATTATTCAAATATGTTATATCCTTTGTTTTATATATACCTAAATAGGCAAGTCAGTTCCAAAGATCTATACACATACAGGTGTTTTATGCAATTCAATTTTGGTTTCCAGGTTAAAATATATTGAAAAATTTTAAATTAAGAACAGGAGATATATTCTTAAAAATGATTTACATTGAAATCGAATGCGAGACTTTGAAATTCATACGAGAGTTTTGATAATAATAAAAATAAATAGAATACTGACTTGGTTTATTTCAAGTCAAAAAATGGCTCGACTCATTTATTTATTCGTATCTAAGAAAAATAAGTTTCTTTTCAATAAATATTCTTGTGAACGGGAAAACCTTTCTTTCTATAATACTTTTTCATTTTACTCTCATAGACAATATTTTAGACAATTCATCGTATTTAAATAGTCTTTTTTTAAAACATATTCCAAAATTTAATATGTAGAAGTCTGAGATTCAATCATATTAAACCCAATGAAAAAGCGAAAGTAAAATTATATCTCAATGTTCTTCATGAATAAACTAAATAAATATTTTTGTACAGTATATTCGCTCAATGCATCTTAAAAAAAGACAGAAAATAGAATAATTGATCTCAAGAGTTTGCGAATTAAAAAAAATGTATAAAACGATTTTTGGTAATAGAAGATTTGCTAAAATATTTATATGAAAGGATATGATAAACGATGAAGCATGTTCGAATACAGTCACGTTTTATTTTTTTTCGTTTCTTTTCATACATAAAATGTGCGTAATATTTATTAAACTAAACGATAAACGGGAGGCTTTTTTATGCATCATTATCGGCGCATCTTTCGTTAGGAAGAAAGAAACAGCGGGCTGATGAATACTGTTCGTTTTATTTTCATACATTAATTATAGGTAATATTTTTCACATATACGACGAGAGAGAAAAGTATTGCTGAGATTAATTAAACATATGATTTTCGCTCGTATGAGCCAGATGGCTAATGTATTTTTTCTCGGTGTATATATATTTTAGGTAATATTGTTTGTATAAACGGGCAGAGAGATATTCTCGCTTCTTGATTTTTTTTGCCTAACTGCTTGATTATTTTTACGAAACCGTCGAATAGTGACGATTTATACGGCAATAATCATCAAATTAAAGGAGAGATAAAAGAGTACACCGCGAGCATTTTTATTCTATTTTTCGCTTTCATCTATACTTTCAACAAGTATATACGCCATTCTTCCTCGACTTCGATCTTTCATGAACATAATTTGAAGGTAACTACATGTATACTATTGATGTTAATTGTATGACTAAGATTATAATAGCAGTTTACGGGCAATCCTCGCATGAAAAAAACATTTTTTGTATATTTTTTTAAACTCCATAGATAATCAGTTCCGTGTTGTGAACATTGCATGGTATGATTTGTGTACATATAACGTGCATTAATCTCATCATAGATTCTTGCGTAAAGTTTGAGTACGTGTAGCATAATTGGATACACTATTGTCTTTGGTATTTGAGTCATAAACATAATACTATTTATATTGTTTGAACGTAAGATGTATAGATAAATATTCTATGATAGTTTTTGCTTTGCATACACTTCAATTGAGAGAAAAGATAAAAATGAAACTTTTTTCGCTATTTCGTCAAACACTCGGATCATTATTAATATATTTTATATTTTTTTCAGATCCTCTATAATTTGTAATAGCAATCTATACGTGCAGAACAGGTAGTGATCACACAACTATAAAATGCAATCTCATGTGGATGTGGTATGTAATACTTAGTGTTAAATGAAGAACACATTTGTGCATAGATTACTGATATACGTATATTTAAAAAAATCTATTTTAATGAGTCACTCACTAATGATGAAGCAATGCTATTTAAATAATATTATTAAATAGTATTTTCTTGTATTTGTTTGGGTGTTTTAGAAAACATTTTTTCAAAATCTTTATTTTATAGAACATCAACTTTTCTAAATGATACAATGTATAAAAGTTTTTCTCCGATCAATTGTTCTATCGTTGAATAAATATAGCTAGAATTTTTCAAAATAGTTAATTTTTCAACATCAGAAATCAACTTCTTAACAAATCTCTGAGCAGATTTTCATACAGCTTCATCTACTTTTTTCAGTAAAATGTTACTTCAACAAAACCATCAACGAAACACTAAAATGATTCTTTTTATCCAATCTTTTAGATCTACTCTCTATTCTAATGTCTATAACTGCTTTGAATTATTTCGAACTAGTCAAAAGATTTTGTTATAGATACAGTTTTATAACAGGAACTAGATAATATAGAATAAATTTATATATTAACTATAAAAACTTTCGACTATCAGAGATATGTTTTTGTTTAACAACTATCTTCTTATTAATTAAAATATTCTACAAACATTAGTAATATATCAATCAATTGCTTGTTTTATTAGGAGATTATAACTGTCGAGGCAAGCGAAAATGTAACCTCGACTTTAACTGCAAATGTTGAAGAAAATGTGGACGATAATACCAACAAAGATCTGACAAAAAATCTGACTTTGCAAACTAAGTATGTTATTATCTTTTTCATACTACATGTGATCTTATTGCTGATTTTTTAGACAATCTTGCTTCTCGGCTATATTGTATTTATTGATTCATCGTGCTTGTGTATTTAGTTTGTTCTTAAGTGCAGCAATGCTCATTGCTATACTGTTAGTCTGTTTTACGTCACCAAAACAATCAGGTTTGTTCATATTCTAAATTTCTTATCTTGAGTTCGATAGAAGTTGAAGAAAAAGCAATTTCTTAGTAAGATTTTTCCATATAGACATCGCTGTTTATTCTAAATGTTGCGATTTTGTATAGGTATAATGTCTGCCAGTCTACAATCCTTATTCACTCTGCATTCATAGTGATGCGTTTTCTCCAATTGTTCTACATATCCCTTGCACAGAGTATGAAGTAACTAAGACAACCTGTGTGATTAACTTATCTGATTGATAAATCTTATAAGGCTCATCGAGATCGATTCAAAAAGTACTGGCAGTGACGAAAATATAACTATAACAATCCAATAATTTTCCACAAAATATCATTGAAATTATAGAGATAGATAAACAGTAATATTAGGTCATTCTTTATTTTATTATTTTGTATTATTTAGCTTCAAAATGTGAGCTGACGTTCAGTAAAACAAACCTCAATCCAATCGAATATAAATATGGTCCACGATCTATTGCTATCGGTGATTTTAATAATGACACTTGGTTCGACGTAGTCATCGTTAATAATGCGGTAGACAGTATAAGTGTAGCTTTTGGAAATAGCAGCATTATACTTGGAAGTCCAACAATATATTCGACTGGTATTGGTTCTGCTCCTTATATGGTCGCTGTTCATGATGTTAATAATGATTATCACTTGGATATTGTCGTAGCAAATTTTGGTACTAATAATGTCGGTATATTTTTTGGATTTGGAAATGGATCATTCAGTGATCAAAGAGAACTATCAACTGGCTCATCTCGTCCAATTTCAATTGGTATCTCAGATTTGAATAACGACACACTACCTGATATTGTAACTGTCAATTATGGAACACAGAGTATAAGTATATTCTATGGATATGGCAATGGAAATTTTTCATCTCCTGTAACGTATCTAACTGGCTATGATTCTCTTCCAATGTCTTTGGCTATTGGTGATTTCAATAATGACAATTATTTAGACATTGCAATCGCCAATGCTGGCACTAACAATGTTGGTATTCTTTTCGGTAATCAAAACAATACTTTTGGAAACCAAATCACTTTTTCGACGGGTATTGGATCTTATTCATGTTCAATCGCTACTGGCTATCTCAATGATGACATCTTCCTCGACATTGTTGTAGCTAATTATGGAACTAAAAATATTGGTGTATTTCTGAGCAATGCTAACGGAGGTTTTGCGAATCAAATAACGTATTCTATTGATAATGCTTCTCCGTACTCGATTGGCATCGGTGATTTTAATCGCGACAATCAAATGGACTTAGTTGTTACTAATCAAGGCATTAACAATATCGGTGTTCTTTTAGCATCTGGTAATGGTACTTTTGAAAGTTCGCTCACATACTATTCAAGTGGTTCTTTATCTTCGATTGCGTTCGCCATCTATGATTTGAATAAAGATAATCGATTAGACATTATGATCGTTAACAATGATACTGGCGCGATCGATATTTTCCTTGGTTATTTTGGAGGTTTTGAAGGCCAAGTCAAATATTTAACTGGCTCTCAGCCACGGTCTGTAGCTGTTGGTGATTTCAACAATGATAATCAACTAGATATTGCTGTTGTAAACTGGCTTAGTAATAATGTCAGTGTTCTTCTAGGATATGGAAATGGTTTATTTGCAGATCAAAAGACGTATTCAACTGGCACTTATCCACAGTCCGTAGCTGTCGGTCATTTCAACAATGATACTCTCCTGGATATTGTTGTCGCCAATTCTAACAGCAATAATGTCAGCGTACTTCTAGGATATGGAAATGGTTTATTTGCAGATCAAATGACGTATTCAACTGGCTCTTTTCCACAGTCTGTAGCTGTTGGTGATTTCAACAACGACGGCTATTTGGATGTTGTTGTCACCAATTCTAACAGCGATAATGTCAGTGTTATTCTTGGATATGGTAATGCTTCATTTGCAGATCAAGTAACGTATTCAACTGGTTCTTATCCACAGTGTGTAGCTATCGGTGACTTCAACAATGATAATCGGCTGGATATTGTTGTCGCCAATTCTATGAGCAATAATGTCAGCGTCCTTCTTGGATATGGAAATGGTTTATTTGCAGATCAAATGACATATTCAACTGGCTCTTTTCCCCTGTATGTAGCTGTTGGTGATTTCAACAATGATAATCGACTGGATCTTGTTGTAGCGAACAGGCAGACAAATGACGTTAGTGTTCTTCTTGGATACGGTAATACTTCATTTCAAGATCAAATGACATATTCAACTGGCTCTTTTCCATACTCTGTAGCTGTTGGTGATTTTAACAATGATAGTCAATTAGATATTGCTGTAGTCAATGATGGCAACGATGATCTAGGTATACTTCTTGGGTATGGGAATGGTTTATTTGCAAATCAAATGACGTATTTAACTGGCTCTAACCCATTCTCTCTAGCTATTGGTGATTTTAACAATGATAGTCGCCTGGATATTGTTGTCACCAACGGTGGTAATGCTAGTGCCAGTGTACTACTTCAATCTAACAGAGGAGCTTTGATTAAATACATGACTTATGCATCTGGTGGTTCTTCCAGTCTACAATATGTTACTATTAGTGATCTAAACAATGACACTCGACTTGATATCATTGTAGCTAATTATGGCACCAACAATATCGGTGTTCTTTTTGGAAATGGGAATAGTACTTTCCTAAGCCAGGAAACGCTCATTAGTGGCTCAAATTCTCATCCATCAGCTATTGCCATTGCTGATTACAATGGTGACATGCTATTGGATATTGCCGTGCTTAATTATGGTACCAAAGATATAAATATGCTGATTGGAAATGCAAAAGGCACATTTACAACTCAAGCAAATAACGGATTTCATTTTGATTCACCTCCATTTCTTATCGTTTCTGGTGATTTTAATAATGATGGGCGATCAGAAATTGCTGTTGCATGTGATGGTAATGACAATGCAAATGTCTTTTCTGTGTATGACACTGGATCTTTTACAGATCCAATAATCTATTCAACTGGGGCTTATCCGGTATCTGTAGCAGTTGCTGATTTCAACAACGACAATCAATTGGATATTGTTGTGGTTAATCGAGATAACAACAATGTGAGTATTTTTCTGGGATATGGCAATGGTTTATTTACAGATCATATCACGTATTCAATTGGTACTTGGTCATATTGTGTAGCTGTTGGTGATTTTAATAATGATACTCTCCTGGATATTGTGGTCACCAATGGTGGTGACGATACCGTCAGTGTCCTTCTTGGATATGGTACTGGTTCATTTACAGATCGAGTAACGTATTTAACTGGCTCTTTTCCATACTCTGTAGCTGTTGGTGATTTTAACAATGATGCTCTCCTGGATATTGTTGTCACCAATGATCAGAGCAGTAATGTTAGTGTTCTTCTTGGGTATGGCAATGGTCGATTTGCAGATCAAATGACGTATTCAACTGGCTCTTCTCCACAGTCTGTAGTTGTTGGTGATTTCAACAATGATAATCGACTGGATATTGTTGTCTTCAATAATGCTGACAATAATGTCAGTGTTCTTCTTGGGTATGGCAATGGTCGATTTGCAGATCAAATGACGTATTCAACTGGCTCTAATCCACAGTGTGTAGCTGTTGGTGATTTCAATAATGATAATCGACTAGATATTGTTGTCGCCAATTATTTTGACAATAATGTCAGTGTCCTTCTTGGATTTGGCAACGGTTCATTTGCAGATCAAACGACCTGTTCAACTGGCCCTTATCCACAGTCCGTAGCTGTTGGTGATTTCAACAACGACAATTATTTGGATATTGTTGTCGCCAATTCTAACAGCATTAATGTCAGTGTTATTCTTGGATATGGGAATGGTTTATTTGCAAACAGAATAACATATTCAACTAGCTTTAGGCCATACTCTGTAGCTGTCGGTCATTTCAACAACGACGCTCAATTAGATATTATTACGACGGATAAACTGAATAATTATATCAGTATTCTTCTTGGACATTCCAATCAAGTATTTGTACCACAAACGACACTCATAACCGGTAATTATTCTCGACCACGATCATTGGCTGTCGGTGATGTTAATAATGATAATCAAACAGATATTATTATTGCTAATTCAAACACACAGAATATTGGTATTTTTCTTGGACATGGTAATATCTCTTTTGCAAATCAAGTTACATATTCAACTGGTTTATACTCATCTCCATATTCGGTAGCTGTTGGATATTTTGACAATGATACTTATCTAGATATCGTCGTAGCTAATTATGGCAGTGCTAATATGGGTATTTTTCTGGGATATGGAAATGGGTCTTTCAAAAATCAAATAACATATTCTACTGGTTCAGTTTCAGGTCCATATTCTCTAGCTGTTGCTGATTTTAACAATGATACATTCTTGGATGTTTTGATTGCTAATTATCATGGCAACAATCAAGGTGTTTTTCTAGGACAGGGTAACGGTACATTTGACAAATTCTTGGTAGTTGCAACTAATTATGGGTCTCATCCATCATCGGTTGTTGTCGGTGACTTCAACAATGATAAAAAAATAGATTTTGCTGTGATTAATGATGGTACTGACAGTTTAAATATACTCTTGCGGACCTGTTAATACTCTATTTCATATTAACTCGCTTGAAAAGATAATTCGAAAGGACTTGCATTATATTTGTATCATATATTTGGTTTTTCGTTATAAACCTCTCTTCTTTCTCTCGTTCTTCATATACGTATTTTTTTTCTTCTTTCTGCACTAATATTGATAAAATTATTTAAAATATTTATTGTATTTATCTTGAATATCATATCAGTTTCAATGATTTTTTTTTCGTATATATTAACATTATAGTGTATTAATCATGATAAATTTATACAAGATTAACAAGTATCTAGTTAAATAAAGATATAAATGACAACTTTTAGAAATCTTATTTCTACTTAATAAAAGAAGTGTAGATTGTATACATAAATAAAATAAAAATCATCTTATTATGATATAATAACAATTTATCGCACTCTTATTTCGTGATGGATTACTAGAAATTACAAAATATGACATTAATAAGAATAGTATTCCTCAATTTATTCACAATCATGCACTGCGATAAATAGTAACTATTTCTAAAATCTTCATCGTTAAAAGTATTATTATATAAATAAGATCTTCTTATCAGTACAATTGTATTTGTTTCTTTGAATTAATCACATATTTATGGTCTATTTAATTATAAAAACAAATGATCAAAATTCATTTTAATTAAGTCAATCATATAACACTCAATATTAGAAAAAGAAAAAAAAATTGTAATTGTCTGTTATTGTCATTCATTAACTATCGGATTTGTTCTTCACCAACTGGCATATAGCCTGGCACTAATAAATAAATGATAATGAAAGTTTACTTAAATGACAAAATATTTTTTCTTACCAGATGCAGCATTTCCACCCACGCCCCAACCTCCAAAAGTAGGCGATGTATTTTCACCAAGACGATCTTGTCGTACTTTATTTAAAAATAACAGCATGACCGGTTTAAGTAACAGTAAAAATATGGCAAAACTAAATAATGAAATTTAAATATATATATCTTCGTAAACAAAAGTAACTTACAATGCACTAAGTCCAAAATATGAACTATGATCCATAATACTATAGCCTTAAAAATAGATACTATAAATTACAAAAAATAAATTAAAAAAAAGTAACACATTTACTTCTTCTTCCAAGCTGAAAATACATTCCTATAGCTATTGCATCAAGAATAACTGAAAATGCTTTTATGACCATTAGCTAAATGAAAGAAAAAAACTATGTATATATAAAGATATATTAACTATACAAAACATACGAGTTCAACTTGAATAACGCTTTCACGATGAACTATAGCCCAAAGACCGAGCACAATGATTGCTACTTGATTCACAACGTATGAATATGGTAACCATTCGGCCATCAATACCCTAATAAATAGTTTATTTTTCATTGAAGTTAATTTTATAGAAAAAAATAACCAGCGAAGCATTATTCCATGTTCATAATCATCAATAGCAAAAAATTTATTACAATAACAGTAAAAGACAAATATATTTTTTCTTAAAAGAACGCTTGGTGTTAGTCTAGATTGATATTTTAAGCTGAATGTGAATCGTAACTATAACTATTTGATGCAATTGAGAAAGATTGTTCTATCTCATTTATTCTTCTTCTTTTTTTTACATATAAATCTAATAGAAGACTAAGTTTATGCACTATACATATGAGAACTAATGCGAATGTAAGCTAAGCATATTTCGTTGGTTTCAGTAATTATTATGATAGATACCATTCCATTGAAAAATAAATCTATTTACATTCAAATTAGTATTGTAGTTTATAAAATATCATTTGAACTGATATTCTTTATTCACCAAGTATGATTCATGCTCTTGTCATTTCTACAATTTCTATTGATAGCAATTGTATTATTTATCTAATCATATTTAAATAGCTATGCATCTATGTCTTACATGCTTGTATATATAAAATGTATAGCAACGATATACTAGAAAAATATATTTAATTGCAAGACTATACAAAAAAACAATTTTAAGATCCTTACTCGAAGAATAGCATCTCGATTGAGAACCATATTTATTCTTGATTTAATATCTAAAACGGATAGAAATATTTAGCTTCCATCACCAAATTTATTGCTTATAACACCACTAATAACAAGATTAGAACATAATAACAAAAACTATAACAAGTGTTGAAAGACAAAACGTTTACAAAAACAAAAATAACGATTTGATTTGATTATTGGATATCAACATCATAAGCTAGAATTGGTGATAACCATTTTTCTATTTCTTTAACCGACATTCCTTTTCGATCAGCATAATCACGTACCTAAAAATACAAATATTATAATTAATATATATATATATATCTACTAAAATTCATAGTAATGTTTTAAACCACGTTTAAACTTTTCTATTACCTTTACATAATGTTTATCTATTATTTATTTATCTTTCGACTCATTTCATGAATATTTTGTTATCTTACTATTAGTCATCATTTTACATAGACTGAAGATCACTTAAAAACAACGTTTATACTTCTGACTGACTCGTACGATATACTCATTGGTATTATTATTAATATATAAACAAAATCAACATACTTGATCTTCATTTATTTTTCCAACAGCAAAATAATTTGATTCGGGATGAGCCATAAATATACCCGAAACAGCTGAAGGTGGTTGCATGGCAAGTGATTCAGTTAATTCAATACCAATTGCTTCACTAGCATTTAATAATTTCCACATAGTTATTTTTTCTGTATGATCTGGTTGTGTTGGATAACCAGCAGCTGGTCGAATACCTTGATATTTTACTGAAAGTAAATCTTTGACTGATAAATTTTCATTTGGTACATAACCCCATAATTCTTTTCGAACTCTTTCATGTAAATATTCTGCACATGCTTCAGCTAAACGATCACCTAATAATTTCAATACAATAGATGAATAATCATCTGATTCCTATAAAGATCAAATTTTAATCTAACTATTTCCTTTTTTTTTGTATATAAATTTTATTACTTTTTGTGCTAATCTTTGTGCTTCTTGTTCAACATTAAAAACACCTAATGCAAAAATTCCAATATAATCCATTGAAGTCGATGATATATAATCTGATAAACACATATAAACATTTGAATCTCGTTCTGTTTGTTGTCGTAAACCAAATAATGTTTCTATGTGTTTCGAAGGATCTTTTGGATCAAAAATAAGTATATCATCACCAGATGTTCGACATGGATAAAATCCAACAATAGCACGAATTGAAAATAATTTTCGTGCAACAATATCAGATAGAAGTTTTTGTGCATCAGCAAAAACTATGCGAGCTTGTGCACCAACTTCTTTACAATCAAATAATTTTGGATAACCACGATTTGGATATTTTCCACGTATTTGCATTGCATCAAAAAATGGTTTCCAATCAATATAATCAATTAATTTTTCTGCTTCAATATTATCAAAAATTTCTGTACCTAAAAATGTTGGTTTAATAATATCTGTATTTTCTTTTTCACTAATCCATCGTTTTTTTCGTGCATCATTAATAGGTAGACAACGAATTGTTTTCAGATTAGCATAATATTCATCACGAATATCATTATAATCTTCTGCAATATCTTCTAAATAATCTTCTTTTTTATCTTTATCTAAATAATAACAAAAAAAAAATTAAGCATAAAAAAATAATGTATCATTATTATTACTAAGTAAATTGCCACAAACAACAACACTTTTTGATGCATCTAATACATGAATAACTGGACCATTGTGATAACGAGGAGCTATTTTAACTGCAGTATGTTGTCTAAATACAAGATTTATTTCTTTAAAGTAATCTTAATGACGATTTTATAAATCTTTAGGTTTTCTGTTCGTAATCTATTTCAAATAAGCTAATTCTTACTTAGATGTTGTTGCACCACCGATTAATAATGGAATAGTAAAATTTAATCTTTGCATTTCTTTTGCAACAGAAATCATTTCATCTAATGATGGTGTGATTAAACCTGATAAACCAATAAAATCTGCATTTTCTTGTTTAGCTACTTGAAGAATCTTATCACATGGTGTCATAACACCTAAATCAATAACTCGATAATTATTACAACCAAGTACAACACCAACAATATTCTTTCCAATATCATGAACATCACCTAAATATGAATTATAGAGACATAAAAGAAAAATAGATCTATTATTTACCTTTAACAGTAGCCATAACAATAGTTGCTTGAGCATCTAAACCAGTTATAGATGCATTACCTTGTTGTTTTAATAATTCTAGATTTCTTTGTTTTTCTTCTTCCATAAATGGAATTAAATGATTAACAGCTTTTTTCATAACTCGAGCTGATTTAATAACTTGTGGTAAAAACATTTTTCCAGCACCAAATAATTCTCCAACTTCACTCATACCATTCATTAATGGTCCTTCAATAACATGTAATGGACGTGTATAATGTTGTCTTGCTTCTTCTACATCTTCTACTATAAATCTATCAATACCTTTAACTAAAGAATATTCAAGACGTTGTTCAGCAGTTGTATCAACTCTCCATAATTCTTCTTGTTGTGCAATTTTACCATCTCCATCAGTAGCTAATGATTTAAGGTGTTGAGCATAATCAAGTAATTCTTCTGTAGCTGTTGATCGTTTATTAAATATACATGCTTCACAAAGTTCACAAAGTTTTGGATCAATATCATTATAGATAGGAATTTGTCCAGCATTAACAATACCCATATCAAGACCAGCTTTAATAGCATGAAATAAAAATACGGAATGCATTGCTTCACGAATACGATCTTGACCACGAAATGAAAATGAAATATTTGATATACCACCTGATGTTTTACAACCAGGACAACATGCCTAGAAATTAAAAATGAAATATTATGATTAGATATCGTAAAATATGATACATTGTCTAATTTTATTAATTTTTCATCTTAGAACTTAATATGCTTCACAAACTTCATCCAGAACGTTTAAGAGAACTTAAGTATTATCTTTTTAATGAATCGCTTCTTGTAGTGATTGAGAAATTCCTATATATCACTTACTTTGATACATTTAATTGCTTCAATAAAATTTATTGCATAATCATTATGTTCTTCCATTCCTGTTGCAATTGTTAATATATTTGAATCAAATATAATATCGTTCGGATTAAATTTGATTACATTAACTAATAAATCATAACTTCTTTTACATATAGCCGTTTTTCGTTCAATATCAGTAGCCTAAATAAAAAAAAACATCCAGTTTATTTTTCTTGAAAAATTTAAAGTTTAAATCTTTTTACTTGTCCTTCTTCATCAAATGCCATAATAACAACAGCAGCTCCATATTTTTTACATTTTCTTGCTTTTTCAAGAAAATCATGTTCACCTTCTTTCAAAGAAATTGAATTAACAATACATTTTCCTTGTGTACATTTAAGACCAGCTTCGATAACAGCAAAATTCGATGAATCAATACATAATGGTACTCGTGCAATATCGGGTTCGGATGAAATTAAATTAATAAACTTTGCCATAATAGCTTGACCATCAATCATGCCTTCATCCATATTTAAATCAAGTATCTGTGCACCAGATTCTACTTGTACTTTAGCAACTTGAAGAGCTGCATCGAATTTATTGTTTTTTAATAAACGAAGAAATTGACGACTACCAGCAACATTACATCGTTCACCAATATTAACAAAATTTGTATAACGAGATATACAAAATGGTTCAAGACCTATCAATCATAAATCATATTTTTTGATTAATAAGAAATAAAATGTAACTATACCACAGAGAAGCATATCTTCTTTATGCAAATCTTTTGGTGGTACTCTTGGTGGATATCGTTTAACACTTTCAGCCATAGCTCTAATATTAAACAATAGGAGTATGTTTAGAACTATAAAAAAAGAATTAAGTTTTTTTCTACTTAATATGATCAGGAGTTGTTCCACAACATCCACCGACAATATTCAACAATCCATCATGAGCCCATCCTCCAACATGATGTCCCATTGATTCTGGTGATTCATCATATTCACCAAATGTATTTGGAAGACCTAAATTGTATATTTTTTTTAAATACAACTAATAAAAATAAACTCAATTTTTACCAGCATTTGCATAACAAATAGTTAATGCAGTTGTACCCTTTGAGACATCTTCTAAAAATCGTCGCATTTCTGTTGGGCCTAATGCACAATTTAAACCAAGACTAGAAAATATTGATAATCAAGAATGTATCATAAAATATTCAATTACCAAACTGGATCAGCATGTGAAACACTAATAACAAAAGCATCCACAGTTTGACCCGATAATGTTCGACCACTCAAATCAGTTATTGTACCAGAAATCTAAACAAGAACAAACTATGAAAAGTTTTCTTTAAAATATTATGTTTAGATGTTACAAGAATTGGTCTAGTTAATTCAATATTAGTTTCAAACAAAGTTTTTAATGCATATATTGCTGCTTTAGCATTTGCAGTATCAAATATTGTTTCAATTAATAATAAATCAACGTTACCATCAATTAGACCTTTCGCTTGTTCAGTATATGCTTCAACAAGAGTATCAAAAGCTATTAAAAGAGAAAAAATTGATTCATCTGACAGAATCAAATCAATTATTTACTAATATTTCGAAAATCAGGTTTTTCTACTGATGGTGAAATGGACAGAGTTTTACTTGTTGGACCTAATGCTCCAGCAACAAATCGTCGAATACCTAAAAGAAAAACTTCTTAATTATTTTCATAAATATATTCATATAGTTAAACCTGTTTTTTGTGTATATTCATCTGCTGCTTGTCGTGCTATTTGTGCTGATCGTAAATTTAATTGATATGCTAAATGTTCTAAACCATAATCAGCTTGTGATATAAATTGAGCATTAAATGTATTTGTTTCAATAATATCAGCACCAGCTTCTAAATATTTTTGATGAATTTCTAAAACCACCTCCGGACGTGTTATTGATAATAAATCATTATCTCCTTTAAGTGAAATTTTATGATTCATTAAATCATATTGATCACAACGAAAATCTGCTTCTTCTAATTTATATCGTTGAATCATGGTACCCATTGCCCCATCAATAATAAGAATACGATTTGAAAGTGCATCAAGAAATTCATTTTCTATTAAAACACAAAATTTCATTGAATATTAAAAGGTTATAAGAATTAGTTTTACCTATTTTTGATTGATTTGAATTTGGTGGTGGAGTCATAGCTACAGATCTATGTGAAAATCTATCTAAATTTTAATAAATTAATATAGAATTAAGAAAGAATATGTACTTAAAATCCCTGAAATGCCGATACGAACGAAATAACTGAATATTTTCATATTATCGAATAAAAAAGCACCTGACCTATTCTCACATTTCGTTTTACGAGATAAACGATTTTATTCAATTAACCAATAAAAACGAATTGGATGTCGCTATACACCGATTCTTAAAACGAACTTTATTATTTAAAAGTACATTTTTCAATATTCGAATCTCAAGTTCTATTAATTTATGATTACTCACATCGTATATAGTCAGTTCATACATAGAGAAGTTTGCTAGACTTTGTGCTTCTTAATCTTGTTATAACTTTCAAAAAAAAATCTTCGTTAAAACATCGTTGATTCGAATATTATGAAATATATATATATAATCTAAGTGTTGTGTAGTGCGGATAGAATCTTGCCACAGTTCCTGATATTTAGAAAGATAGATGTAGATGAGATTGTAGGTGTTATATTCATTTTGTACCCACACCCTCAACTATCATTTATGTAAAATATTTCTTTTAAATTATAATAAAATATCTATGATATACAGTTTGAATGATAGATGTCAGTATATGACTATTCCCGTTTGTTCTGTTGAAACCGAGGCGGTAGGATACATACTATGACTGACTGTCTTGCTCATTTCTTCCTCTATGATTCATCCATCCTTAACTAAATGCTGTCACCATCGTAAGTACATACAAAAAAAAAAGCATTTCGATTTTGTTCGTATTTAACCATTTTTGTCTTCCTTTAATATCAAGTTGTCCTGAAGACAACCGTCAACGTTCGCAGAATGTCTTTATGAACAATAAAACATCGAAAAAGAATAATCGAAAACGTGTAAATTTAGAACAGCAAACAACGATAGTCAATGTACATGAACAATTATTACCTAGCGTTCCGTCTATCTCTTTAAAAGTACCTTCATTGACTGAAAGCAAAAGGTGAGACGAAAAGTACATCACATTTTTTTTCTTGTTATTCTATGCATCATTGTATAATGAGTATCTCAAAAAGGTATTTACTTGTTATATATTTTTAGTCGAATGTCGTTTCAATCAATTCGTTTATGGTTTCGTTTATTTATTGTAAATGATCTTGCAACGATTCTTGTTTTATTTATTTGGTTAATTATTAATATTTCTCTATTTATTGGACAATTTTTTACTTATCATCAATCACGATCTTATTTTTATTTACGTGCATTAATCTCCGATGGTTTAAGTATTGCACGAGCATCTGCATTATGTTTAAATTTTAATTGTTTTTTAATTCTTTTACCTGTTTGTCGAAATTTACTTTCACTTATACGATATATTTTACCAAGATGTATAACACAATCACGTTTTCGTCGTTTTGCAATACGTCTTTTTGATCAACATATTGGTTTTCATCGTTGTATTGGTTATGCTATTTGTTTTTGGTCATTATTACATGTTGGAGCACATATTTATAATTATGAACGTTTAATTGATATTCGTAATGAATATCTTACACTTCCAGCAGTACTTAATTTACTTTATTTACAATCATCTGATTCTGAAATTAATCCATTCGATAGAATTAATTCAAATACTTTAAGTGTAGGAGCAATGTTAAGTACAACACCAGGCATTACAGGAGTGATATTATGTATTTGTTTAATCATGATATTTAGTTCATCAACATCACTTATTCGTCGATCATTTTATGAAATATTTTGGTTTGCACATCATCTTTTTATTATTTTTTTTATTTGTATTATTATTCATGGTTTTCAAGGTTTAATTAAATCTCAAACAAATCTCAATCAACATAATCCAGATATATGTGCTTCACTTTATCGTGAATGGGGTATTAATCAACAATGTCTTATCTATCCACGTTTTACTGGTTCATCAGCAACAAGTTGGATATGGTTATTAGTTCCATTAGTTCTCTATACTCTTGAACGTATTCTTCGTTTTATACGTAGTTTACAACGTGTTGAAATAATAAATGTTATTCGACATGAATCAAATGTTATTCAAATACGTTTTCGTACTAAATTTATGGTTACACCTCAACCCGGTCAATATATATATTTAAAATGTTTTTCCATAGCTAAATTTGAATGGCATCCTTTTACTGTTACATCTGCACCTGAAGAAGATTATGTAAGTGTTCATATACGAACAATTGGTAATTGGACAAAAGAATTAGGAGAAAAATTTCTAATGTATCCACAAGATATACCAAGATTAGGTGTTGATGGGCCATATGGTAGTCCTGCTGATGATGTTTTTAATTATGATGGTGTTATACTTGTTGGTGCTGGTATTGGAGGTAAAATAAGAAGATTATTTCTTTCTCATTTTGTTTTTATTCATTTTTGTAGTAACACCATATGCAGCAATTTTGAAACATATTCGTTCATCACAAGCAAATCATGTTCGTCTTCGTCGTGTATATTTTTATTGGATATGTAATACAACATCTTGTTATGAATGGTTTGCTGAGATGCTTCAACAACTTGAACATGATCTTCGAGATCGACCAAATTTTTTAACATACAATATTTATTTAACACAATGGTCAATGGGACAAGCTCGAGCAGTTGTAAATAATAATACAGATGAACGTGACATTTGGACAGGTTTAGAAAGTAAAACACATTATGGTCGACCAAATTTTGATGTTGATTTTCAAGCGATAATTAACGAAAATTGGGAAATGACAGAAAAACGTGATATTGGTGTATTTGTTTGTGGTCCAGAACCAATTGTTAAACAACTTCAACGATTATGTATTAAAATAAATGATCATAAATCATCAACAAATAAAGTTCAGTTTTATTTAAATAAAGAAAATTTTTAAGTATATTTTTATTTTACATATATATATTCTTGTTTTTTTTCTATTTTTAATAAAATAAAATATTATTATTATTATCTAAGAGATTGATTTAACCAAAAAGAAATCATTTGTATTTTTAATTTAATCGAAGGATAATGGTAAAACCTATTTATTAAGACAAATAAATTGAATATAATATATCAAGGATTCCTGAATGTTTGCACACGCTTCATTACGAAATAATAAGAAAATATTAACTATTTTTAAATAAAATGCATCGTGAAAAGCTCTGTAAAAACAAGATGGAACACTACATTTTAGAATTACTTCCTACTATATTTAAACAACAAAAATCTTTTTTATACTTCACATATAACTCAGCATAGATAAGTCGTAAAATCTTGATCTTCTTAAAAAGATACATTATAGAAAGGCGCCTCGAGTGATTCCCATTGACTTCCGTTGATATTTTTTTTAACCCGGTTAAAAGGATAGATCTATATGAGACTACTATTAGGTATTCCAAAATGTTTACTATATTTTTTATCTCGCATATATATACACTCGTGAACATCATAAATTATTGTAGGTTTTTTTAATGTAAGATGTTCTGTGAGAAGCTCTGTAGAGAAAAAATACTAAAATAGATTACTATTGTAGTTTGGAAAAGTCTTTTGAAAACGTATTCTGATAATCCATATTATGAGAAGTAATTCTAGAATATAGTTTTACCTTTTGAATACAGAGAAAAACATTGGAATATGTTAGTAGAGATTTGTTTCGATATTTTTTGTAAAGCATTACTTAGTAGGAAGATATATCGAAAATGACGTATGAAAACGTTCGCGGGCGTTCGGTTATTTTAAGTCATAAATAACTATAAAATTCATTCTTTCTTTTAATGCTGATCTTATAGTTCATTAGAAATTAGACAATATATCATTTGAAATTCTGTCGCTAGATATATTTCTGTCTTATGAAACATCATTATTATTTGACGGATAGTAGAAAGATTATATAGCCATTTTTTGCTTTATGACTTACTGCCTATGGATGACGAATACAAAGAAAATTTTGATTAGAATGTGATGATGAACTTATACAGGTAGAAGACGTTAGGCATTCCATCCACGTAGTATTTTCACTACAGATTAATTTACTTTCGAGCATTATACTTCAATAATGAAAAATATAAATTTGTACAAAACCTAATAATGGATATTGTAACATTATTTTTCATCCTTCAAATGCCATACTTGAGTATTTTTCTATTCAACTAATTAAACTCTATTATCTGTTCTAAATTGTGTATTCATATTCTTCTTTGTATGTAGATTGTTATTCACTGTGAAGTACCATTTTTCTATTGACATTATTAATTATACAAATAATCTCATTACGCTTTGGACGAAAATAGAATCAGTTTTTATATCAATGAGATAGTTTGAAGATATTCTACTAATTATAAAAGACAGAACAAAACACAGAATCAGGTAAGATAGTCAAGGCTTTCAATAAGTGACAACTACGCAAAATATTACAATATCTTTGAGCATGTCCATATTTGAACGCAAGTTTAAATTCTATTTATTACTCATTATGCATATACCATCACTTTCTTGTACAAGTTTTATGTAAGTTTTCTTAGTAAATCGAAACTAAATTAAAATAACTATATTTATTATAGTTTGTATCATTTTAAATGGAATCAAATAGTTAGTCAAATATTCGGTGTTCTTCTCGTTGTTAATGGTTTAATTATTTTTGCTGAATTACCATTTACACTTCAATATCTATATCATGGTCAATTGTATAATGAAAGATTATGTCCTGCTTGGGTATTAGTTAATTATACATTATTTATATTAAGTATTATTCTCACAGCATGGACATCAATTGAACGTTATCTATTTATCTATCATGATCTATTTATAGCTCGACAGCGAATTTTGTTACATTATATTCCTATAATATTGTTTTGTATATATACACCTTCATTTTACGTAGGTCTAGTAATCTTTTATCCGTGTGAACAAGCATATAGTCTATATAATTATATTTGTAGTGGTCCATGTTATCTATTTGAAAGTGTACCATGCTTGATTGATTGGTGTACTAATGTAGGTTTAGTACTATTGATTACTTGTATTATAAATATTGTGATAATTGCACGGACTATTGAACAACGACATCGAATGAAACGGTCGATTATTACAGTAGGAAATAGGAAACAATGGGTATTTTAAATAGATTTTACAAGTATTTTTTATCTAATTATTTTTGTTTTACTTTTAGCGTCGTACAATAAGATTGAGTGTTCAATTATTTTCAATCTCAACACTTTGTATGATTGGATGGATTCCATACGGAATTGTTTCTACAATCCGAATCTTTCACAATACAGAGCTATTAACCTATATTCTCTCGACATTTTTGATTTATTTTCCATATGCTCAAACTTTATTCTTACCTTATGCTTGTTTATTCTTTATGCCTGACGTAAAAAAGAAACTTATTATTAGATGGCAATCATCATATTGTTATAAAGTAATTTATAACAAGAACCAAGTGGCTCCAATCAATATCGAACAGAATAACACGTTGACTCATGCTAATTTAGGCAAACAATTTTTGAAAACATAGTATTAAAAACTATTGTTCTTATTTATAGAATTTTTTTTTTATCATTAATACATCATATGGCTACTCTCATAGTTAAGACATTCATAAAAATAAAATTTTAAGAACACTGTCAAATATTTTTATAAAGTATTATTCTAAGTTATATGCTAAGTTTTGTCATTGTCAGAAAAGGTACTTAAAAACTAGTCATTCACATATGTATTCTATCTGGGAACATAATCACGTCACATATTTTTCAATTAAATTATAAACTATATCTCTTTTTTTAATTTCCCTAATCTTATTCCGTCGTTGAGTTAATAGTAAACATTCTTTTTAACCTACTTATCTATATTAAATGTGGAGTTCTTATTTGAGGTACATTAGTTATTGTTGCAACAAGTCTTGCATATCATAAGGTATTTATTGTCTCATCCATAACAATTGATGATGGACTAATTGTTGCTAACATATATGTTTTAGCATCATCACCAAGACTATTTTTTAATAAATATGTTAAACTTGAATTACGATGTGGTAAATGGTATTGTTGACCATCTGGATGGGGTGTGGGTATTAGACACGTACGGGTATATTACTCATACCCATCCACCCTAATGCAAATTTATGCTTGTAAAAGAATCTAGATGAAACTAATTTCTTCATATCAAGTTTCTTTTTAAATAAAACTAACATATGTCAATGAAATCATCTCAGTCAAAACCTAGATCACGATGAAAAAGAAATTCTTCTTATATCAACAGCATACGCATATAGTAAAGTTTCATAATTAATACATCCAATAAAAAATAGGTAAAGAAAATAGACAATTGAATTATGATTCTCAAAATCAATGTAAAATATACATATATAAGTAAATTATCACTTTTTATATAGAAATAGAATGTTAATAAATCATTTGAAAACATCTCTTTGTTGTTACATTTTATTTGAATGATTACTTTTTCTCACCTTTGATATAGAATACTAGATATACATCTGTATTAAGATAATATGTCATAACTCAATACTACAAAACGAGACAATTTTACATACAAATTGATTATATTCAGTTGTCAACAGGAGTTAAATAATTAAATCATCGTTCTAATCCAATTGTGTACTAATTATATGCATGAAACTAAACAAAACAAACGGGTGTGGGTGCCTCTTCTCTTAGCTCACATCCACATCCACCCTCAAGATGGTGGGTGGTTATCCTTTTAAATGTCAAAAACCATCATCATCTGTTTTCTTTGACTTCACTTTAAAATTTTTACATTAATCATATATTTATATATTTCATAGGATTATTTAGATAAAATTATAAGAGCATAAATAAATATTTAAAACATGACATAAAATGAACTTAAGCAAAAGAAGAAAAAATATAAAGCGATATATTAATCAATGATAAAATGACTTTACTACATAATTTAAATAAAAAAATATGTAAGAAAATCATTTTATTACTATTAATATAAATAATATGCAAGACAACATTGACTTAAAAGAGAAGTAGAAAAGTTAAAGATTCACCAGCCATTCCCTAATATCTCTCCATTGTTGTTCATACCACGTTTTTTTCGTATAAACGGAATGATTACACGTACAATAATCCTTAAGAATATTGGTACAATAAATCTATAGACTTTTGTTAGTCCTCCAATCAATCCTATAATTGTTGTTATAATATAAACAATATTTCCATAGCCAATATATGTTGCTGTACACACTGATGGTTGACATATATTAAAATAATTATCATAAGACGTTTGATTATTCCATTCTTCAACCATTAAATTTGAAACAATTTCTAATAAAGAACTTTTTTCTTGATAACGACTTGCTATTGAATTTAAAATAATATCCGATGCATTGATATTTACTAAAGATAAACTATTGATCAACTGTTGTAAACAATCAATATCGAAGAAACATCTTAAATCACTTTGTAAAACTGCTTCAACAAGATAACATCCGACAAATATACCTGAAATTAATAAAATATATATATGTTTTTTCTTCAAGACATAATATTCACTTAATCAAAAGGAAGACTCTATAGTTTCTAAACATTTGATCAATACAGTTTTTTTTAAATTATTTCTGTAAAATGAATAAAGGAAATATCTGAATAAATCATATATTTTTATAAAACTGGTCTCCAATTACGATTTAAAGAAAAAGAGGAATCCGTAGAGAATTGAGTTCTACTGAAATAAAGAATTTTCCGTGAAAAATAGGTCTAAATTTATTACGATAAAAAGTATCTTTTCCCTAAGTTTGCCCTGTGAAAATTTTGGAAATCAGGAAGTTTTCTGAAAATCGAAAGTGAGAAGAAAGAAAATAGAGAAAAGATCTTCATGTGTCGTTTTTCAGCAACCATATAGGCAAATGTTGCTTGTCACGATATTGATGATGATAAGTAAAAGCAGAAAAAAACAACAACAACAGTTCTTTCAGTCATATTTATATGCTCTCAAATCTATTTCCTTTTCCATTTATACAGATATAGACATAGAAAGAACTTTACCTGGTGGAGAAAACAGTTGTGTTGTTGTATCTAAATCATAAACAATTGCTTGTTGAATACACCATGGTGTACTTTGACAATCACAATTAATTCCAGTTTCATTCGAATTATATAGTTGATCTGTTCGATCATAATCATATTGATAATCTACAAAACTGAGGTCATTATACTCATATAATGGAGATGCTGCTGAATACAACGAATCTGATTGAAATGCAGAAAATAACATATTTGCTGCAGTCATATTTTCTACAAAAAAGAGTGAATTAATAAATGAACGAGCAGTATTTTGTAAAAATTGATTAATTAATTGATTGGTTTGAGTTTGAAATTGTTCAAATGTAATTAAATTTAATGTAATAAATCTATTTGAATAAAATTTTGTTAATTCTGTGTTAATTGCTTTAGATGATAAATTACAAAATGAATTTAAAAGTTGAAAAAATGGACTTCCAATTTGTCGAAAATCATCTTTTCTAGTAGAATACTCTGGTTGTCCATAGATATTTTTTGGCATTGTTTGTGGATAATCAATTATAAGCCATTGTGAAGTTTCATCGGCGAATGTACTTGAACAAATTGAATGTAAATGACGTTGAAAACTAATAAATTGTTCGTATGTAATTGAATATGTTTGACATGGACATTGAAGAGTATTTGGATATTCTTGATAAAGTTTGTTAAATTCAATAATTGATGGATTATTCTTAATAATTGTATATGTAACATTTTCAAAAGAAACATAAAATACTAAAATAAGTAAAGTCATTAGAGTAATTATGAGAAAAAAACGTGTTGAAAAACGTTGTTGTTGTAATTGTTCTTCAGATCTCTTGTTTCGGTTTTTAAATAAATTAAATGTTAAAGTACTTATTTTTAATTTCTGTCCTATTGTTCTTGTTGGTATACCTAAAAAAATCATACAAATAATTAATTATTATTCATTTTAAAACATAAATATTTCCTAATTTCAGTGTTTAAAAATAGGCAATATGAGTTGCGACATTTCTTATTTTGCATATATTTCGACATGAGAAAATGACAACATGTTGATTATTTTTTGGAAAAGATGCACCATAAAAAGGTGTACTAAAATCACATAGAAAACTTCTTCTTGACTGATTCTGATGGTTTTCCTATACATAATATGAACGACCTATATAATAATACTTTGTCCCATCGTAATAAAAACATCTGAAAAAATTTTTCATGTGCAGTAGAAAATTTTTATAGTGCATCTTTTAAAAAAAACAACATTCTATTATTTTCTTTTGTCGAAATATACGCAAAATAAGAGATGTCGCAAAACTTTCGAGACATTCGATCCAAAACGACCGCAACAACAAAATTCGAAATATTTTTCTCAAAACTGTTCCGGTATATATTTAATCACGCAGACATCTCTAATCTAATATCAGTTCTTATGTCGAAATCATTTCATAAAAACACTTATCTCCAACAAAAGACTTTCCATTCTTGTAATAGTCTTTTTGAAGCAAAAGTTTTAAGTAATCAAATTTTAAAAAGCAAAATTAATAAGAGTTGTCATTAACAAGATCAAAATATAATTGATAATTGCTCGTGACTTAGCTTATAAAGAGAAGAAAGATCAAATTATTAAATATGTAGTGATTTTATATGATTCTTCTACATTCAAGAGTTTTTTTTAAATAAATTTTAGATACCTTGATTAATTATTGATTGATCGGTACCAATTTTTCTTTTTTGTCGCCATCGTCTAATCATTAAGACAATAGATGGTATAATTGTTTTTAAAATAGTTGTTAATCCACCAATTAAACCAAATGTGATTGCAAATACATAACTAATATCTCCTTTAATATCATATGAATATGAGCATAAATATGGATTGCATTGTTTATAATAAAATTGAAATGATGTTTCATTATTCCATTCTTCAATCATTAAATTATCAATAATATCTTGTACAGTTGTTGTTACTTTATAACGACTGCTATTTGATTGCATAGCAGTTGCACTAAATGGATATGCTGATATTGAATATGTTAAGTTATAGATTGTTTGTAAACATGTTTGATCAAAAAAACATTCAAAATTAGAACGAAATATTGATTCACTCGCATAACAACCAGTATAATAACCAGGAACAGTAAATAGATTGTATATCGGCGAACTAGGAACCTAGAAAGCAAAATCAGCCGTTTACTATAAGAAATATCTAATAATAGTAGAACTAGATATGTGCGGAACTGGAATCAGTATCAAGAAAAACTTTACCATAACCGAAACTTGTATGTGAACTTATATTATGTTTTAACTCCATTAGTACTGAAATGCAATATTTGTCGTGTGACATCAATCATTTTATTACTGTCAGTCTAATATTTTGTTATACAAAAAGAAACTCTTTACAGAGATCGAAAAAGCATGGTTACGAATATTTTATTGATATTTCACTATTTGTGTAAAATCTTAGTAAATATGTTTTTGGGCAAAAAATTTTTTATCGAGTATTAAATTTTATTTACCGTGTAGTTCCAATAACTGATATCAGATAATACATTACACGTAGTTGGTTGGATTTTGCACGAACAACTTGTAGCATTGCTAGGTTGATAATAATTTGGGTAAAATATAACATTTAAATTATTAGGATTTATTATTGAGTTATTATCGTAATTGATCGTTGGATCAGGTACATACGCGTAGCCTAGAGTGGAAAACAATGCATTTCCCCAAACTGTTTGACGTAACATTGAGATTGAAAGTTGAAATGAATTTGCTGTTGTTTGTTTCATATTACTGATGAGCTGTTGTGTTTGAGAATTAAATAGATCTATTTCTTGTACAGATTTTGTAATATATTTTGTTGAATTGAATATGATTATTTCATTGTTGATTGTTTTCAGTGATAGTTCACAAAAAAGAGAAACAACTGGAAAGAATTGTTGAATAACGTAACGAAAATCGTTGGGATGTAAGATAATACCGTCCTTTGTTGTTAAAAAGTTAGTCCAGTTATGTGTAATAAAATCCGAATGACAAACTGGATGCAATGTAGGTTGAAATGATATGAATTGAGACTGTTCATTTGTAGTTGATGAACATGGGCAAGTCAATGTTTGAGAATATTTACCTTGAAGAGTGGAATAAACATCGATCGAAGGTTGGTTAATGGTGATCGTTTTGGTAACAGAATATGTGGATGCATAGAGAATAAGTATCAAAAATGCAGTAATTATTGAAATGATGAAGAATCGAGTTGAAAGACGTTGACTATGTAAGTACCATTCACTATTTTTATCTGGATTTGAGAAAAAGTTAAGATTGAGCAAAAACATTTTTATTTTAACAAATAATGAAGTTTGTTGCTCAGTGGTAACACCAACAGCTTGCCGTTCTATGAAAGAATAAAAAGAAAAACACAATAAATATGATGATTTGTAGTGTAGCCGGGGGGGAGGAGAGCAAATGTGCAATTGCTCATTTCATTTTAGCGTTTGCCTATCGTAATTTTGCACTAATAAATCGTTGCCTACTAAACTTTCATTCTTTTGTAATTGCAGTACTTATCAGTGGGTTATTTCATAAAAGTCTTTTTCTTCACTCTAATTCATTACATTTTCTATGTAAATTCGATGAAAATAATCACATTTCTTTTTTGGTTATTACAAGAACTTATTTTCTTTTCTTGTATTCTGTTATTTCTATAACTTTTATCGAGATAAAAGTCGTTTGACCTATCGAGAAAAACTCACAGCTCCCTCGCGTTAGCAGACAATGGTCAGGGGCTTCAGTTTCTTCTTCCCTTATCGAATCTCTATGGCCTGACATCTGACAGAGTCTTTGCAGTCAATTTCTATCATCCTAGTTACAATACGTACCAATATTAGTTTCATATGGTACAACTTCTGATGGTAATGATGATGATGATGATGATAATAACAATCGGTTGAAAGTTTTAACTTTTTTTCTTAAGAATTTGACTGTCGGTAATATTACGATCATAAGAAGTGTTACAATTCCACCAATAAATGAAATAACAGTCGTAATAATAAAAAGAATATCAAACTGATGAGTATAAGTATATGTGCAAGTTAATGGATTGCACGCATTGAAATAATGTTGATAAGATGAATTTAATTGCCAAGAATCCACTATTAATTTTTTAGCTAAATCATTAATAGTTGGAAGAGATGCAGCAGAAGAAGGCACTGCTAAAGGTGTTGCATTGAATGGAGAAAGTGAATCATTTAAATATGTGTTTAGTTTCGATAAACAACTTTCATTATATAAACATGAAAGATTTGATTGAAGAACAGCATAGAGTATGAGACTATCTACAAGTACACCTGGAACTTCAAATTGTAATTCAGCTCGATAGTGTGCCCAGGTTAAATTAGATGATGTCTCATTGGGAAGTTTTCTTAAGTAAATACCTGTTGTTGTAATACAGTATAAAGTGGTTTGATGTGAACAATCTCCATTATTTGGATATGGTTCAGATGCCCATGTTAAGAAAACCTGATTGTATGGGGCAAAAAGCATAGAGAATCTCCAAAATGTTCCTAATCGATTGTTCACATTAACATTAGCTGATGCCATTAATATAACTGAGTCAAGTGTAATTATAAAATCATTTGCACTTGTAGCTATAAATTGATCACGAGTCGCATTTATATTAGCTAAAAATATATCTTGTGAGATGGCATTATCTGTAAGTAAAACTGTAGAATAGAATGAAATTAATTGATCATTAATTGTTTGTTTAGCTAATGCACAAAGTGTACGTAACATAGCAAAAAATCCATAAGCTGTATGACGAAAATCCCAATAGAAATGATATTGTGTTTCAAAAAATAAACGATAATTAACATAATTGAGCCATTCATCACTAACAAAATCACTTGAGCAGATTTGATTGAAAGTCGGTGTAAATGATGATATGAATTTGTTGTATTGATTAGAAACACTTGTACATGGACATAATAATGTATTTGAATATTTTTCTTCTAATTGTTGATAATCGGATAAAGAAGGCTGTTCAACAACTACCGTTTTTGTTATAGAAGTTAAGGATGAATAGAGAAAGAGTGCAACAATTGATATTATAAACAGAATAAGAAAGATAATTGTTGATATTTTTTGATTTTTGATATCTTCTTCATTTGTTTTATCAATATCTTTAAATAAATTGATGCGTTTAATTTTAGTTTTAAATTCTAAGAACCAATTCGACGGCATTGAAAGGATGATTCTAAATAATACAAAAAACTCTTCTTGAAAAGAGGTGTGTCCAGAGAGTGAGAAAATGTATAGGTGTGAAAACTGCTGAAGCACATGCATCATTTTGATTATTATGAGTGGTCGAATTATGAGGGAATTAATGGTCAGTTCTCAATTCCTTAAGGAATTATCATCATTCTGTCGATAGTTCCTTGATAGTTAAGGAATTTCCATTTCTCAATTCTTGGACACTGCTGTTCATTTTCGACGTAAATTTCTGAGAAAAAGAACTGCTCATTACACTTATTATTTAATTTAAAATAAAAGACGAGGGACTATTTTTTGAATAACTTTTGTTGAATATATAATCTACATCTGAGCTTTTCACCAGTCGAATGAGCAATATTTGGACCATCGATTTGTATGAAATTTATTGGAACAAAAGATGCTTTTTTGTAAAAGTTTTCGATTGACATTTTTGCTTGGTGAATTTTCCTTAATTTTCACGAGATTTTTTTGATCAAATTGTTACTCGTATCATCCTCTTTTGTAGATACACTTGGAAGAATAGATTAGTGAGATCATCAAGTAAAATACAGTATTTTTATAATAAAGAAAGGATGAATTCAGTAAAATATGAACATAGTTTGATCAAAATATCTCTTGAAAATGAATGAAAATGCATTAAGGAAAAGTATCAATCGAAAAACTTCTGCACAAAAACATCTTCTGTTGTAATGACACTCATACAAATCGATGGTTCAAACATTGCTCTTTCGATTGGTGAAAACTGTAGGTGTGAATTATATATTTAGCAAAAGTTATTTAAAAAAAATAATCACTCGTCTATTGTGTTGAATCGAATAATATTTATTAAGTATAGTTCACTAAATTAAATTTGTAAAAGATGATAATTATTAATTATACTTAGATTCTAAAAGAAGAACTGTTAACTATATGCAGTATTATCATGTAAATCATATTCACTATTCGATTAACGTTTTCCTTCTTCTATGTTTCTGCTACTCACAATAATCAAAGTGATGGAAATTGAAGAAGAAAAACCAAGATAATATAATGAAAGTAGTTAAGAAATAGGTCAAGTAAACAACATAATTTCTTAATGAAAATCTTTCTTTCTGTACGATTCAGTTGATAAATTAGTAGAAGAATAGATGTGATCCATCTGATCGAAAAACTAATTGATAATTATTGGCTAAATTCCAATAAAGATGAATGTAAAACTGTTATTTGTGTGAAAGAGAGGATCTTTGAAGTATCTCTGTTGTTAATATTACTGATGAAAAGGTATTTATAGTGAATGAGTTATTTATGAAAAATATATTTATATGATCAATAGTAAACAGATTCGACATTGATCACTTATCTCTAATGATCACAATAGTATTTGATTATAAATCATGAATATCGATAAAATTTAAATGAAGAACACACCCTACTGAAACATCTTCCTCACTAGATCTTTCACTTGAGTAGAGATAGTAATAAAAAAAGATGTGTTACTGGAAATGCTAATAACTATCTCGCTAAAGTTTTGTTAGAATTAAGATTGAATTGAATGAAATGGATTATAAATGTTTTTATCAAATGGATTAAGAATAAACTTTACCTAAGAAGTTGATGTATTGAGTTGTTCAGCAAAAGAAATGCTATTGTCGTTTGAGATCAATATAATTATTCTTTTTTAAATATGACATGTAACAACATAACTGTGTTAGATCTTTTATAGAGCTCAGAAAAATTGTTTGGGAAAAACAAAAAAATGTGGGCGAATTTTTTTTCTGAAGAAAACTTTTTTTCATTAGTGAAGATAAATTTTGTTTCATTTATGAATCAGCAACACTATAGAAACGATTCCAACTTTTGTCCCCTTAGAAACGTTTTTATTTTTCTTGAAACAAGAAACTGCATTTCTATCATGCGCTTCAGAGATATCATGCGTTTCAGAGATGTCATGCGTTTCCGAGATGTTGTGCGTTTTAGAGATGTCATGCGTTTCAGGTATATCATGCGTTTCGGACATGTCTGTAGAAATGTGCGCTCAGATATGGCCGACACAAAAGTAAAAGTATTCATTAATTTAAGAACAAAAAAATCCTTTCTAAATATAAATGAGATTTCCTACGTTTCTCACTTGTCATTCGTTTTTTTTAAATATGTCCATATGAACGGGGTAAGAAATGCGATCAAATATGTTTCAAATGTTCATTTGCTCTATTCTAAATTAATATTTAAAATAAATAAGTAAATAAAACTCTTCTTATAAAAATAAGTTTTATCAAAAATCTAATTTCAGAGAAATATTTTTTTATTTATTTTACATAAACAGTAAAGATAAATCTTGGAATATTCTCATTTTAAGTTTGTTTTATTAGAGATATTTAAATAAAAATACTTATTCTTATAAATTTCACTAAATTAGTAATCTAACAATAATGTTTGAGACAAAAATAAAAATAAAACTTTCCAAAAATTCAACCGCTGCCACACCACCGCATGAACGTCTCTGTGACGTATGGGTTACGATATAAATAATTTCTGAAATCTAAGCATCTCCATATATTACACGTCATTTTTTCAGTTGAATTATAAAAGAGAAGTGATGAATTTGTTGATTTGTGAATCAAGTAAAGGATTCATGTCTAAAAAATACAAATGAGTAACTTGAAATTAATTTCTTCACATAAACAGACTATTCTTCACCGGACGTAATAAAAAGAATTCAACTCGAAATATTGATATAACTAAATAATAGAAATTTAGGATAATATTTATAAAAAATTAAATTATTTATATCATTATTACTACGACTACATTTGGTCGTCCGTTTATTCTTTTCATTATTGATATTCGAACTAGATCAGTAAATTCAAATAAAGCAATCATAACAAATACTAATGATATTTCAATAAATGTCAAAGCAATACGAAATGATATTTCGATGGTGAAGTAAAAATTCTCATAAACACAAACATTAAGAAAATTGATATAAGTATAACAATTCGAAAAACCATTTTTAATTGTTTCTTTGCACGTAACAATGTATTTACTAATGTAACACGTTTATTCATTTATCTAACATATCGAATTAATTTCAAATAAATAAATACAATTCCATTTATTAGTATTATATAAATAAAATTACATTATACACTGCTACGAAAGAAATATGAAGTGACATTTCACATACCTGATCATCAACAGAATATTTGATTGCATTAGTAACTATATATGGACATGCAAATATAAAAGCAGCCATCCACGTTAACATCATGAGAAAAAATTGAAATTTTGCTGATCGCCAAAATAGACAAGTTGGATAAATCACTATTATATAACTATGAATCACCTGTAAGAGATAAGAATACCTTAATACAAAATAAGCAACATAACCCATATAACCTCGAAAATTACAAAATAAATCTTGATAATAAATTTATTGAAGATCATTATAAAGTGAAAACGTTGTCACCCAAAATAAAATAAGTGTAAATATAAAACCAGCAAAACATGAGAGAGTAACAAGTATCGTAGGAACAGTATGATATGTTTTATCGGTTAAAACAATAAATAAAAATAATAATGACATTAAAATGGCTAGAATATCGACAAGAATAAACCATGACTGATTGATTATGATTGAAGTATTAGAATCTTTTAATAGAGAAACAAGAATAGTTGTTGTGTTCATCTATGAAATGACGAAAAAGAAAGGAAGAAAAATGTATATATATATAATGAAGAATTATCGATGTAAAAGATTTTTTTTTAAATTAACAACTATTTTTGTTTAGATATTACACTGAAACCTCTCTAATGTGAACACCATCGGGACCGGAAAAAAGTGTTCATTATATGGAGGTGTTCACTATAGAGAGTTAATATATAACATAGTCTGAAATGGAAGAAATCTTAGAATCTTTACTTATGCCTTTATAGTAGAGAAACACCCAAGTATCTATTCTATTGTTCATTTATTATCAGTTAAACGATTTTAATAAAAAAAAATTCAAAAAAGTCTTCCAATGTTGTTTGTCTTGTTGCTTTCCAATCAATATATCGACCTATTAATTTATAGATTCTAATAATTATTCTACATTTCGCTTCGCGATGTTATATAAAGAACCAAGTAAACTATGATAATTTTCTGATAAAGTTCGTTGAAATAAACGATTATTATGATCAAAAATGAATTCTATTTCCTTGTGCAAGGTTAAATCATGTCTTGATGCCATACGTTGTCCGAACGCACAGCACTCGAGCCATATATAAAATGCACTTGCTTCCAGTGCAAAAAAAATATATGAAAGAAAGTAGAAAGAAGTCAAAAAAACATCATATATATGTTCACATTGGAGAGGTGTTCATATTAGAGAGATGAATTTCCAGCAAAAATCGCTCCTTTGGACTTCAGATCGTTGATAAAACGGAGGTGTTCACTATATGATTGATCTATATTTTTTTATTCAATGTTGTACATAGAGTTATTCTACGTTTTGATATTCCGTATTTTTGGAGCAATACAAACAGTTCATAATATAGAATTGTTCATCTTTATCCTCTTTCGATAGTTTTTATTTATTATCCGTATACTCAAATTTTATTCTTACGCTATATTTCAGTACTATTTATACCTGAATTTGGTCAAACATTATATCAGTTTTTGATGAAAAATAACACCGGGTAGATAGTATGGCAGTGAATAAAGAAGACTTTCTTCAAATATTGTTATATATCAAGTATTTTAGAAGTGTTTTTATCTTTTAAAAATAATTGATTGAGTTCAAATCTTAATTTCAATTTGACATGAATGAGATTTTCAAGTTTTCCAGTGCTATATACATTCGTGTAAAATAAATTGAAATAGAAAACTCATTTTACCAAGTTATGTCATAAGACCTCGAAATAGTAATACTGGCATTCTGTTCTTAATAGAATAATACGAAATATACAGAGACAAGAACTGGAAAAAAAAATTGTTATATATTCATATAGTATTTGTCTTTGACTATCACCAGATTATTTATCGGTCGACAAATGTCGAGAGCTATATGAATATAAACAATATCTTTACTAATTCGTAATAAATGGAATTAAAAAAAAGGTTATATTTTAAAATACTTTAAACATAATCTTTTAATGTAGTCAGAAGAGAAAAAAATATTCGAGTATCGATTTATTCTCTGGTCTTGCGTGTGGGAGTGGGTACTCTATTCATTATACATTCACACCTAAACCCATTAAGTTATCTGACTTTAAAATATATCGGCTTATTATAAATGTGATAAACATAATTGTCCTAACTATTAAATATTTAATGATAAATACTAAACGATGCATTATATAGAAGATCATTAACGTACGCACACAATTCTAAATACTCATAACGTGTTTTTCAAGAAAAAGAAAGAGAATATTATACACGGGATGCAATATAATTTGCCTTGCTATTAATATCCTTTATATGATGATTTAAAAGAAAAATTCTACTATATCATGAACATTATCATATAACATATGCCCATTCTCTTCATTATTTAACTAATAGTATTTTGTGAGAAATAAATAGATGAATTGCATTTAGGAAGTTTTCTTTTGCTATACAACTTCAGTAACTGAAACTATGTATGTGAGATATGAAAACTTGAGATTAAACATAACCCGTTATGTGATTATTATCTAGTAAGAACATTTCTATGAAGTTCGTCAATGTGTTTGTATATTATTAGCATAACTATTTTATTTAATATTCAATCTAAAGAAAAATGAAGAGGATAATTGGCTTCATTTGTAGTTTGCTTACGTATTTCCTGTCATAAGTCATTCGTTGACGTATGTGTTCATCTGCTGTCAATGAGTAAATCTAGGTTTTATTTCACAAATATCTTAATTATCTATGCTAACAACGAATATTTCTTTTTTCTCTATATAAAAAAACAAATTATTTTTGCCGAATAGATACATTTTTTAGTAGAGCTTTTGACAATACTAGTGTAATTTAATCTCAATAAGTTATATAGTCAATAAAATAGGTATTCAAAATTATCATTGATTATAATAGTTACTAATGAGACTAGTCGAGAAAAAATAAACCTAACAATCCTAATTAAATCATACGTTTTAAAGAGATTTAGATCATTAAATAAATTCGACATGTCATTGAATGAGCAGATAAGTTTATTAGAAAAGTTTTTATCTAACTAGATGTGACTTGTTTGGTTCGAGATACTTTTTCTATAAAACATAAAGGTTAGTCAACTTGTACTCTTGTTTGTAAATATAAATATATCTAAAATGTATTCATTCGAACAGAAGCTACTTGAGTATAGCCGGCGACACTCTTCAAAAGTCTCAACAAACAAAAATTCTATTATAGATAAATATTAAACTAATTTCTTGACTATTTTTATATATTATAATAGAAAGTATAGAACAAAAATTATCGTCGGTGTATTATTGTGAAAAAAACTATATCTATGCCATCCACAGTATATTTATCTACAGTACAACAATATTTAACACGTTATGGTATGACAACATATATTATACTTGGCAATATTGGTTTACTTCTTAACATAGCGATTTTTATTTGGCCTGCATATCGTCGAAATCCTTGTTCAATTTATATTTTAGCTGCATCATTTTGTGGTTTAATTGGTTTAAATATATCTGCTGTACCCGTAGTTTATGCATTGGATAATACTAATCCAGTTACAGCGTCACTTTTCTTTTGTCAATTTCAATTTTATTCTCGTCATTCATTTAATCAAATGATGCGAACATATTTTATATTTGCTTGTATTGATCGATATGCTATTTCAAGTAATAATGTTCGTATCCGATCATTTAGTCAATATCGAACAACGATTTATATTATTATATGTATTCCTATATTTTGGTTATTATTATCTATATTTCCAGTAATGTTACGTTCACTTGAAAATGGTAAATGTCAAGGAAAACCAGGTTCACCTTCTATTATATTATCAGTGTATATTTCTATTGTTGTTGGTGTAGTTCCACTAATTAGTATGATAATATTTGGTATTTTAATGCTGAAGAATTTGAAGAATATTCGTGCTCGTGTCCAACCAACTGGAATTTCAAGTGTAATAAAATATGGTCTTCACAAACGTGATCGGGATATGATGAGAATGTTATTAATTGAAACAATGTGTTATATTACTACGACAGCACCATTATCAATTAGTCTTATATATCAAGCAGCTTCACAAACAGTTACGAAAGGCAATGATCAACAACGAATTGAATCATTTATTACATATTTTACTGGTACATTTTTAATTTATTTTAATAATAGCCTTTCTTTTTGGATTTATATTGTGGTATCACGATCATTTCGATTAGAATTAAAAAATTTATTTCTCAAATGTTATGAACTTATTGCAGGCAAAAAAATACAAATAAATACATTAAGTACTACATAGAAATTCTATGTTAAATTTTAAAATTGATGATCAAAAGTATATGTAGCGTATTTTATGTTGTCATTCACTTTTTTGTCTTTTGTAATCCGGTTTTTTCCTAGACATATAAATAAAAGGAACACTTAACTATTTTGAAGGGTAGATGTGAAAGTGGATGTTGTAAAGCGAATCATCTAATCATGATGATGGTAATATTGGAATGAAATACAAACTCAAGCATTTCGAATAAAATAAGAACGATGTCTTGAATACTAACGATAACCAAGCGGTAGAATTTATAGAGAAAAACTAATATTATCACATACATGTTGAGGGTGTTAGTGTTATATTCATTTCATACCTAAACCCTCAAGACGGTTTTGTTAAAATATGATCGATAAGTATTTTTTGATAATATTTTACAATTAAGTCAGCATAATGAAATGAATCTGGTTTCTTCGACAGAATATAAAATAATACACATGATAGAAATATTTCTAATACTCTAACATAGTAAACAAGATGAATCTTATTCAAATCGGCCTTGACATGTCATTGTATTGGATCATACGACGATGGTAAACATACAATTGCGATATGTGATAATCTATTGTTATTATACTACAAAACAAAGATGCATGTTGACGCTATACAAGGTGACTTGTAGATTCGTACTGTATATCTCTCTTACGATAAAAGTAAAAGAGTACACTTTTGTAAGTTTCATCTCACAAATATTCAAGAACCATCGTATTTAGTTGATTTCTATGGTCGATTCTTTTATTTCATCATATTTTTATATATGATATTTATATTAATAAAATCTAAGAGATTGCCTGATAATATCACTGATTATTTTGTGTATGAAATATTAAATATTTTAGAGTATTCAAAGCAATAACAATTATTTTTAGAATTATCTAGGACGGATGATTCCATAATTCTAGTTATTGTGATGTATGATATCGCGAGAAGTCATTATCCGTAATAGATTTCTTTTTGTAAGATAAAGTATTGAAAGTGTAAATAATAGTTAATGAATGTATCTACCTAAGATTTATTATTCAAAGAAGAAAGCAATAATACAAAAAAATAATATATAATTTAGTCAAAAATTGAATAATTTTAATTGGGACAACCATATACTCTCTTAAGCTTGAAAACATCTAATTCAGTCATAGTAGGACTTTTTCCCATTGTGAATCGCCATTTTTGTGCTTCTTTTGAAATTGGTACTATGTTTGGTAAACAATTTGTACTAAAACCATTGTAAACATAATGCATGACAGAATCTAAATGAAGTAAGAAGAAAAGAAGAATATGTTATTTTTATATAGTTTTAATTTAATATCATTTTATCGTACTATAATCGTAAGCTACATCTAGATTCCAAAATCCACTTGTACCACTTTTATCGAAGGCATATTTATATTCTAGAAGAAATTTGTTCACAAATAAATATCAAAGATAGTCTATATATCATACTAGGTTGGATGTTTTCATAAATAACTTTTACATATGTATCTCTATCTGGTCGGGCTTGTTCATGATCAAAACCGAGAGCATGAAGAAACTCGTGCATTATTGTACTTTTTTCTACACAATTAGGTCTCATAAGCATTACATCTTGAGAACCTGGTGTGTCCTGCATACCAACGGCTGCGAAACATCTATATACATTATTAAATAATCAGAGATAGCATATTTAATAATAAAAGAGAGTTAAAAATACTTACCCATGTCCATCAACAACAGTTACCCAATTGGTATCAGTACTGGTGTGTGGAACAAACTTGATACAACCGCCTGTCAGTTGAGTCATCTCTGCTAAACTATCAACAATTAGTTTTTTATCAGCTTCATTAAATACATCAGTAATTACATAAGGTACAGTATTATCTGTCCATTTCAGTGTATTTACAATTTCAGATCGTTTTCGTACTTTATTTAGACATTGATGAGCTTCACATGAAAGCATAAGACAACATAACATAAGGCATACAAAGATACGCATTTTGTCAACTGAATATTTCTAATCTAAAACAATAATATGAGAAAAATATTAATATAAAATTAACTCATATATCAAGTAATAAATATAAGGGGTAAGAACTGATGACTTGTAGTTTTTTAGACAAAAAAATGGAACAGATTACAAATCTAATATAACTGTTACCTTTTAAAATTATTCGAATAGGAATACAATTAGTTTCTCATATATGAATCGAACGAAAACTATTTGATAATTGTATGTCTAAATCACCGATGCTTGAATAAATAACAACCATAGTGACAGAAAAATATCTTCTAATTACCTACCTTTATGAGAATAAGAGAAAGTGAAAGAAAACAAGTGGATAAGATCAACCATTTTATTTTTTTTTAACTGCATCTATTGATAAATGATTACTGGAACAGGAAAAATATAGGATATTATTACATCGGCTTCATTTAAAATGAAGAGCCAATCAGAGTTCTGTTTCTTGTTTTTATCACATCAATAATTATGAATGAAAATAGAAAGAGAGAGTGGTAAACGTTTGATATGACAAGCGCTTACCTATCTTTTTTCCATGTGTGGGATGGATACAGTGGGTGATATTAACTACCTTTTTCTTTTAAAATATATCCATGCACAGCAATCAACTAAAATAACAAATTATGTAGAGTATCTTTACGTAACCTTCATCATAGCAACAGAATGCATCAATTCGTGCTATTTTGTTTTTACTTCATATACCCGTTGGTCATGCATGATACCACGGTATAACTAGCAATCGAATATTACTGATATGTGTTTACCTTCACTAATCGGATACACAGAGAGGACAAAAAAAAATAACCCAATACAGTCAGTATACAGTTTTCATCGTTATGATCGATTAATTTTTATTTTCATGATCAATAACACATAGAGAAGAAGGTGAGAAAAATAAAGTCAATATATTTTTAGTTGTCTAAAGCCATACTGTTTCGCTTGAAAGATTCCGATAGAAAGTTAAGGTATAATTAGTATTATCGTTTCTTCATATTTGATTTTAACTAACAAATATAATATTTTTCTGTGATTGTTATACTAAAAATTTCATATATGATAAAGTAAGTCATTATATCTGTTATTATTTTATTTATTATATAGGAATCAATACTATCGAACAATGTCAGTCTTAATTAGTATAATTCTCATATCAATAATATTATCGAATTTTAATGTTGAAGCATCACGTACAAGAAGCAAGATTGAAAAAGAAAAATATCTTCGTCAACTTATACGTCAATTACAATGGAATGAATATAAACGTTCATATTATTATTATCATACCAGTAAGATATTTCTATAAATCTGAATGAAATATTACTTTTATTTGACTGTTTGTAGGAACCGAAGCAGAAGGTGATTGCACAGCAGATATTATAGGAGACTTAAGATGGTATGGAGAACAAACAATAGCCATACCAAGTTTAGATACAACTCAGCGTTGCATGGATACTTGTGATATGGACAGTAAATGTATGGGATGGACATACGATCCGGATACCAAATGGTGCATGGGTTATAATTCAATAACTGGTTTATACAGTGCACCTGGAATGAAATCTGGTTCATGTATTGGTAAGTCATTCTTTAATTAACTAAATATAAAACGATATATTTATTGAAATGTTTTTTTTATCAAAGATGGTTTGAGAAGAAGAAAGTAATTAATTTAGTTAATTTTATAATCGATAATCAATATCGTTTCCTTTTATTTGATTTTACGACATCTAGATATAACAAGAATTTTTCATTCATCAACTTGATTAGCATAGATTTTGTGATATAAAATTTCTTTTTTTTAATAGGAACAAGTATAAAATCGAAATGCAGTGAAAAACGAGTCGACGGTCAATATTCAGGCACCAATTTAAAAAAACTCGAAACAGTCAGTTCACCAGAAGATTGTATGACTGCTTGCGATAACTTGAACACATGCTACAGTTGGTTATATACACCACAATTACAAACTTGTGACCTTTTTGATAATATGGGCACCTTTTATCCAGGTGAAGGTTTCATCACTGGATCTTGCATTGGTGAGTAGATCAAAATAGTTACTTTTCATTAGTTCAAATAGAAACTAATATAGAATTTATTGATTTATAATATTCTCTTTTTAGCACCACAAAAAAGAGTTCGTTTGGCTGAACCTCTAAAAGTATTCAGAAAAGAAGCATTGGAACGTCATAATGATGTGAGAAAAAAACATTGTGTACCAGATTTAACATTAGATTCAGATCTTAATAAATTATCTCAAGATCTTGCAACTAAACTAGCTGCTGAAGATAATATGCCACCTATTTATCAAGAAACTGGTTTACAAACTGTCTATTATGATATAGCAGATGCTGCTCGCCACTGTAAGTAGAGAAAAAATTTTCATTTTGTTTTTTTTTATGTATTTATAAATCTATTTTCAATCAAAGGTACAAGTATAGTTGATTGTTTTTATGATGAACGTAATTATTATGATTGGAACAGTCCAGATTTTTCAGCGACAAATCGTTTTCCAAAAGTTATTTGGAAAGGTTCACAAAAATTAGGTGTTGGACGAGCATTTTCAACTGATACTAACACAATGTATATTGTCATAAGTTATGATTGGCAAGGTGATTGGACACAATCGTATAAAGAAAATGTTTTACCTGTATGTACATAATTCAAATCATCTATTCCATAATCGATTTTCAACAATAAAAAACAATTTTTTTTCTATAATAAACTACTAACAAAGAAACTTTTTTACTAATTAATAAAATTATATGTCTTAACATTTATGAAATACTTTAACTTAGATATACAAAATAGTCATGTCTAGTTTATTACATAAGGAAAAAAAATACATCTCATATATATATATATTCTATTAAGATAGTAAAGGTTGAGTTTCTGGATTAATTGGTCGTTTGTATCGATAAACTCCTATAACAGCAATAATACCAATAATGAATTCAATACATAAAACAATAATTAATGCTTGAACATCTGGTGGAAGTTTAGTAGCTGATCGGCTTTTAGCTAATTGATTAAGTAATGATCCTAATCGACGACCTCCTTGTGCTAAACGTTGATCAACCAATGGCCAATTTCTATTGAAATAATCATCTCCTAATGTAAAATTTAATGAACCATTAATTTTAGTATTATTATCATCAAAATAAACTTGTTTACAAACATAATTAACACTTTCATCTATCCATAATTTATAATTATCATATGTTTCATTAATATTTAATGATTGATTTAACATAAGAGATTCTAAATAATTATAATAAAGATTAATATCTGATTGAAAATGTTGATTAATATGATTCGTTATTATTTCAACATCCCATATTGTATGAAGATTTGTTTCATTTGTTCCATTTAAAAACAAACCTTTCACACTATTACCACCAAAATCTCCTTTAAAACCACAATGTAATGGTTGATGAACATCACCAACAAAATGTACAAGAAAAAATAAAGCTTCTTGTTGTTGAATATAATCACAATTATTATCAATTAATCTTTGAGAATAATTTTTTAATGCACCTTCAATACATCGATTATTTAAACAATCTCTTGTTGAAATATATGTACAATTCCAATCAGGTGTATTAATAAAATGTAATTCACGAGACCATTGCCAATCATTATAATCAAATGGATTTGAATCTAAATAAAGTATAATATCAGGCCATGACGCAATTAAACTTAAATCATCAGGTAAATTCGATGGAATATAATTGTCAAGCCAATGATTTGTAGTTGAATTTAATTGACTTTGAGCAAGACGCGCAACTAAACTATGACCAACTGATCCCCAACCAAAAACATATAGAACTTCTTGACAAAACAAAATGAAATATAATCTTATGATTAACATACTACAATATATATGTGGGTCAATACATCGGAAAGAAAAACAAAATGATTATTCGAAATGTACCAAATACACGTACATTTGTCACGCGCCTGGAACGAAAAAAGAAAGACCTTCATATCATATACTTTGATCATTTTCTATTGGTCTATTTTATCGGAGTGACATATATAATATCAATCAATGGTATTAATGGCGCTAAAAGTTATAGAAACAAGAAAATACCTACTTAATTCAAAACAATATAATCTAAGAAAATCTATTTGTATACAAAAAATTATATTATTCCGTATTAGAGCAATAGAACAAGTATATTATTCTAACAAGGAGGATATTTTATTTTTAAATAATCAATCAATATTTTTGCTTGTGTTAGATTCGTTTTCTGTAATACAGTAACATCTGGATGGTTTAATTCTGTACGTAATTTTGTATATTCTATTGTTGCTATTGTATAATTAAGACCACTTGTTGATATATCAATTCCATTAACTAACCATGTTTCACCATTATTTAAAGTTTCTACTCCAGCATAAGCAAGAACAGATCCAGCTCGTTTCATTGATGTACCAGTTGTAAGTACACGTGCAAGTAATTTACCAGGTACTGAGAGAATGATAATAATATTTTTAAAAGGCAATGTACGTATAATATCATATTGTGTTATTGTTTCACGAAGAATATCATCGATACGTATTGCACCACCATTAAAAAGTGCAACAGTTGTTCTACTTGATTCAGTAGCTTTGATCATACTTTGACAAATTAAATCAGTTAATAATGTAGATGAAGTTTTAACTGATTCATATCTACCATCTAATTCAAGTCCTAATGGTAGACATGAAACAGTTTCATTTGGTTCGAAACCTGATGTACGAAAACCTTCAATACCTAAATTAAACCAATAATTAGCTACTTTTGATGTTTGTTCTTCTTCCGGAACTTCTGGTGTTACTGGTGTTAATGTTGGATAAATACGAAATTTTTTTGTATCAATATTATATGCACAACGAAGTATATAAACTGTAAAAGCATTAGCATCTGCTTTATAAATTGATGTATATTTACTTCCTCGTAAATAATAATAATCTTCATGTTCATGTCCACCAAGAATTAAATCAATTTGTGGAATTTTTTCAGCAAGTTTTATATCTAATGACATATCTAGATGTGTTATAGCAACAAGAATATCATATGTTTGAGGAGAAAATTGTTGAAGATATTGTTGAACATGTGTAATAAGATATGTTTGATTAATAATTTTAACATAACCTTGATTTTTATCAATTGTTAAACCAATAATAAGAATACGAACTTTATTAATTATAAGTATTTTATGTGAGATACTTGTACCAAATAATTTGGAACTATTTATACGATAAATATTTGTACTTATCCAAGAAAATTTTGATTCATTCATACGTAAAAGTAAATCTTTTTCATCTAAATCAAATTCATGATTTCCAAATGTTGTAAAATCAAGTCCTAAAGTATTAAATGTTTCTATCATTTGCCGACCATTTAAAGTTGTTCCATTTATTTTTGATGTACTTAATGCTGATGGAGAAAGAAAATCACCAGCAAGTATTGTATATGTATGTGAATTTTCTTGTTTTAATAATTTACGTATATAAGCAACACGAGCTAAACCACCTTTTCGTCCATTATGAAGTGGTAATAATTCATAAACATCATTTAAATGTAAAAATGTCCATTGAACATATCGACCATCGTTTGGTAAACGTACAGGATAACCAATTATTCCTTTTTCAACTGCATATACAATAGATGATGGTTTAGAATTATGATATAGACTCGCAAAGACAATAGTTAAAATTAGAAAACATACACTTATTATACTTAAAAAAGTATATATAAGACCATGTGGTATACATAATGCTCTCCATCGATGAACGTTTAAATGACACATCGGTAGAAAAAAATCTAGAAATAGCGAAACTATTATGTTTATATATGCAAAAAAGAAGATACAGAATTGAATATATATCAGTAAACTTATTTCAAATATTACTCTAAATCTTTCAAGGAATTAGATGAAAACTATCCTATTAACTTGTATAAACATATATATATATCCTTATATTTATCGTATATATTGCTATATAGCAATCTATTAGAATTAATATCCGGCTATACTTCCCGCTGTCTATCTATATATTTATTTGTACAAATACGAGATGAAGATTGGGTAAAAGCTGATAATAAAGCATGTAAATGAGTATACCATTATGCCAACTCGTTAACCTTAACAGACGACATATACATGTAATTATAAAGTTCGTCATTTACACTTTAAGGTATTCCGTAATGATACATCTGTTTTTCTCTTTCTGTACATATTCTCATTGTATGATAGTCTTGATTGAAGAGTCAAACGTAAACAAAGAGATTATTATATTACATTGTTGTTCGATAAAAATATTAAAATTTCATTGATTTCTATAAGGGATAAGTAACAGTTCAATTCGACAACTTTCTTAGATAAAATATCTTAATAATTAATCCATAGAAGAACAAAATCTATAAGTTACGAACTTGATATTATAATATTTCCGTACCTATTTTTCAACATGTTGATTTTGTACTGATATTATTTTATATCTTTTAAAAAAACAAACAAGCGCTAAATTTACTTTTTTATTAGTTGAATAAAATGATTTTAGTATTTTTTATCCTTACAACTTTTTTTATAACCATTTGTTCTTCGGTTCGCTGTATCGGAGGTCCACATTGTCAAATGATATTAGGTTTCAATCAAATATTACCTACTAAGAAAAAAATACTTGAAACATGCTCGATCATTAATAGAACTTTCTCATGTCCTGTATATCTCAGAATTGATTATAACGATCAACAAGTATATCTTTCATTTGAAAAACCAACACATAATACTCGTTCACCACATCCTTCTATCAATCTTCTTGAAACGAATCCTCAGGCATCAGTTATTTTTCGTTACACAGTTAAAGTTCGAGTACATGATAACAAGAATAAATTGCAATTATATGTTTTACTTGAATGTCGATCAGTTAATCGCTGTATAGAAAATCTGCGTCAGTTTTGGCCTCAATTTGTTTTATTGAATGATCGTCGAAGTAGTTATTTTATTTTTCATGAACTACTTTATTCAAATGAAACAAATTCTACTGACTGTTTTGATGATCGAACAAATCAAACCATACAATGCTCATCATTCTATAATATGTGTTCGGCATCATCAGAGACTGAACGAACATGTACAAGTCATTCAAATGAATTTATCTATTCTTATAATAAAGCTTACAGGCCACATCGTTTAACAAATGAATCAGTTTATTATACATTATCATGTCAAGTAGATAATTGTACTGACAATGAAAGTATTGCTAATGTAAGAAAAAACATCATTTAATCATATAGAATTAAACAGTTTTTTTGTTTTTATAGCTAAGTAAAATGGCTCGTCATTTTGCAGAGAATTCATGGTCACCAGCTCAAAAAGAACTCTTTCGCAAGAATAATTCGAACAAGAGACATCATTCAGTACTGAATTTTTCGATTTACATTTCAATACTTTTTTTCTCAGCATTTTTATAATATCGAAAATTATGTCTTTTTAGTTATATATATAGTCTGATGAGAATGAAAATAAAGAAAATATAACATTAGAAGAAACTACTTAGCCATACACATAACAAGCGGTACGACAGAGAAATTAATGCACAAGATCCATTGAGTGAGCATAAGTTATTCTACACTGTAGCACATGTTGGATGTGCACGTATTGTATGTTATTGAACAAATCAAGATGCTGAACCTGATTTATTGCAAAGTATTTCTTTAGATGTGATGTTAACTATTGTCAATATAATAGATTTAATCGTTAAACTCATAATGGACATATGTTAGAAGCTAAATAACTCTTAAATCGAGAAGTAGATGTAAAACTAAATAACATAGTACTTCATTACGTACTGTTTATTTACATATATTCCATGTGTCTTTATTCCAGTGACAAAATTAAGAAAGCAGTAAGAGAAGTATGAATGGTTAAACTTGAAAAGGGTACCTCAATATTAGATATCGTATAAGCAGAATAGTTTTTTTTTGTTTTGAAAACTACTATCTAACTAATGATACAAGTAACTTTATATTCTTTCTCACTACAGTATGTAACGAGGTTTTGTGTTGTTAAAAGAAAAAGATGTTGATAAGAGTTTGTCTATAATAAACACTGTAGATTATATTTAAAGTTTTTTATGTCATTGAAAACGACTTGTTTTTTTTTATTTCATCACATATATCTAATTGTTTTGATAAATAAAAATGAAAATACTGAACATTACAATATTTCTTTGTTTATTGTGTATATTTCATAATGCACAGACAGCGGATAATATTCAAGTATTTCATTCCTATAAAAATATTATTACTCTTCATTGGAATAATGTCACTCTTGAATATATGATCATTCGTGATAATCAAATTTGGTTTGAAAGTGGCCCATTTTTTATTCATTTTAATCAAACATATTATTCATCATCTTCGAATCAAGAATCAATATCAATGTTACCATTATATTTAATTGAACAATATGAAACAACTGGTATTGATGTTGTTTTAGGTTCATTTAATAAACTAACTCTTCGTTGGTCATCTACATTACAAACAGATATTTCTATTTGGGAAACATCATTTAAAATTTTTCAGGAACAACCAATAATTTTATTTGATCAATATTTTCCTCTAGATCTTGATGGAATGTCCATGGGAAATGATATAGATACATTCAAACATGTTTCAACAGCATTTCCAAGATTTAAAGTTTCATTTAATCAAACTGATCAATATGTTATTGATCATTTAGGCCATTTTACATTTTTAGAATTTTGGGATTTAAATATGCGTGGTATTGGTTTAAAAAATCTTTTTAACGGAGGTTTATATAGTGGAAATCCATTATTATTATATAATTTAACTAAATTAGATTCCAATATTATTCTATCACCTTTAAATAATTTCATGACAAATTTTCAAACACGTTCACCATCATTAAATTATCATTTTTCATGTGGTTTACATGGACGTATACGTCAGATAGAACAATCATTTTCTTTAACAACTATTTTATTAGCATCACAATCTAATCAAGGTATTAATAAAATTACAAATCAATGGGGAAAATTATTGTTACAATATTACGGTAAACAACATATAAATCAACATGAAAATTTTCATGAAGATTTTTATATATCAAAATTAGGTTATTATACAGATACAGGTGGTTATTATTGGTATAATACAGAATCAAATTTAACATATGAACAAACATTTATTAATTTAAAACAGTATCATTTAAAACAACAAATACCTGTTCAATATTATGAGTTAGATTCTTATTGGTATTATAAACAAGATGATTATACTGGTGAATATGGTGGTATTAAATTATATGAACCACGACCAGATGTATTTCCAAATGGTATTGAAAGTTTACAACGAGAAATTTTAAAAACACCTTTAATTGTTCATCATAAATATTATTCAATAGATAATTTATATCAAGATAAATATAAATTTTTAAATGGTAGTGTTGGAAACGCTTCATTACCGTTGGAACAACGATTTTTTAATAAAATTTTTTCACAAATTAAACAATGGGGTGTAGAAATTCTTATACAAGATTGGCTTGCATTTGTTTATGAACTTCTACCAGATGCATCTTATGATGTTCATACAGCTCGAGAATATCATTTACATTTAGCTGAAGGTGCTAAACAAGCTGGAATTAAACTAATTTATTGTATGCCCGTAAATCCAGAAATATTAGAAACATTGGAAAATACTCAAGTTCATTATATACGTATAAGTGATGATTATTCAACAAATATTAATCAATGGAATATTGGTCGACCATCAATGATTACATGGGCTTTAGGTGTAATACCATTTAAAGATACTTTTTGGACAACTTCAATACAACCAGAATCAACATATGGGAATTTTACAGAACCAAATGTTCTATTAAATGGATTAGTTGCATTGATGAGTTTAGGTATGATTTGTATATATATTTCAAATGATGAAATACTATTAATTAGTATGTATATAATTAAATGTTTGTATAGGAGGTGTTGCTATATCAGATAAAATTGGTAATACAAATTCAACTGTTGTGAATCGATTATGTCGAACAGATGGTATTCTTTTTCGTCCAGAACGACCAGCAACTGCAATGGATTCAACATTTTTAGGTGATAATGGTCCAAAAGGTGAAATGTGGCATACTTATGCTTCCGATGTATAAAAAATGTTCTTTGTTGAATATATTATGATAACAAATCTAACTCAATCTTATGCATTTACTTGGAATGAATTATTTAATACAGAAGAAAATGAATATGAACCAAATAGAATAATATCCGATATTTATGTTGTTTTTGATCTTAATAATCCAAATGAATATTATTGGTTAACATCAAGTAATACATCAAAAATAATAATGCCAGCATGTGCACAAGATTTAGTAACATTCTATTCACCATTTCATCTTTATGTTTTTGTTCCTTTTTCAAATCAATCAAACTGGATTTTATTTGGCGAATTAAATAAACAACTACCAATTACACAACAAAGATTTGCATCGATACAATCTACAACTAGTAGTCAACAAATTTCAGTTATTGGAGTTTATGGAGAAGAAGTTTCAGTTACAATTGGACACACTAAACGTGCATTAGAAAAAATTGATATCTATACTGTGAAATGTTTATTTCAATCAGTCGAAGGTATATTCACAATGTTAATAACATGTGAAATAGATAACGGATGTCAATGTAGTAATTAATATTAATAAATATGATTTGCGAAATAATGTTTTTATCAATAATCAACAATAGTTTTTTTTATGAGCCTATGCTGATTTTAAATGGTAGATGGATTTGTGTTTCTTTTGAGATTTTGATGAACTATAGAAGTTTTAATATATGTTATTGTATGATCTTTTGATTATAAGAATTCCACTCATTTCGCGAAAATTTAACTATGTGTATTTTTGTAATACCCTTATTATTATGAATAGGAAAATCAGTCGATTATCTATTTCAGTTTTAGTATATACATCTAGAAAGATTATATTTCTTCAAAGTAATCAAATAATTGTGACATAATATTAATAATTGTTTCGTAAACTTTTGTTGATTGATCATCATTTTTTGATATATCACCATTTGATAAAATAATTACACCGAGTGTTCGTTGTTCATTTGCCATCATAATATTAGTAATACCTGGTATAGCACCTCGATGTCCTACTAAATATCGTCCTCCAATATTTCTCCAATTCCATATTAAACCAAATTCAACATCTGATTTTTCATGTCGAACAATTCGAAGCATTTCATCAACAGAAGATGAATTTTGTAAGAGAGATGAAAAATTATTAAGAAATGATTGGAGAAAAATAGCAAGTGAATGAGCTGACATACGAAGAAAACCAGCTGGATAATCATATCCACCATAATGAGGAATATAGAGCCAATCAGATGAATTACTAGTCTAAAATAAAATTATATTAATATATTTTCATAATCAACAATTTACTTGAACAATATTTAATTGTGGTACTAAATTTTGAAATTTCTCTAACCATGAAGAATTATATATATAATGTTCTACAAGATCTTCATTTCGATTTTCAAAGTTACTAATACGATAACCAGCTTCATTATTCATGATACCTAGACTTTTAAGAATCTTCTCTTGAACATATTCTTCAAATGACACATGAGTTACATGCTCAACAATTAATGCCGCTAAACAAACACCAATATTTGAATATTCTGTAATATTACCGGGTGATTGAGATAACCAATTTGATTTATTATTCAAATATTTCAAAATAGTTTCAGTAAGATTTGTTCGAGTAAAATCATCATTTGGTTGATTAAATCCAAGTTCTTCTTCAAAATTTGATGCAATACCAGATGTATGTGAGAGTAAATGCCTCAGAGTAATTATACTATTTGGATATAATGGATGAATGATTTTTATTGGTAATGATAAATAATCATTGATATCTATGTCAAGATTTAAATGATTTAATTCTACTAGTTGTATAACTGCTATAGAAATAAATGTTTTTGATATCGAAGCCAAGATAAATATTGATTTTGATGAATCCATTGATTTACGTTCATTTGGCGAATGATAGCCAATAGCTTGCTCATAGAGTATATCAGTCGAATTGACAACTATTGCTACAAGACCAGGAATATGTGCATCCTGTGAAGAACTTTCCAATGTTTTTATTGTTGGAAGAGAGTGTAATACGGATTTTTTACTTTCCATAACAGAAATAAATAGGATTAACAAAACTATATACATAAAAGACCTTTTTTTATACAGCTGTTATTTACCACGAGGTTTTATAAATGACGAACGAATAATATGATGATAACCTACTGCCTTTTTATTTCGAAAAAAAAATCAAATATTGACAGATTAAGATTAGATATGAGAAAAAACTATTGCCATTTAATTTATTGTGAGTTGTTTTTTATTATTATTTGCGTTGTCTATGTCTTACACATATTTATCATTTCACAAGATACAAATGAATCTATTAAACTAATCGCAATTGCAACTAGAATTACTATTTTTTCCTACGAATTGTTTTTATTAACATTAAACAAACAGTATCTCTACAAGAAAAAGTTGGCATTATTTCTATTGCGACATATTCAAAAAAAAAATATAAATTATTGAGTCTTTTTTTACATTTGTTTTTGTTGATTGTCAACTTCTTCTTCGAATTGTTTAAGATTTAATTTACTTAAATATGTTTCTATATTTTTAATATTTTGCATTCTTAATTCATGATATTCGTGTAATTTTGTTTCTTGTTGATGTTGTAAACCTTCAAAATCTTTTTCTAATTGATTATGCCATGGATATAGAACTGTAACTTGAAAACCTAATGCTGTTGATGCAATAAAAAAATTAAAAACTGGTAAAATTTTTTGAATTATTGGTGGAACCATTTTTAATGCTTGAAAGAGAAAAAAAATTACAATTCAGTTGTTTTATATTAGAGTTTTTTATTATTTCGAATATGATTCCCATCCGGTTACCTGTATAAAAGTATATGTTGCTGGCTGTTGATTTTGAAATATGAAAAAGAAAAATATTCAATAAATAACTGATTGTTTGTGAAGAAAAAGCATTGTGTATAGGTGGAAGTAGGCGGCAAAAGAAATTCAATTTTTTTTTCTCAGTCAAAACAGATGTTGCTAAGAGCTACTAGACACTTCAATGGGTTGTATCAGTCAATGACTGCGTGTTAAACATGAAATGTTAGAAAAGTACGAGAATATTCTTTCGTTTACATAAACTAAGCACTTTCTTTGCTCCTATATTTTGGCACAAAACAGACGCAATTCGAACTGTTTGGCTGATTCGTCAACAATTGTATCACCTTGATTATGTACTTGAAAGTTCTCTTCCTTTTTTTCGTAAAGGTTAATTTCATGCAATAATGTTTTTTTTCTAATCTCATTACTTCAATTGTGTGTTTTGTCAGTATTGTTATTGTATAAGAAAACATAGACGAATCAAGTTGAAAGCTTGTTTTACGAATGACAGTGAGTGTTAAAAGCAATTTTATAAAATGTAATAGACATACATCACCGCAAGCTTTTATGTTTTTGACAAAAACGAAATTTGACATGACATTATTGTTTATTTTAAATAACAAGTATTCTGTTTTATGATTATATATTTTATAAAGTTGTATTTCTTTTACCATTACATATTCTCTCTTATTAATTTACGCCCGAAATTAATCATGATTATTTATAGAAGTACTTTGTACAATTAGAATTTGTTTTTTTATTGAAAGAAATCATTTAGAATAATTTGATGATGTATTAGAAATGAATTACTACAAAATTTTGTTTTTGATTTAAAAAGTAATGTTGAATGAATACAACATGTCAATAAAATTATTATTCTTCTATGGGATCAAATTTCTACATAATAGACAATTTTTCACGAACATGTGAATCATTTTTTATTTATAGTCGATACAATGATCTAATGTAATATGAAACGTTAAAAAAAAGAAAGAGATTTCGAACGGAATTGATGCAACTGATAAAAATACGTCCATTGTTGAATATTTCTCATCTGAAGCATTTTTAGTATAACAAAACTTCAATTTTTTTTCATAAAGTTATACTTCACACAAATATCTTATTATAGTTATCAAATAAAAAAAAGGGATATTATATATCACATTTTAATAAATAGCACAGTTGTTTTTCACTAGACAAATATAATATTAAATTTCTCCTAGTTGAAAGATGTACATATATTAACTAATCTCAATAGTTATATTTAATAGTTAAATATTTTTATTATGGAAGAGAAAGTAATGATAAAAGAAAATTCTCAAACTACTCGATGTAAAACTGAAAAATTTTTACAAATTATTTCTGCTATAATTATTCCATTAGTTATTGCTATTGCAACAATTGTAATTACTGTTCAACAAAATCGATATAATCAAGCTACTCGTGAAAATGATCTTGATATAGCACAAAAACAACGTGAACAAGATCTTTTAATAGCTAATCAAACACGTGAACAAGATCGTGAATTAAATACACGTCAACGTCAACAAGAACAAAATTTAGCTGATCAACAACGACAAGAAACTTTACTTGATAATTATATACGTGATACATCACAATTAATTTTATCTTTAAATTTTACATACACTTATGAAATTCGAGAATATATTTTTCGGCCACAAGCATTAGCTGTTCTAAGACAATTAGATGCTAAAAGAAAAACAAATGTTATTTTATTTTTACTTGAATCTGGATTATTATCGAGCGGTGAAGATCCAATTAGTTTAGTTGGTGCTAATTTAGATGGATTAATTTTAGATATTGAAGAAGATACTGCTTTTCATCCTTATCTATTTGATCTAGCATTATCATACACTTCACTTGTTAATGCATCATTTAATAATCGACAATTACGTTATGCTGATTTTCGTTATACACAAATGCGAGGTGTTTCATTCGAAGGTGAGTTTTTATTATTCCTACAGTTTTATTAATCAGACTGTAACGTCTATACTTAGTCGTGTAATATCTCAGTACAATCCTTTTTTTAAATGAGATAATTAAATATAATAATAATGATTATGTAGTTCGAAAATTAACTAGTTCAATCCACATTCATTTTTACTAAAATCTGGATAGAGTAGTTTCAAAAAAATATATATATGTCTGATTATATTGTTAAAATTTTGTTTTTTAGGCACAACACTTTTATCTGCAGATTTTTATGCGGCTAATTTACGTAATGCAAAATTTTCTAATGCTAATCTTCGTGGAGCTGATTTTTCTTCCACTGATTTAACTGGTTGTGATTTATCTGACAAACAATTGTATAACGAAATTCTTACATTAGATGATGCAATTCTTCCAGATGGAAAAACACTTGGTAAAGCTCCAAATATAATTATAAATGGAGATGCAGAACTTGGTTCAATATCTGGATGGAATTTAGAGAATCGAAATAATATTACGGCTGCTAAATATAAAAATCAAACAAATCAAGCATATGGTAAATGGTATTTTCAAGTTAATGGTAATACTACACAATTAAATATGTGGCAACGAATTGATGTCAGTTCATATGCAAATATGGTAAGATATGGTGGAATTCAGATAGTTTTATCAATGGAAGCGTCACCATCGGATTCGACATGTAAAATGTATGTAAAAACATTTGATAGTCATAATACAGAACTTCAAAATGGTATGTATTATATATAATAATCTAGTTATTTAAATTATTCTATTTTTATACATGTTAAGAAATACAAATTTTAACAAAATTTGAAGTTGAAGGTGATTTTTTATATACATCAGGTGTTTTACCATGCCGTCGTGATACAAAGTTAATTGACATTGCAATTCAGACTTTCGGTGCAAAAATTATTGATAATATCCATGTATCATTAAAACACAGCGGTTATAGTATTGGCTAATTGAATTATATTAAACTAAAGATTTAATTATAACTCTTTTTCAAAGAAAGTTATATGAACATATTTTTTATTAAATCAATAAAGATGAATTTTATAAGGCTATGTATTTCGTTAAATGAATTTTTGTAAATAAGAATATCATTATGATTAATTATAAACTAAACATGTAACTCATTTATCATAACTGAAATTTTTTATCGTTGCTTGTTTAGTCTATACAGAGGTGTTTGAATAACAACTCAGAACTATCTATTCAACACTCCCGAGCAAATCAATGAAAAAAACTTTCTCGTGTTACAATAGCTTTGCAATGTTTATCGCGAAAGAGGTTAGTAGAATGACAGATATTATTATGAAAGAAAATTTCTCAAAACAGCTTCTATAGTGATTACTTCACATTTTTATGTTATATTGTATTTAGTATAATGAAACACAAAGTTCAAGTGTCATACAAATATGTTGCTAATTGGTGACTTTCATAAGATCTTCACCAAGTAATTGCTTTTCTTTATTTTTCTTCTCCTCATATGTTACATATGAATAAAAACGAGAGAGACAACTTCATAGTTACACTTATAATATAATAATGAGAATTTCATTGCTACTACACATGTTATTACTCAACTTCAATAACATTTCAATATAAATCGATAACGTGTAACAATAAAGAGTGGAGGTCCGAAGTGCATGAGTTCTCTAAACTTCAAAGGTGTAGCGTAGGTGGGAGACAACTCGTCAAACAAGTTGTCAACAATGAAACACCACCACTTTAAAAAATAGCCCCTCATGTACATACCATGACCTTTATTTTTTATATTAAATGAATATCGACGACATCCAAAGATAAATTTTCTTACCTCAATTTCAGTATACCCGATAGAATATTTGTATCATGATCTATCTCATAATTTAATTCTTTTGAAAGCTAACTGGCAAGCGAAAAGTAGTATATTTCTGTTTATTATATAATATTTGAACTATTTTAATACTACAGTAGAATAAAGAAAAAGTGCTTCACTATTTTAGCTGATACAATATTGAGTGCCGTCGTAGTCTAGTTGCAAAGTATGATATAGAACATCAATTAGTTCTCATGTATTAGATTCATATGAGTATCATATTTTGTTTTTAAGTTGAAGTTCAATATATATCGCATCGAAGATAAAAAAGATCGATGTGATGAATCATTAAATCTACTAATGAATAGTTGATTTATATTCAAACGAATATATAAAATACTTTCAAATATCTCATATAAAATCTAGTCATTTCTATAGTAAATTCAATCATGATTTATATCTGTCTACTAATGTGATGGCGTGATTTTTCCAACGAAATGACGTATATAACTAATATATTGTCACACTCATTTGCACGTGATAGTAAAATATCTATTAAAATTTATGTTAACTTATCGATTGTTAAACTGCATATTGTTCATCCTTATATACACAATACTTCTTCAGTATTTTTTTAAATAAGAAAAAAAAATTTTAATAAAATTCTTTTGTGTTTTTATTACAATAAATCCTTTTATACATTATTCATACAGAAATAGTCATTATTAGTAAAAAAAACAACAAAAATTGATTCAATCAGTGTGTTATGGGAAATTTTTATTTCCAAAAAAAAAATAAAGAAATTGCTTGGTGTTGATAAAATATATTTTTAATCTTGTTTAACTACAAGATAATCGTAGAGTTTTTATTTACTCATCTAGTATATACCAATATTGAAGTTATGCATACCAGGGACAACTAAATTAGGATCATAAACACCACCACCAGGTGGTATTTCAGGTTGATGTGGTCCTATAATTGTATATGCTGGACCCCAACGCATTATACCAGAAGGTCGTGAACTCGTATTAGATTGATTCAAGCCAAATAAATTTCCAGTTTGTGCATTCGTATTATATTGATTCGAGCCAAACAAATTTCCAGTTTGTGCATTCATATTATATCGATTCGAGCCATACGGATTTGAATAGCCAAGATCTTGATAGCTTAATGGTAATGGAGGTCCAACACCTCCTGGATCTAAACAATAAATATTTTATTATAATTAAAAGAAAACAATCTTATATAATAATAGAAAGCTCATACATTGACTGACATCATCCACTAGTTCAACCATTATACTTCCATTTTGTGGTATATAAAAATCATAATTGTTATATGCCATTTGATGAAATAAATCAATAATGTGAATGAATATTCATTAGAAGCTCAGGTATATTTCAATGGTTATGCATCAATAGACAAAGGTAGAACAAAAAAAAATATACACCCACTATAGACATGAAAGTATGTGATCGATGAGTGTCTGAATATTTTATTCATCGAAAACACGTTGAGATAGTGCTGATTGATAAAAAACCAATTTTAAAGTTATTAAAAAAACGAATATTTTTTTAATTTGTACTGTTCGATCATTCTTACCTTTTCATTAGCGAACTTTAAGAATATCAGTCATGTTTTGTTTTATATAATGTGAATAAATTGCATTTAATTGTCAATTTTTATACTAAGTTAAAGTACATTATTTAATAATTGTATGTTTCGATTTAATACGATATAAATCATGATGTTAATAATAAAGAAATTCAAAAGGAAAGACTATATTATTTAAATAGATAAGAAATATACGAACAGAGTAGAAAAAATAAATAATTCAAGTTACTGACGATCAAAACGTTTGCGTACCTAACCATTTACTACTCGACAGATAGATAAAACTGTATTAGATATTATATTCAAAATATAGGGAATGAGTATATCACATTCGTATCATGCCTACTATCTCGTCTACCCGAATCATGCACTGTAATTTTTTATATTAGTAGCTGGATTGAAATATATTGTCTAAATAGATAAATACTTATTCGATTACTATTAACTATACGATAATCAGCACAAGCAAGAATAAAGAAGATTCTCATCAATTAAATTAACTCATGTTAGAAATAGTAGTCCCATAATTTCTAAAGGATTAAATCCATGAAAACTAGGTATGGGTAATTTCGTATATAAATGACTGTAAGTATTACTATCCCATTTAAACTACAGAATTATAGAGTAAACGAGAATGTCAATGATATGTCGATTAACTTTGTTATATTCATTCATAATGCCTAAGATTATATTAAAAACAGGATATCTAAATCATCTAATAGAGTTGTTTACAGCTCAATACCTGTATTGAAAACTTAATCAAATCGTTTTGTTTTTATTGAGTCAAAGATTTCCTGTAATATATTTGAACTAATGATTCTGCAGAGTTTTCAACAATGCATTATTATGTTAATAATTTTCGTTCTCTTTGTTTTGAAGTGTAACTGTAATGCTGAATATGTTTTTTTTTCTTTTATTCGTTTCTTCGGATGAGTCATGATGACAATGCGATTTATTTTGATTTTTTCTACATGTGTGATACACTATATATAAGAAAAATACAAATCACATATTTATCCTTGTACTTTATATTATCCGATTGTGAATATTAATTATGTCAACAATTGCTGTTGCAGGACTTGGTGATGTTGCTAAATATGTTGTTGAAGAACTTAATGCTCTTTCTTTACCATTAAAAATTGTTTTATTAAGTCGAGAATCACGTCCTTGGTTTGATCAACAACCAAATACTATATTTCGTAAAACTGATTATTCAGTTGAATCACTTACAAAACATCTTATTGATGTTGATGTTCTTATTTGTTTAATTCATTCTAATGATCATTTTTATAATGATGTTCATGAAGCTATGATTTCTGCTTGTAAAACATCACCAAAATGTAAACGATTTATTCCATCGGAATGTGGAGGTGACATTGAGAAATTTCCACAACATCCAGAATTTTATGTTCCAACGCATGGAGCAATTCGAAACTTATTAGAAGAACAAAATGATATTGAATATACATTATTTAATCAAGGATGGTTTATGGATTATTTTATTTCTGGTGATCGATCATATTTGAAACGTATTTTACCTGTATGGCCTTTGGATCTTGAACAACAAACAATTCGTATCCCAGGTACTGGTAATGAATCAATAACATTTACATCCGCTCGTGATACAGGAAAAGCTTTAGCTCGTTTGGCTACAACAAATACAAAATGGGATAGATATATTTATATTGCTGGTGAAACAACAACTTGGAATAATGTCGTGAAACTTATAGAAAAAATCTATCCTGATAAGAAATTAAAAATTACATATAAATCTCTTGAAGAATTAGAACAAGATCGTGCTCAACATTTGCATGATAAAGATCCATCGCAATTATGGCTTGCTTTTATGGATCTATGGAATGCAACTGGCGCAAGTTCAGTACCAATGAATAAAGTAGAAGAACAAAGAAAGAAATATTTTCCAGATATTCATTTCTCAAATATTGAAGAATTTATTACCACAGCTGAGAAAGCTAATCATATTATATAAAAAAATGGGACATTGAAAAATATATATTTTAGTTTAAAATAAACTTTAGAACAACTGAAATATTTTTTCTTTCGATTTTATTTGACAAAATAGTCATATTCGAAAGAAATAATTAAAATATGTGATATAAACGTAAGTCACTCTTTGATTCGGATATACTGTCGTTAATGAAGTGTAACATTGTACAGAAAGATATTTGATAAAACCCAAAAGAGAACAATAGCTGATATAATACAAAACATTGTATGATAATTAGTACAAATTAACACGAAAAAGGATGCAATTACGATTGTTTTTAGCATTAGGAAACTGAAGAGTTCAATAAGATGAGACTATCTAATTCAAATACATAACAAGTGAAATATCAATGTGTAGTAAAGTAACTAAAGTATATCATGACATAATTAAAAATAGACTGTACTATTACCATAATTCATATCTTTTATTATTACTTTTATCGTTTCTGTCTCGATTATCTTCCAGTATTCGATTTTAATGAAATTATTGGAATCCGTGTGTTCCTACGTTTTGTAATGAATGATTCGACAGAGAAAAGATATTTTAAGTTATTTATTTCAATAAATATTATAATATTTTCATTTCTATGAGTATTTTACAAAATAATAAATATGCTATTGATCGTTATAACAGAAAAAAAAGTAACATCATTATACAATTAACGTATATTAAATCTAACAGTTCGAAAATATTTTCTTTTATATTACCACCATAAATACATATCTTCATCCAAATATTCAATTGCATAATCATTGAGTAATTTCTCTTTATTAATCATTATTCGAAATTTTTCAATCATTTTATAATTTATATTTCGACAACATAATAAAGAAAGATGATGATTACATGGTATTGAAAATATTGATGAATTGAAATTTTTCTTATTTCTACAAGAAATACAATCATTATATTCTTGTTTCCAAAAACTAATGTTTTTAAAATTGAGAGATAATGGTAATCGATTACGATGAATTTGTTTTGTATTTTTCGATAATAAAAAATATATAATTAATTGTAAATTTTCTTTTTGTACTTCGATATCCAAACTTTGTAAATTCGGACACCAACGAAGAAGTATTTGAATATCTTCTAGAGTACATTGATTCAAAATTGTTACCTTCATAATTTTATTCTTATTGATTATTAAACGGTTGGTATCAGTTTGAGGTAAAGATAGATAAAGTATATTTTGTGGTATTGTTAAAAATTGTATATTAGGAAATTCATGTAAGAGTAAAAGTAAATGTTCGAATCGAAATTTTTCATTCGAAATAATTAGTTCAGTAATTTTTGAAGGACAAAATAAATGTGTAAGATCAGATATAAATAAAGGATTTTGAGTAATATCTCCTTGGGAAAAATTCAATCGTGTAGTCTGTGTAAATTGAATAGGATATTGAGCAAGCGTTTGATAATTATAAAAATTTACTTCATCAGCTAAGTTAAGACCAGTTTCATGATGCTGATTTATAACTTCATGAAAATCATATCGACTCCATCTTAAAAAAAAGGAAATAGGTGCTTTTTTCTTCGACTAATGAGGTATGAGGCGGATAAAATAAATGTTTTTTCAAAGACCGTTACTCTCGTATGCAATTTTATCAAAATTCTAGAAAAGGTTTACTCAACTATCAATATATTGCAGAATCTACCAGAGCTAGGCAAAGTACTCGAAGTACTCGTACTCGTACTCGAGGGGTTGGTGCTCATACTCGTACTCGGATGGATTCTTTTTGTACTCGAGAATATGATCTTGGAGTTCTTAATTATGTCTCATAAAAAATTACTATGTGATTATGTGCTGCATGGATGACATGAATTCTTGCGTCCTTTTGTTTCGACTGTTTAAATATAGATTTTTCCCTCTACGAACTATGGAAAAAACTCTTAGTCACCCTCGATGCAATAGTACTCGTGTTGGTACTCGTACTCGCCCAACTTTGGAATCTACATCAAGTATTCTGATGAGATTTGTTTCAGAACAGAAGTACTCGTCCATTATTATACGTATATATACCTGTATGGTTTCGTTGAATAAAATGTGATCCAAGAATCACCATCGTTAGATTTATAATGTTGATATGTAAAAAACCATTGTTTTTCGTGCCAAAATGAAGAATTAAATTCTTTCATCAGATCGTAATAATATTCAGGAGTGACTAAAAGACCGCTTATCATTGTTTGATATTGAAAATAAAATTTTTTTAAAACTGGCATTTGACATGAAATAAATTGTTGCCAACGATGTGCATCTAAAAATTCTATATCACCTTGAGTAGATACAGATAATACTTGAAGTTGAAGAGAAAAACTCGATATTAACCATTGAAATTCATCAAATGATATATCTTCTAATTGAAGATGAATAGTATTTAAACATACTGGAATTTGAGATATTTCATTTAATGAATTATTTGATGCTGATAATGTACATGATAAACGTTTGAGTTGTGGTGTATAAATAAGAAGTTCACATAATTCATTTAAACTACATTTTGTACCAATAGTAAGATATTCAAGCGAACTATATCTATTATTAGGTATTAAGTAATCAAAATCTTCATTCCATATATCAATATATAACTGACAATATTTTAATACAGGTAGAGAAATAATTAAATAATAGATAAAACTTCGAGATCTAATTTTATCAATACATGTAACATTGAGAGAGAATAAACGAGGTAAAAATGCTAAATTAGTTAAAATAGAAATAAGATTTTCAGATTTAACATTGCTTAATGTAAAAGATTCTAATCGTGTAAATAAATAATCAAATGTGCATGATGTGAAGAAATAATCGATAAGAAGAAGATTTGATAAATGAATCGATAGGATACGATGTATATTTGGTAGTACTATATATTTACATCGATATTCGAATGTTGTTTTAGACATTAAAGAAAAAGATAAATTTAAAGGTAAAGATGAATAATGAATGAGATGATGAAAACGATTGTTCAAATAAGAAAATGTTTCATATATATAACAAATATCAAAATAATCGAATATTTCATAGAGAAGTTCATTAGAAAGATCTTCGAAACGAGTAATCATTAATCTTAAAATAGAGTTTAATATTTGAACAACAAACAAAAATTTATTTACTTCTTTTTTTTTCGATGGTAGATTCTAAAGCGAAGGAGAGAAAAATACTAAATTCTTTTTCTCTTTTTTTTGCATTTTATGAAATAATCGTTTTTGTCATGTTGAAATAAATCGCATGAAATTGTTTAACTATTTTCATTTTTTTTTTATGAAAAATGATCCTTGTTCTTTTGAAAGAAAAAAAACAAACGATGTACAAGGTTGCTTTTCTATTTTTATCACATAAGAGAAGAAAAAGAATGTGTTGTTTCATTATATGAAAATTGTCTGTTTACTTTCTGACAGTTATAAATACAACTGCATTGCATTTAATTTTTTCTTCGGTACAATGTGTCCGAAAAGAAAATCTTCTTGAATACAATCGAGCGAGTCACAGCAAAGTTTCCTGCTGATCAAGTATACATTCGGACTTATTAATTAGAGTAATAAAAGCTAGATATGTAATCTATACAATGATACACAAGTTTTACATTATTTATAAATTACGGAATAGTTAATTTATATATTAGAAATATTATTAAGTACTGAATTATTAGTTTGATCAACTGAGTGAAAAAAATGTTTTATTGGATAAATATCGAAGTTTTATAAGTAATAATCGATTATAAACATTCATGTTGATATATGCAAATTTGTTTATTAGGAAGGACTTGTGTAAGATAAAAAAAAGCATGGTTCTCATATTTTGTATCAATAAATATAACACACCTGATATATTTTTGAAGTATTCTTAAAATATTTAAGTATGGTCTTATAGAGTGAGTCAATGTTTACTTGCACTCTATGTATGATCTTATTAATTATTATATATTTTTATAATAAGTATATAAGTATCGGATTGGAATTCATTTTTAAGATATGAAACAAAATATACTGTAAGAAATGTTAATTTTTCAAATATTGTGATATTAAAAAATCAATTCATATAGATTGATGGATGAGTTTATAAGATTGACGATTTGCCAAGATTCAATACACATATATTTTTTATATAATAACCTACTTCAGAAGTTCTGAATAAAATACTATTTATTGATTCTTTTATTAGAACACAAATCGTCTATAATAATAGAATAATCAAATGATTTGAAAAATAAAAGGATTACTACTTCGTATTTTTCTTTTTGATAACAACATCCTATACATTTTCTCATGTGAAATCCGAATGTACTTTGATTAACAGGGATAAAATTTCATCAAATATTGATGTTGTTTTGAAGATAGAGTACCTACTAATACTTATTAATTGAAACAAGAGAATCATACCATCTGCTTCAATTATCAATAATAGTTATAGAGGATTGAGACAATATATAAAGCAATATTTTTGTCAAAAAACTATAGGTTTGTAGATTGAAGAAGAACTGAATGATGGCTTCCAGCATCAGTATTAGTTTATTTCTTGTTTGTTTATCAATTGCCGTATGTTTCGGTAAGTAACTATACATATATTATAGTTCAATATATAATAATATTTTTCAAAACAAAAAATTCTTTTCTTAGGTCAACAAGAATCATATCCAATGTGGAAAGTATTTTGTAGTGGCAGACCTCTTTATCGTGGTCGTCTCGATTCCATTGTTACTCCAGGTTCACCAGCAGGTCATGTACATAAAGTGATGGGTGGAAGTCATTTCAGTGCTGGAGTAAAAGGTCAATCACCTCAAGAATTATTTGAGGTAACAAAGTCAGCAGACTGTACTACATGCTCAATTCATACTGTAGACAACAGTAACTATTGGCATCCAGAGTTGTAAGTTCTTTGTTTAATATTATTTCAGTGTCAGATATAAAATTTAATACTTGACAAGAGTATCAATCATTATATTTTTTTTTGCATTGATAGATATTACCAATGGCCTAATGGAACATTTTCAGTGGTACCTGATGGTGGTTTAACTGTATATTATATTGCTCGAACTGGTGAGGCTGGTGGTCCACAATACAATAATCCTAATTGGCAACCATTTCCTAAAGGTCTTCGTATGATTGCCGGTGATCCTTGGCGACGAACATACAATAAATCGGACAATACACACAATGCTGTCAGCTTTGTTTGGTAAGCTAACTATTTTTGAAAAAAAAAACTTTCCTAATATTTATTTTATATAGTTTAACAGATTTTGGTATGCCTAATGCTCCTGAAACAAATGGATTTCAAACAGATAAATACTTCTGTAAAAATGGTTTTCGAATGCAAGTCTTTTTTCCAATGTGTTGGGATGGAATAAATCTAGATTCACCTAATCATCGTTCACATATGGCATATCCAAGTCAATATAATACTGGAGATTGTCCAGCTAGTCATCCTGTTCGTATACCTGGCCTTTTCTTTGAAGCTTTCTATGCTATCGATAAATTTCCTCATGGAACAGGTCGACAACCATTTGTTTTAGCAAATGGTGATCCAACAGGCTACGGCTTTCATGGAGATTTCGTAAGATTTTTTTTTAAAATAAAATTTTCATTAAAAAAAAATTTTGTTTATTATTTAGGTTAATGGATGGGATGTTGATGTTGTAAAAAATATGCTTTCCGATAAATCATGTCTTGCAAGTAATACTAATCTTGGTAATAATCCAGAACGTTGTTTACCTATACAAAATTTTGTAAAGAAATCTATCGATTCTGATTGTGAATTAGCCAAAGCTATTCCATTAACCGAAAATATAGGAATGGTTGAACCTGTTAGTAGATTACCTGGCTGCAATCCAATTCTTTATTCAAATCCTGTTGTATGCTCAGAAGGTAGCGAACCAAGATCGATGAACAATAGTGGTACTTTTCACCTTCTATCCAAAAGAACTGGTCGATATGTTACATTCAATCCTATTACTGAAATAGTTTATGCTAATGCACCTGCAATTAATCCTAGTTATCGTGAAACATGGGGTCTTGGTTGGGCAGGACGAGATTTAGGTCGTACAATACGCAGCACAGAATTAAATAGACATTTTACAATGCAAGATATACTTCGAGTTCGAGGTCCAGAACCTGATACTTGGGAAATTTTTGAAATTGAAAAACAAGCAAACAGTGATTATGTTGCCATTAAAAATCGTCGACATAATAAATATTTGCAAGTAGAACCAGATTTTACTATTACTGGTACTGCAACAATTATTACTGATGCTTGTCTCTTTCGATTGGTCACACCTGATGGTGGTCATGTACCTCAAGGATTGACAATGTCTGATGTAACTAATTTACAAGGTCTATCAAGTAATCTTGGAAAAAAATAAAATCCTTATGTTATTGATTTTATTTGAATTAAAAATAAAAATCGTGAAATTCATTTAAATTTCTATTTGATTTTTTCAACTAATATACAAAGTTTATTTCTTATGTAATTTTATGAAAGATCTAACACAAATAAAGAGAAACTTAAAGATATTTTATTAAAATGCGGAAATTGCATTGTTTATAACTTTTTTCTCGTATCACTCATTTACATCAAATATAGATTTCATAAGAACGTACTTTTAATATAAACTTGCTTATGATAGTAACTGCGAGAGGTCAATTAAGGTATTTTTAAATCTTAAAATAAACTGCAAATGTTTAGAATGTGTATGTGAATATGAAGTGACTGTTGATAAGAAACAGAGTCAACCATTCTCACACACCTCTTTTCGATAGTGCTATTCATAGAAGGGACAAGGCGAGAGATAAAAATAATACCATCGAAGTTTCGTATTAATAATGAAAGAATGGATTCAATTACAATTAAAAAATTAATTTCATCATTGATTTCTACACTAACAATATCTTATTTATATGATTATCAGTAAAAATAGACATTATTTATGCAATCTGTATGGTCTCTTTTTTTTCATCTCGTCGTGCCAATATTGATATCATTCTGTTGATAAGTTGCTTATGTGACTTCTCTTTTGTTGTTCGCTACCATACTCAACATTAACATACATACTAGGCGTTACGAAAACTGTATACATGTATTGAGTGGGCAAAAAATGTGAAAAATAACTTTAAGTATAAAACTAACTCCCACATATCAACACTCTACTTTGGCGATGCAACTATTCAATGGTAATCTCTCTCAGGTGCTATTTTAATCATTTTTTTTTTCAATTAAGTTGAAATCAAGAACATTTTTGATTGGAAAAAAATGTAGAGTATCAATTTAGGCAATTTGAAAAAGCATTAAGGTATGGCTTACGCAAAGCATAGCATGTTTTACATCGGCATATACATTTAATATGAAGCAGTATCACATTAAAAGCCAATCAATAAGAATAAATAATAAAGCTATAAAAACCGATTATTATTTCAAACTATCATTGTGAAATTTGCTGAAAATTTTGCAAATTATCATGATGAAGCCTAGTTTCATAAAAGGTTTTCTTCTTTATTACAGTAAGATTTATAAAAATAATGAAAAGCTTTTTTATTTAACTGAATTTTTCTTATAAATTGTTAGTAATTAGTCTCACTAGAAGTAGTTATGCAGTATCATTAATTCGTCCACCTTATCTAACCCCTGAAGATTTCGAACGTGGCAAAACATTGACACCAGAAGAACGAGGTTATAATTCGTCAAGTGTGCGTCAACATTTTTCACAACATTTCGAAATCCGTACAAATGTATGGTTTGATTCAAAATACAAATGGCCAAATGCCAGAGTTCCCTACATAATTAGTTCACAATATAATGATCAAGAAAGAGCAGTGGTTGCAGAATCTATTCGTGAATGGGAGTCAAAAACATGTGTTCGATTTATTCCAAAATCTAATAATGATCGTGATTATCTCGAATTGACACCTCAAGATGGAACAAATAATTATTGTTATTCATATGTTGGCCGTCAAGGTGGTCGTCAATTTGTAAAAATGTATGCTCCAATATGCATGAGTGTTGGTCAGTATGTTCATGAATTAGGTCATGCTATTGGATTCGGACATGAACATCAACGACCTGATCGAGATCATTATATTAGAATAAATTGGGCAAATATTGATCCACGTAAGAAAATTCATTGTTTTACGATTATTTTGAATTACTACACAATTCTTCTAATTTATATTTTTAGAATTCTATTATGCATTTGATAAATATAATTCCAATCAATTTACTACAATGGGAATGGCCTATGATTATTATTCTATTATGCATTATCCTGATTATTCCTATTCCAACAATGGTAAACCAACATTAGTACCAACATATCCAGGGCATAACATTCACAATATGAATGTGATACTCTCAGCAACGGATATACAGAAAACAAAAAAGTATTATAATTGCTAATATATGTGATCATCTTTCAAAATAAATCATATACGATTTAATCATATGAATATTTTCATCATTCTGTGCATAATTATAAAATATTTATTTCATTCATTTACAGAAGTATATAAGATACCTCAAATATATGGTATATACTAATATCTATTTTAATAAATATATCAATATAAAGTGTAATATTTTATCTACGTACTTAAACAATATCGTGAGAAGATACGCAATTAAGAATAACAGTCTCGATGACCAAGCTTCAAAATTTGAACATTTAATCGGAATTGATTAAGCATTTGAGTACAACATAGTTGAAAAGTCGAAAATGTTGTTGTATAGAAATCAATGGATTTGTAGCAATAAGTTTGCAATAATCGTTTATACCGTTGACATTTTAGTGAACCAAAACTTTTGATTGTTTCGGCATGGGTTAAATACATGAAAATAATTAAAGCAATCTCGTTAGGTAAAGCAGTGAAATGAGTAGGTACAAGTATTGCATTGGACATTCTAAATTAAAATCAATTTGATATTCGATAAAAATAATAATAAATGCAAGCAAACTCTGCATAGGTCAAACAGGTCACTCAAATATCTTTAACTTCTTTCGTTTCCTATTATACGACTATAATCAAAGAAAGAGTGCATTGTTCATATTATACTCACTATATATCAGCAATGACCTTATCTTCTCCTATTTACTGTATCTCGAATTAATCTGAAATAGATACCAACATTTTATAATTAAAATAACTATATAAAATATCTTCAATAATTTGTCATTTTTATATCTTATAGTATAATCTCTCTTGATCTAAAATAGAGGCCACTATAAATCAAAAGTGGTCACCGAATATCTCCCAGTAACAATTATCTCCACACCCATCTATCTTTTAACTTCATATGACCTTTGTCATTGTCTTCCAGCATGACTGCTATGCTTGACTCTTGTTCATTCTTCCATCTTTCCTATATAAGCGTACGTATTATATGTGAGCAGGTAGCTTCTTATGTGAATAAGCTAAATAAAGCCTGTGTTATTATGTCACTAGCACTTCTCTTGTCATAGTTCATTACACATTTGATCAAACATTCTATTTTCCAGAACATTTTTTGTGAATATATTTTAAAATATTAGTCATACAGTACATTGGTAATACAATAACACTAGTGATTTGCATTGCCCTTCAAGGCCTAATAGCAACTCTGACTTCGTTCGAGTTGAGGAAATTTAGTTAGAGTTGGATTTTAGAATGCAGAAGTCCGACTGCGATAATCATCAATGGAATATAAAAATGTTTTACGCGTAATTTCTTTTATTTAAAAAAATGAAAAGTATGTATGAATAACGATGAATAAAAATTAGAATTTGAGAGCTGGAACAGATGAAGAAAATGTTGTAGAAAGGTAAGGCTAGGTCATGTGGTAACAGGTGGTGGCAATTGGAATGAGCTCTGTGAACGTAGCTGTTGACAAAGTGCCAGTAAAGTTGGCATAAGTGGATATGACTGTAACACTCTATGCAAATAACAAAAAAATTACATGACCACCCGTAGCAGTACAGCCCACCACTACCCAGAACAATCATTCCGACCATCGGAAACAGAGTCTGAAACGATTATAAAACGGTATATTAATGCATTAACTCTCACCGTATTTTGCCATAACTCTTCATCCAGGAAATACAGGTGTTTCAACTGAAGAGTGACTGATCTATTGCTTGCCTGTTTTGAACTCTCTGTAGCACTGGAAGCTGCTTGTCTTGTTCGCTGATCGATAAGCCGACTGCTGGTCTGTTCTGGACTCTCGACTGCTCTTAAAACAGCATGCCGTGTTCGATCTTCTTCACATCGAGGTTATATTGAATTTTATATATTTACTTGATTTATTAGTGACAGACAATAAAAAAAGACATCTATTTATATTGATGCGATGCACTGTTATATTTTAATATCGTCATCTTATAATGTGAGACGAAAGTCCAAGGACGACTTATATAATGAATAAGAAAGAATACAATGCATCGTTGTATATATAGATAACGAATAGTAAAGAAATCACGCCATATTACCTAATGATATCATCAAAATACATTCTTGTTATCAATACATCGTCGTGAGCCAAGAGTAAGCACAAATACCTTGTTTTATGAGTCACCGAAAACAAATGTATGCATCATCGTTGTGAGTGAAGAAAAGACTCGTTTACATTTCTCCCCTATAATCTATATAACTTGAATGGAATTTCACTTATTCTTCCCTCTCCACCTCTCCCCCCCCCCCCGCGTGTCGACCTTCCTTAGGATCTAGGAAAGCATCCTGGAGAGTTTGGTGATCGTAGCTATCACAGGGGCCGAATGTAAAGCGAACAGACAAACAAACATTCTTCTTCATATATAGAGAAGATAATTCCAAGTTAGTCACGTCGATTATAGTTTTTTGTCAATAAATACACTAGTTATCAATAATAATTTTATTTCTTAATCGCTTGTGTTTTACTTACAAATTCTTTTATTGTATTCATTTTATCTTCTTTCTCTCTTGAGTAAAAATCTTTAACAAATATCGAAAAAAATACTATTTCTAAGCTGTACACATAGATCAATATAATATTTTATTAAAATTGATAAATTATTTGACATCATTATTTTATACATTTATTAATTTCAAGAAAACGATTGTATTATTGAAGAACACAATGTGAACGAATTTTATAACAGCCAGGTTTTACAGAGTCATCGTCGATAGTTTCTGGTATCGTTTTGGCATTCATTATCTATAATAAAATAATAACATTACTTTTAAAAAATATCAGGCAAAAACTAGAAAATATCTTCTGTATTTCTACAATGAACTATTCCAAGTGAAGCAGATTATGTCTTCATTTACTTCTACAAAACTAAACTTAGTTTTTGGACAAATAGACAAAAGAAATGCGTTATTCATAGTGTTACAAACATATCTTCTTATGTTTCACACATTCTTTCTCTTTTCTGTTTTTGCTATTTCATATTAGAATTTCAGATTTATATGAATATTAGTTTATGTTAAACTATGGAACACTAATTTACAAAATAATTCTTTAATTACAATTTTGAAGTGAATTTTTCCAAAAATTTCTATAATAAATCTACGTATAATAAAAAGAAACTAAATGTATTTTAAAATATATTTTCTATCGGTGATTATATTCTCAATTCACTATTGAATAACTAATCTATTATGATAATTTTTCTCATATATATATGTCCCAATCTTACTTTTCTATCACCAATTGATAAAATAAGACAACTAGATGTTGTTCGATATGTAAAATAATTTGTATTAAGTCTAGGAATATTTTCTTGAAACCAATTATATTTAATATTAATTAAGTAATCTTGATAACAATAAATTTTAACAATTTCTAAATAATGAAGTCGTTTAAGTAATTGAAGAATAATTTCTTTCGATTTAACAGTTATTTCTAAGTATTTAATAAAATAAAATAAATAACAAAATCTATCAAGATTATTTTCATCGATAACAAAAATTTCACGATCATTTCGAATAAATATATACGAATCAATATGTAATGGTGGACAAAAAAATGGATTATATTGCATTTTGATAGATTTTAATTTCTTCATTGAAGCAATTAATATTTGAAAATTAACAATTGAAAGATTTTTTATTAATGATACATCTAATTCTTGTATTTGTTCAAGATTAACAATTGCTAGAAGTATTTCAATTGATGGTAAAGTTGTTGTAAATAAAGTTAATGAATAAACATTAGTAAATGGTGTCGTTGGTATTGTTATTGTTTTATAAAATGTTAAAATAAGATTAAATATATGATTCGAATGTATTTCTTTTTCAATAATTGTATCAGATAAAAAATTATTTGATGGATAAAAAATAAATGATGGTTGAAAATAAGGTATAGAATAAAGTATTGGACGACTAGATTTAAAATTTCCTTTTTCACATGCAACATACCAATTTTTTTTCTTAAGCCAAAATAATGAACGAAATGTTTGTAATAATGATTGTTTATCTTCTTGACAGTTTATATGATGTGCAAGTGTAAATTTAAAATTAAATATTTTGATTTGTTTTTCAATAAGATATTCTTCCCATAACTGACCATTCATTAAATCTAATGTACCGGTTGCTTGAATTGTTAAAGATATTAATTTATCTAATTGTTCAATCGATTGTTTAATTGATTGAAATGACATAAGAATTTCTATAGTAAAAAATAGATAAATAAAAGATAGAAAATAAAATTTACCTTGAGAAAATAATAATGATAATTGTAGAAGTGATTTTGATAATGATTGAAAATTAATTAATGTTAAATTTTCTTCTTTATATAAAGAAAGTTTTAAATAAATTATAGGTGATTGAAGACAATGAAGAATTCGATGAAAATCTGTTATTGTACAATAATCAATAATTAAATGTGTTAATAATGGAAATGAAGTATTAATTGATCGAAATACATATGAACCATCAACTTTTAAATAAGTTAAATATTGTGATTGTTGATTGAGTGTATGCATAATAAGATAATCAGTTTGTTTTGTTTTTAAATATGTTTTAATTGATAGTGAAGTAAGACTTGTTGGTAGATGAGATAAAATTGTTGATGTATTATTAAAAATAAATTTTTTTAAAGAAATAAATTTATATTGAAAATTTGGAAAATATTGTTTAAATAATTCAACTTGATTTGGCATTATTTCATCAGAAAATGATATTGAAATAACTTGTTCTGGTTTAATATATCGACAAATAAAATCAAATTTTGATCGTGATATTTGTTGAAAATTTAAATTCAATGGATATAATTGAATAATATCATTGATTTGTTTATTTAAATTATTCAATGAATAGAAAATATCATATGTTGTTAAATAGTCAAATATTTCAAATAAAATTTCAGTTGGAAATATTTCTAATATTGATATCATAGTATCGAATTTTAATATGTATACATATATATTTTATATACTTATATGACTATTGCTATTACTAGGTGAATGTAAAATGTAAGAAACCTTGATTATACATATATACGTATATTTACGTAAGAAAGACCGTATACAAAAAAATACAATAAGTTATAGAAAAGAAAGAAAAAGAATATTAAGTCGATTGTCAATATTATTCACATGGATTCATCTGCGTCTTTTTTTTTTATTCATATTCTCATAAATGCTTTTTTGATATGAAATATGCATATGCATTGTATATAATATACATTAGAAATATTGTTTACATTTCGATATTTTTTATTCTAGTCGCATGTTTGATCGTAAGTTTATTTCAGAAGACGTCATTAGTGTAATCTTAAAAATAGTTTTAGATTACATTTCGAAAATTCGATCAACGTATTGTTACAGTAGTTTGAGTCATTCTGGACAAATAGATTTACTTTTTATCTTAAATAACCGAATAAATAATTAAATATTCTGTATATATACATTATTAAGAGGTATATGTTTGAATAGTCTTATTTAACCGATAACAACTATACCTGAATTTATATTAATATCAAATATTTTTCATTTGCGTATACGACAGTTGTTCTTGAGAATACTTCAATTGATTTTTTGAGATGTAAGATGTACATATGTAATCATAAAGACTCATATCGGTAGTCATATAATCATGCTCTTTAATCAACAAAAACTGACATAAATATTGTCTACCATTTTACTAGTTAAGAAATCAGAGAACGTTTGAAAACGAATTCAAATAAATAGGTAAATCTATTATTTCTTAATCATTTAAATAATAATTTTATTTATGAATAATCAAGCTTATTACATGTATATAATATAACATACAAAACAAATATCTATTTTTTACGATTTGACCATTTTTGATACATACGCGATGATTGTTCTTCGGTGACTGCTTCATCTTCCATTAAATCATAAGCTGCTTCTGTTGTTGGCATGGCAAAAGCAGAGGTAGGAGCAGCTGCTGCGGATGAAAATTGCATTTTCATTTCGCTCATATCAGCACATTTTGAATAGTAATCTTTAGCTACACTTGATGCAGCACCGTATTCGTTTTTCATTTGTTTTGAACGGATATTTTTTGCTGCAAATATACTACCAATTCGTTGAGCTTTTGCATTTTCATCAAGTCCTTCTTTTTCAGCTTTTTCCATCTCACGATCAATATCAGCTTGAGCCTCTTGCATTAAACGATCTAATGAGATTTCTTCACGTACTCCACCAATAATAACTTTTGATAAAAGTTTAGCAGTTACCATTGGAACATATTGTCCACCAGTTATATATGCTAATGACATAAAAAAGTCACGATAAGGAACTACAAAAAAAAACAATATAACATATATTTTGAAATTTATATGAATATAATAATAACTTACCAATAGGTGGTTCAACACCAACTGTATAAAGTGTTATATGTTTTTCAGCCATTTCTCGAACAATTTTTATTGGATCAAGACCAGCTGGACAACCATTAGGGAATTGATCACCATTTGGATCAAGTCCATGTGGTGGTGCATCAGAAATAAGAACACAAATTTTAGTAGCATTTTCACGCCATGATAATTTAAGAGCTGCATGAAGTCCATCAGCTACGGCTTCAGGTGCATCACCACCACCTTGTGCTGAACATTGTTCTAACCAGCCTTTCATTTCACTAACTTTTGCTGTAAAATCATGTACACGTGTAACAAAAGTAGAGTCCTAATAAAACAAACATTATGTTTTAAAAATATATTGTTTATTGCTTTAATTTATACGAACTTGTGGAGGATGATCTCGATATTCTACAAGTGCTAAATGAATATCACTTTTTTCACTGACAACTATTTCTTCAACAATAGAACGAATACTGTTTGTTGCACTAGCGATATATGATCCCATTGAACCTGTACAATCCATAATAAATACGAGATCTAAACATATATATATATATATTTAATGAGTTAATTAATTTAAATAATGAAAAAAAAATTTACCAAGAATAGATGAATCATGTTTAGCTAACTCTGGTCGATCCATTTTTTCAACTTGTAAAGATGAAGCCATAGTTTTAGATATATTATATTTATTTGCTTAAATATGTAAAAAAAATATGAAGTAATGTAATTTATGAAAGAAATAGAAGCGTTTTATATACCTTGCTCTGTTTTGTCATACTTTACATAAGATTGTGCAAGTTATATTGACAGTGACTCACAGAAAACGATATAACATTGAATGAATCATCCTGTTTCGATGTGGCAAAAAAATACCAATATATTCGTCGTATAAAAAAAAATGTGCTAATATTTATACTCACATTAAAATTGTAAAGAGAACTTATATTTATACAGAAAATAATACGACACAATATATATATATATATTGTAAATCAGAGTAATCGTTAAATACATCAGTTTCTAAACGAGTTTTATCTATTTCTCATATTTACGCAGATAGCAGCTACAGTAGTGACCTCATTTTTATTTATCGTGTAATTGATGGTATTTATCGATATTATATGTGATAATTACGATACAAGATTTATGTATATTTTACTCTGATTTATACAATCATCCTGCAAAACAGAAAAATTTTTGACAGCTTGTGTTTTGAGTTTCAATTTATAGTATAAATAAAATAAAACATCATCTAATACATACTAGATCTAAAAGTTTTACCTTATAAATAATATAGATACATTACATTTTCACAGAAATATGTAATCATTGTCCTAGTTGAGTATGAAAAAGTCACGTCTTAAAACATTCTCTATTCACCTTTTTTTCGATTTAAATAGAAAAAAAAAAACAACAGAAAAAAGGTTTTGTTTATCAAATTATAATTACGATAACAATTACATATCGCCGATAATAGGAGATACTTATACTCTTCCATTAACTGCTGTTATCATCGGATATTGCTGTTCACCATGTTCTTCATCTTGTTGTTTATGAAGTTTCAAATGCCAGTGTTCAACAGGTAAATCTTGTAGTTGATACATCATTTTCCATGAAAAACAAAGCCATATACACCCTATTACAAAACAGACACCAACTGCAATGTAATAAGCGTGCTCTTTGGGTAACCAACTAACAGTATGCAAAACTAGAGTTCCCGAAAGAGATCCTCCAAGATTATGTAAAGATGTTAGAAATGTAAGATATGTAGAACCAATACGTTTATCAGTTATATAAGCAAAGAAAGCACCACGTGCAGTACCTTGAAGATAAGTAAAGGCATCACTTAGACCAAATAAAATGATGAGAAGACTGTAGAAGATAATCGAATAAGACTGTAAACGTGATGCAAAGTAAATAAATAGAGCCATAAATATACCTAATATGAGACGAGGCATATAAGTTTGTCCATAGAAGACTAATGGTCGATCAATTCGTGAAAGAAGAAGTGGTACAGTAATTTTAATTAGTATAAGAGGCATTGTAATTAAACCGTATGTTTCACGTGTAAGTATGTTTTGACTAGAAAAAGTAATGGAAAGAAAAATATTTAAACTAAAAGTATCTATTACTTACTTGAGTAATATAAGATGAGTCATAGCAGCCGTAGCTGCGTATCCAAAATGTGGAGTCATGATTAAGAAAAGAAGTTTATGAAAAGTTCTTCTTTTAAACAATCGAATGATATATAAGTATGTTTCAAGTAAGTTCAATTGAGAATGATTATGTTGTTGTTCATTATTAGTAGAATCTTGATGATGTTTCCGAAAGAGTATTGTAACAACACATGTTGTAATTAAAAACATAATACCCCAAAATCTTAAAAATTGTGCTAAAGTAAATAATCCATATGGTTGTTGAGCAAAACCTAACGGTTGACGAATTAATTTATTAGTTGCATTGGCCGATTCGAATGTAAGAAGAACTGACGAACCGAGAAATAAACCTAATGGTTGACCGATCATTTGTGAAATCGATTGCCAAACAATATTCGATGAAGTAAATAAAGTTAATGCCCATCCATCAACACATATATCTTGTGTAGCAATGAAAAGAATGATAAAAAAGAAAATAATTGTAAGATTAGTTATATATAATTGTGTAAGTAATTGTTCAAGATAAAATGAAAGAATAATGAACATTATGCCAAGTATTATTTGAATAGGTAATAACCAAGTTTGTCGTCTACCTAATTGACGTATATATAAAACATCAATGAGAGGAGCCCAAAGTAATTTCAAACTAAATGGATACATAATCAATGTTAAAGCACTTTGTTGCTTCCATGTTGCACCATTTGAAGCTACGTAAAGTGATATAACATCGGCTATACCTAACGTAACACCTTGTAAAACATATAGTACAAGTACAACGAAAATACATTTCCAAAGAGGTATTTGTGATCGAACCTATGAAAAGACAGTTTCTGATAGATAAAACAATTAATATAGAAAACAAAGAATCTTACTTGATTATTAGATTGTAAACGCATATTTCTTATTTATTCTAAGAGAAAACCTTTCTAAAATGATTATTATCAAAATTATATTTTGTTTTACTCAATCGATTCAATATAAACTCGTAATAACCTTCATAATCTTTTGTGCCTTCCTTTCTTCTATTTACACAAAATATTTAATCGATCATATAATGGTGAGATGAGGAAGAATATAGATTAGACGAACAAATGTCATCGATCGCATACAATAATTATTATTTCGATATGATCAAATTACATGCATTGAAATTTCATCATATATGATGTTTTGTTTTAAAAATATAGATTTATCGATCAATTTAGTAACTTTTATATTCTTTATTAGGAAATAGCAATTCTACGAGAAAAAGACTGGATGTGGAAGCAAAGAGAAGACTCACACCTTCACCCACTCACATCCACAAGATGATTTAATTAGTCTATACAATAGTATCAATATTGTTCAATTACAAAAATAGTAATGATTATAGATACGGTTAAAGTGACATAGACAGCACTCAAATAAATAATATAAATGAAATTCAATGGTCGCAGATTTTCTAATTTATTTTAAAACGAAAAAAAATATTCAAAGTGTGAAATTATGATTAATAAAAAATAGACATTTAGAAATCCTTTCATAACACTATATATATATATATATATATATATATTTACGAAAACACGATAATACTATGTTGAAGGTCAATGTCTTATTATTATTTTCTATCTTAAAATGTCATCCAAATATAATAAACTTATTGTTTAAAACAACAACAAAAAAACTGTTTTTTTTCATGAAATTTCATTTGTATTTTATCTTTGATATATAATATTTTAACCATCAGAATTTGCTTTTCTTTTGCTTGAAAAAATTCTTGATTGAACTTTTCAATATTTTTTTACATAACCGCATGATAAAGATAATCTCATATCATAGAAATCTATTAATAATCATTGTTTTCTGATAAGTTAAATAAAAAAATATTCAATTAATTGAATTATTTTTATATAAGAAATTCAGCGATGCAGATAATATTGCTTTTTATAATTCATTCTCTATTATGTATCTGTTTTTCTTATTTTTATTAGTTTCCTGAAGGTGGCGTACAAGTATTTTCCTTACACTGAAGTACACTAGAGTTCGCTATATAACGAACGATCTATAGAAAAAATATTTGTAGAGGATAAGAGTTTTTCATGGAATGGTTACTTGAACACTCGTCATAATAACATCCTATGAACATGTAAACAGTCAGAAATCAATATATATATCTATTTATATATATATATCGATTGAGATTATCAGAAGATTTTTTAAAATATTATATTGATTGTAGATATTGCTATAAAAAAAAAACTTCTAAAGTCAAGATGATTTTCTTGATTTGGAAAAATGATGTTGATGGCCAACAGTACAAACAACATCAGTTATAATCCAACGGCGAATAGTCGACCTAATACCAACCCTTTACCTCATCGAGAGCTTCTTCTACCTAAAGTAAAGTATTATTTTTTCTCTAACTGATTCAATAAATTAAAGTTTAAATATTTAATTTATTTGAGTTAGTTTATTTTTATCGATTTATAATATTTTATTGTATTGTAGAAAATATCATCAAGATTGGTCGGTGCAGGAACAGCACAAGATAGTAGTCTTTCATCGGATTCAAATAGTATCTATCGACAAGTATGTATTTTTTGTAAATTGATTGATAATTCTATTTTTTTTATTGACATTTAATTGAACACAATTGTTTCTTTTGGGAAAATAACTAATCGTTTTCTTTCTTTCTTTTTTTTAATTACAAGCAATTTTCTTATTGAAATTGATTTTTTTTTCTGTGTAAGATTATCGTATTAGATAATATTTCGAAAAAAAAAAAAGGAAATTTTCTTTGAAAAGAAAAAGATTGTTTGCTTTGTTGGATTGATGAGACGAGTGGAATCTGATGCGCTATACATTTTTTTGTGTATGCTATTCGCTATTCTCTAACGTCGCTGTATATTTACGAACCGAATCATGATTTGCTGGTGTTTCTAAGTTCTCTTTCTCTGTAATATGCGTGTACAGAATTAACAAGCATCCGCATGCATGCGCATTCCCCTTCTCGGTCTCGACGCTTAGTGCGCGCTTCCATAGACACCTATTTGCCATAATCAAGAGGCTGCTAGCTGAGATAGCAGAACGAGTAAAAAAAAATGTCATCGTCTATATTCTCTATAAGCCATTGTTAGGCATGGGCAAAAGAGTGCTTCTCTTTTCTGTTTTTCCCTCCGTTTTTCTCTTGTGTCCTAGTTTTTTTCATAATCAACTAGTATGTATGTAGCACCACGATAAACAATTTCTTCTCTTTTCTGTACACATAAACGATGAGATTCTATTTCTCACATAGTCGCCGAAGACATAGATGTTAGCTGTTTGTTGTTATATTAATTCAAAATTATTATTATTATCATCATCGTCGTCGTCTAAGACTACTATTTTTTTCTATTGATTATTATTTAACAAAGTGAGAATAATCGATCGATTGAATTCTTCTATTTATTTTGTTGTAAAATAAATGATAATGAAAAATAATCAAAATGCTTATGTCATCTATTCGAAATATCAAACAATATTCAGCTGATAGTGCTTATTCTACAACAACGGCTGTAAGTTTGTCACTATATATATTCTTGTCTTTTGGGTTCTATTATAATTATTATTTGATAAAAGTTATGCATTCGTGACTTAATAATTTAGTCGATTTATTTTTATCTAATAACTAATTTGTTCTTTTCAAATAAAACCGAAATTGCTTTTCGATTGATCGAGTTTTTAAGAATACAGGAAATCATACAATATAGTCGTATCTTATATTATTTCCCTTTTTTCATACCAATAGAAGAAAAAAAAAAAGAAAACGCGTCTTCTATTAAAACTAGTATGACTTCAGACGAAAAAAAAAGAAATAAATGATCTTTTTTTTTCATGTATGAAAACAGTTGGTGCCAAGAATTCTTTCTTTTTTTTCTTTTTGCTCTTTTTTAAAAAGAAAAATCTGATCAGACATAAAAAATGCACAAATTATATTGTCGATTCGTCATCGTTTTTTTTTTTGTGCTTTTTCTTCCTTGTATCGTATGATGATCGATATTGACACCATTACCAGGTTGCTGCTTTTTGCCCTCTCAAGAGATTCGTTGACTAACATATATATATATATATATATAACGCAGTCGCCATCTAATCGGAGATTTCTGTTCTGTTATACCATCTGTTACCGTTGTTCGAGCAAAAAAGAGAGAATAAGAGAAACATTGTTGTTTTGATAAATGTCAGATCGTCGTCGTCGTTCTTCTCCTTCACGCTTTCGCTTAGCCCAACATCGATTTCTGGATGACAACAACCGATCTTCCAGTAGTATTAATTCTCTTCATCAACAATTATTATTGCAAAAAGAGAAAAAAATTGTACGTAGAATTAGAGAAGAGGGAGGAGGAGGAAAAAAAACCGAGCAGAACAATAATAATCTATTAGTAATGGATCAATGAATAATCATTGGGATCTAATTGGTAACATTAAAAATGAAAATGAATTTGACAAATAGACATATATGGATATGAATACTGATTGATGAAAGACCAGATGTATAAAAAAAACAAGAAAGATATTATATATTATGAGATAAATGACTTTTGTCATAATTATTCATCAATTGATTTTGATGTATAGTTGAATTATTTTAAAAATTCTTCTCTCTCATTTAAAAATAGAATACATTCATAATTATATCAAATGCATTATCTATAAATAAATCGATTCAATTAATCTTCTCTACACACAAAAAAAAATATATGTTAATTCTATAAAAAAATTTACTTTCATTTATTTTCTTTTTTATCTTTATCGTTAACCCTGGATAGAAAAGCTGTCATGTGGAAAGTATTTATTAAATTTATATTTAGGGTTCGGCTGAATCAAATTATAGCCAACAATCATCAGAAAGTTTAGATGGCGATACAGCTGAAAGAGAACCAACAACTACAGCTCCAACATCATCAATAAAACCTCGTGATCAAACACGTTCTGCAACTGATGCGTTAGAACGATGTAAAACAAAACCTGTTGCTTTTGCTGTACGAACAAATATTGAATATATTCCATCACCAGATGATCTTTGTCCTATTGCAAAAGCAGCTATTGCTTTTCCAGCAAAAGAATTTCTTCATATTAAAGATGTATGAATAATATTAATAAAAGAGCATTCTAAAAAATTTTATTTTTTTTATATTTAGAAATTTAATAATGATTGGTGGATTGGTCGATTAGTTAAAGTCGATGCACCACTTGGTTTTATACCAAGTCCAGCTAAATTAGAAATGATTCGTATACAATCAAATCGAAAAAATAAAAATCAACCACAATCATTAGCAAATACAGCTCCACGTGTGAAAGCATCGACACAAAGTAATATCTATCTATATATGTACCGTATTTAAATAAATTTGTTTTTAGGTCTTGATATTATTGATCAGAATATGGGTGGATTCAATGATGATACATTAGGCAATGATGGTGATGGTGATAGTCTTACAAAATCAAAATTAAATCTCAATGCTAATAAAGATAAAAAGAAACCTTTTTTTAAAAAGGTAAAAACAAAATAATAATATATTATTATTATGAAATATATTTTCATAATTGAGGTTTTTATTTCTTCATTGACAAGCCCTTGATGTGCAGAGACGTCTGTCAGAAAGAAAGGAAATGTAATAGTTTAAATGTCTATCATTTGCTTTCTATCTGTTCTTGATAATTAACATCATTTTTATTGCTGGATGAAGGAACTAACAAAAATAAGAATAAACTTCTCAACTAGAAACTCTTTCGAAAAGATAATCGAATGACATATAAAGTTTGATGTTAAATATAGCTTAGATGTTATACGAAAATATGATTTTGTTTGTTTTGAGAGTTATGACAGGTGTGTACTAGTCATGATTTAGATTTAGAATAGATTCTATTTGAAAAGTACAGATTTTAATGCTAATATTTTATACAGGAAATCAAAACGGAAATGCATTGTCCTTAATAAGAATAATCTTTTATCGTTTTATTTTTTGTTCTAGGCTGCAAATATTACTCCTTATGATGTTGTACCTAATATGCGTCCCGTTGTACTTGTTGGTCCGTCTTTAAAAGGCTATGATGTCACTGATATGATGCAAAAAGCTGTCTTTGATTATTTAAAACATCGTTATGAAGGTCGAATAATTATAACACGTGTTACAGCTGATATATCTCTTGCTAAACGTGGTCTCTTAAATAATCCTTCAAAAATTGCTCTTATTGAACGTGGTGCACCATCAGGTGCTGCTGGTAATTCATCTGGAACATCATCTGGAATGATAAGTCCAATGGGTACAACACGTTCAACTGGTATAAAAGAAGTTCATGATGAAATTGAACGTATATTTGAATTAGCACGAAGTCTTCAATTAGTTGTACTTGATTGTGATACAATAAATCATCCAGCTCAATTACAAAAAACATCTTTAGCACCAATAATTATCTATTTAAAAGTTGCATCACCAAAAGTTTTACAAAAATTAATAAAATCACGTGGAAAAAGTCAACATAGAAATTTAAATGTACAATTAGTTGCTGCAGATAAATTAACACAATGTTCTGCAGTATGTTTAGCGAATATATATATAATTGAAATTATATTTTCTATTTATAGGATATGTTTGATTTAATATTAGAACAAAATCAATTAGAAGATGCTTGTAATAATTTAGCAAGTTTTTTGGATATCTATTGGAATGCTACACATCCTAAATTAGATGAAAAAAATGATTTAACACATGATACAACACATCTACCGCCACGTCCAGCAGCTTCCTTAATTGCTCATCTACCACAAATGAATCCTTTAAGTCAAGCACCTGTTGTTACATCAACAACTACAACAGTTAATCGTCTTCTTCCATCATCACCACTTGTTAATGATATAACACAATCACATTTATTACCTCAACGAACACCATCACAATTATCATCAAATAATAGATATGGAGCTGGAGGTACAGGAGGAGGTCTTTCTCAACGAAGACCATCATCATCAATTACTCCAGATTATTATAGACAGGCACCACAACCACCACCGTTACCACTTCCACCTGCACCTGCTTATGATGACGAACGTTTTGCCCACTATGAAATGGCTAATTTTCGATAGTCATCTAGTCGTTGTTTTTTTTTTTATTCGACAAGTGTTGATCACTTTAATTTGAATGCAAGCTCATTCAGTTACCTTCTGTTGCCCTTCTGTTCTAGTCATTGTCAATTTCTTTCTTTTGGTCTCAGTGCCTAAGATTGATTCTTAGCTCTTTTATTTCTTTCTTCTTCTTCTTTCACAGTGACCGTCATCTTTTTTTTCTCATTCTCTTTTTTTTGTTCTCTTTGTGTGTATTTTTTTTCTTTTGCAATTTGTACACAAATACATAATTATGAACTTTTTTTTTTTTTCTTGAAAGAATAATAAAATAAAGATATTTGTATTATCTTAAATTACAGTTTATTTTATTCTTCTTATCAAGATTCAGATGGATAGATTTTTCTAGTTTTCGTATATCTTCTTGTGTATAACGCCAGATTGTTATATGATAAAGCACTTTATGCAAGAAAAAATGTTCCCTATTGGGATTTATCAAAATTTTGTATGTATTTCCGATTGGATATGGCAAAATGTTCTGGTAACTTCCGATATAATTATTCTCGTACAAACGATCAAATCCAGGGGTTTAAAAAAATGTATTTTCGATTGTTTTTAATAAACGTACTATTTATTATAATCGTAGTCATTAATTACAAATATATATAATAACATATGAAGAGAAAAATATAAAATATCAAGGAATACAAATAGTGCGTTTAAAGAGCAAAAATAATATCAAAATCATGTTCTACTTTCTTTTACTTATCAATACATCTTGTTTGTAATTAGCTCAGTATGATTATTATGATACAAATATCTGACTTATTAATTTTATCAATTTATGATTAGAAATACTTAGGCGCAATTGTGTATACAGATAAAAATAATAGCATGACAAACTATGTATATATTTTAATAAAATTACGTCAATGTGAGTTGAAAGATGAAAGTAGATATTGATGAAAACTTCCTGTGATTGAATATTATAATAATGATGAGAAATGAAAAGAATTCAGGAAATATAAATTAATTCAATGTTAAACATTAAAATGATTACCATCATGCCTATTGAAAACAAGAGCAATGACTGAACAATTTCTATTAATTTCGCTAGCATGCTAAATAAATACTTTGTTATTATTGTTATTGTAAACTCGCTTATATATACAACAAGTAATTGTACGGAATTGTCGTCAAGGAAAGAAAAGTAATATATTGAAGCAACAGTCTGTAATGGTAAAAAAAAAGAAAGAATATCAGATACAATTATTATAGAATTTGTTGTTGAATGAGAGATAATGTCATAATTAATGATATTTATGAAAAAGACGTTGTTGTTAAGTAGTATGATCATTAGTAGAAAATGAAACGTTTATTTGTAAATTAGAACTTAATGAAATCGTTTCCTACATAAAAACTAATATTTCATAGTTAATAAACTTATCAATTTTTTATCGGAATAAAATATCATTTTTTGAGATCTATGAATATGAGAATATCTCTAATTATTTTCCTAATAATTACAAGGAATCTATCGTTAGCATAGACGATATTGTCCTAAACATCTAAAATTTCTTTCAAGATATATTACTTCAATTCTTATACAATGAACTGAAATTCATGATAAATTAGATTTGATAGCAGAATTGTCATCTAGATTCAACTGTTGAATAGATCATCCTAGATACAGTGTAAATTTTTTTCGTATCCTATATGCTTTCTAGAAGGAATTTCTTTACTTTATTCTACGAAAACTATTTTTCGTTCTCCTCAGTATTGAATATCATTTCACTAGCGTATGAACTAGCTGGGATATTAAACTTTAGATATTTTATAATTCATTTCTTCGATCAATTTACAACGTATACAGTATTCTTTCTCTCTTGCTTTAATCACGCTATATATAAAGTTTCAATCTAGAACAAATATAGAAATAAACTACATTGTTATATTCATGTAACACTTAAGAACATTCCGTATGATACAACTCTATTACGAATAAAAATCAATAATTTTACATGAATATATAATACATTGTTCATTTTATTAAATAAAACTTTTATATAAATTAACGGCATAATATTTTTTAAGCATACAAAAACAAAATCTCAGTCTATTTTTACAGTTATTATTAATGTTTAAAAAAAGTCTGTAAGTTTATTTTTTCTCGTAAATATGGGAAAGAAAACATAATGTATGCGACTTATCAACTAAAACACGACAAACATGTCATTCAAAGAAAAATATTTACCCCCTTTAATAAAGAAAAGAAAGAGAAAAAAAACTGTGAAAAAATTACATATCATCTCCTTTCGATTGGTAAAATAGACGATCGTCTATTACAATATTGTAAAAAATTCTCTTTTTTTTTATGCAAACAGAACGATCAATCAAAACGTATAGAGACAATGTCGACAACAAAGTAATTCTTTCCTACTTTATTAAAATAATATTCTTAAAGAAAACTTTTTTTCATTAGAAAATCAAAAAAATTAACTAAAAATCAAATACAAGCTATTCTAAATACTGATTATATTCGACAACATTTAATTCAAGTTGGTTTAGTAAGTTGATTGATTTAATTTAATAAATAAAAATAATATATACTCATTATTTAGATTGATAATCGAGGAAATATTATTCCTAGAGATGACGATCAACATCGTTCAAGACAACGATATGTCTCAAATAAGTAATTAATTTCATAAAAATCAATGAATTTATTTTATTATAAGAATTTAGTAAACAAAACCGACTATTATCCGCACGTTATACAACTGATGCATCAACTCCTGGACGTTCATTAGTTAGATATTATAATTTTTTCATTTTTATCTATTTATTTTAAAATTTAATAGAATACAAATGAATCTAATTCAAATCGATCATCTAATTATAATTCAAATGATCAACTAAAACAAGTATGATATGATGATAAGAAAAGAATACATGTTTTTTCGTTTTACTGTTTTATTAGACAAATAAACCACAAAATTCAGCACGTTCGCCATCATCAAATCAACGTCCATGCGTACAAAATGTTTTACTTCGTCGTACTGCCAGTCCAAATGTATTGTTATATTTTATTTTAGAAAGGAGGAAAAAAACGAATGTCTTATATCAAATTTGACAATAGACTTCTGAGACATAAAAATTCATTGTTTTGTATCACTTTGATCATGAGAGAACTTAACGATGTGTCAAAAGAATTTATCGCTTTAAGAAATAGTAAAAGTCGACATTTTAAAACTTCGAGTAAAACATATTAAGCTCATGAAATATTGTGTAAAAAACATATGAAATATGCAGGTCAATTTTCTATTATGTAGATTATGCCAGTTGGCGAGCGATGTGTTGTAACAATGATGTATTTTGGACCAGAATTAAATGTTGAATATGATCGTAAACAATTTGAACCTAATGGAGATGAAATTGTTGTAATGCAACAACATTGTGGTGGAGAAAATCTTGTTGTTTTTAAAGGATTTGTAAATCCAAATGGTAATTAAAATAAGTGAATGATATTTATGCAATTCGTAAATTATTTTTCTTAGATATGCTTTCATTTGAATCTGCACGACATATGGATTATCCATTTGCATTAACATGTTATATAAATGGTGCTATTTATAATCGTTTATCAGTTTGTTGTGAATCTAGATGTAAAGGTTTTAAGAGAATTGGTGGAAAACATGGTTTTTTTGGTATAATAGATATTCAAAAAGAAAAACCATGTCGAAGGTATATAGTTCATCAAAATGACTTTAGAATTCTTAATAGGATATGTTTTGTATTTATAAGATGTCGATTTGAGCAAAGAATGAAAAAATTGATTGAAGAAGACGAAAAGAAATCACCAGTATGTTTTTTTTTATTTATTTATATTCTCTTTTTTTTTCTACTAATTTCTTCAATCGAATATTAATAAGTCTCGTCGTCAAAAATCAAATACAGCTTCTAGATCACGTTCAAAATCAGCTACAGCTCGGACGAAAAATTCTGCAGCACCTAATACTCCTACAAAAAATTCAAAACCAAATACAAATAGAAAATCAACTTCTCAGTCGACAACTAATTCGAAAGCAACGGTAAGACGTTCATCAGATCCAAACTCAATAGAATCTGAAACATCAAATCCTAAGACAATTCCTAAAATAACTACAACTCGTGCATCAGATCCAGAACCTACTGAGTCTGATGAATCAAGTAAGAAAACAATAAATTTTCACACAACAAAGTCAACTGAATCGGATACAACAAGTTCCAAACCAGTATCGGCTCAAACATCAAATCCAAAATCAAATACTGAAGACAATTCAAATAAAGAATCAATTGCATTACTTAAAAATGCTCCACCACCAACGGTTAATCGTACATCAAGTCTAGAATCAATCGAATCTGGTCCAACAAGTCCGGAACCAAGAAATACTCGTACAAAAAATTCAGCTCGTATATCAAATCTAAGATCCCCTGAATCTGATACAACAAATCCAAAACCAATATCAGTCCAAACATCAAATCCAAAATCAAATACACCTAATAATTCAAATAAAGAACCAATTGCATTACTTAAAAATGCTCCACCACCAACTGTAAATCGTACATCAAGCCCAGAATCAATCGGATCTGATCCAAGAAGTCCGGAACAAAGAAATTCTCGTCCAACAAATTCAGCTCGTATATTAAGTCTAAGATCACCTGAATCTGATACAACAAATCCAAAACCAATATTAGTCCAAACATCAAATCCGAAATCAAATACACCAGATAATTCAAATAAAGAACCAATTGCATTACTTAAAAATACTCCGCCACCAACTGTACGTCGTACATCAAGTCTAGAATCAATCGAATCCGATCCGAGAATTCCAGAGCCAAGAAATACTCGTACAACAAATTCAGCTCGTATATCAACTCTAAGATTAGCTGAATCTGACACAACAAATCCGAAACCAGTATCGGTTCAAACACAAAATTCGAAATCAAATACTGCAGACAATTCAAATAAAGAACCAATTGTATTACGTACAAGTGCTCCACCACCAACTGTACGTCGTACATCAAGTCTAGAATCAATCGAATCCGGTCCAAAAAGTCCAGAACCAATGAATTCCCGCACAACAAATTCAGCTCAAATGTCAAGTCCAAGATCAATTGAATCTGATATATCAAGTCCAGAGCCAGTTGTTGCACGAAAATCAAATTTCAGAGCACCTAAAGCTCGTCAACAACGTCCAGAAATTACTGAATCTGATCTATCAATTCCCGACGGTGTGTATTTGATATAAAATATATACTAAATATATTATTTTTATATCTTTTAGTATCATCTGAATCAGAATCTCCAACAACATTCTCGGTAGATTAGTATATTTTATCGATAAATTGATTCATTTTCTTTTTTATTATTTCAGTCAAATCATCCACCTACATCAACTAGTTCATCACATCGTAAATTAAAACATTAAATTTTTATTTTATATTTAATTATCTTGATGTTTTAGCATTTTCTTCGAATTTAGAAAAGCTAGGAGAAAAAAATCATCGAACAATTCTTTCTCGCGTATGTTTTTATATGATAATAATAGTAAATTTTTGCTTAAATCAATTTTTTTTAGTGTAATAATAAACAAAATGAAGCATCTTCATCCGATACATCCGAAATTCGACGTAATCAACATCAAAAATGGTCTACTTCTTATGAAAGACATAATTATAAAGATGATATTTCTTCAGTTGACGGATCAGATGATGAATTAAAAGAAATGTTCTCTACAACAGATCGTCAATCAAGTATTGAAGATTAAAAACAGACTTCTAAAATAATATATATTTTTTGAACAAGAATAAAAATAAATAAAATCTGATAAACCGATTATTATACATATATCAAAGTTAACCCTTAAAAGCCGTATGTCCCTTCCAAGGGACATTTTCTATCTCCATAAGAAAAAAAAATTTTTTTTACTATCAATTATTCTTATTGACGTATTAGACTTTTTATTTTAGCAAAGACAGAAAATTTCTAACACATCCATTATCTACTGAACATTATCGTCAAGCTTATTCTGAATGGATATTATATCATTTAAATCTTAAATCAAAATTCGAATTAACATCAAGTCACAAAAGAATTACAAGAAAAAAAATTAATTGAACTTATATCTGTATGTAATAATACATGTAACAATAAATTATCAGATACATCATCTGTTAAAGAATATACTGGTGAATTCATTCGAATTCATATTTACGTGTATGGCCAGATGAACTTTATTTTACTGGTAATTTCTATGAAACAGTACGTATGTCACGATCAATTCGTTTACTTATTGGTGTTCATGGAGCAGGTCTATCGAATACGATATTTATGAGACCAGGAACAATTCTTTATGAATTAAATCCATATGGTTGTCGAGAATTATCATTTAATTTTCGTCGTTGGGTTGAAGTTTTTAATCTTCAACATGCATTATGGATTCCAGCAGTAAATGAAGCAGGAAAACAAAATGATATTTGTCAACGTGAAGATTCAGTAACAGTAAATGTAAAAGATATTATCGATGAAGTAAAAAAATCTATTAAAAAACGAGTTAGCATATCGAAATGGTTATATAAAACGAGCATTGGATATAATGAATGATATATCAGTTATCGATCATCCACCGTCAAAATATAAAAATATTCTATCATGATTTACTTGTTGTGTTTTTTGTTAAAGTTCAAATGTAAAAGTTAAATAACAGTACGTATAGTAAGAAGTCTTTGTGAATTAATCGTTCTCATTTATTTTCATAACAATGTATTAACATCAACTGACGTTAAGATATATACAAAGTAAACATTCTATCTTCATGTCGGTATTTTTTTCTTTTCTTTAACTTCTCTACCGATATAAATATATGTATTCGTCGAAATAAAATAGTCAGACTTTAACTACGTTTATCTTCTATAAAGAATTTCATATAATGATATTATTCTTATGTATATATTTAAATGAATAAAAAACTATTTTTTCGTTTATATATTCAATATAATCATTTAAGTGCATTTTCAGTTCAGTGTTTTACATGTTCCTACATGTATGAATATAAAATATATTAGCCCTAAAGAGGGCTGTTGGGTTTTTAGTTAAATCTTAGATGTTATGATTTAATTAAAGTCAAGGATATTTATGCTTTTTCAGCTGCTTTTGATCCTGATGATTTTTCACCAGCTGGTTTCTTCTTGCTTGGACCAGCAGATCCTGATGATGGTGCTGAAACAGTACCTTCAGCAGTTTTCTTTGGTAAAAGAATTGCTTGAATATTAGGTAAAACACCACCTTGAGCAATTGTTACACCAGATAATAATTTATTCAATTCTTCATCATTTCTGATGGCTAATTGAAGATGACGTGGAATAATACGTGTTTTTTTATTATCTCGTGCAGCATTTCCTGCTAATTCAAGAATTTCAGCCGATAAATATTCGAGTACAGCACCCAAGTAAACTGGAGCACCAGCACCGACACGTTCGGCATAATTACCACGTCGAAGAAGACGATGAATACGACCCTATTGAATAAGAAGATATATAAGAATACAAAATATATTTTTATTATATGATTAAACTTACAACTGGGAATTGAAGACCAGCTCTTGATGAACGAGTTTTTGCTTTGGCACGAGCCTTTCCACTTCCTGCAGTTTTACCACGTCCGGACATTGTGTCTTGAATTTATTTAATAACTTGACGAAAATGTAGAATGAATGATATAGAGAATGAATCAATGTATTCACTTCTCCTTATATATGTCTATGTAACGAGCAACTTTTTTAACCAATCATATACAAACATTAATGATTGGTTGTTCAACTAACCTAACGTTGTGAATATAAGAACGAGGAAATGTTCTTATTCTTTTACATTATTATAATAAAAAATATAATAACGAAAATAAAGTTTACGTCCATTCTCTAACATGCCACCAAAAACTCCATCAAAAGGATCAAAAAAAGCTGTTACAAAAACATCAAAAGGATCAGCTGGTGCTAAAAAGACTGATAAAAAACATCGACGCAAACGAAAAGAAACCTATTCAATTTACATCTACAAAGTACTTAAACAAGTTCATCCAGATACAGGTATTTCATCGAAAGCTATGTCAATTATGAATTCATTCGTAAATGATATATTTGAACGTATTGCTGCTGAATCAAGTCGTTTATCTCATTATAATAAACGATCAACAATTAGCAGTCGAGAAATTCAAACAGCTGTTCGACTTTTATTACCTGGCGAACTTGCTAAACATGCTGTATCGGAAGGTACTAAAGCTGTTACTAAGTATACAAGTGCTAAATAAACATTCATCTGAATATTTGGACACAAAATAAACCCAACAGCCCTCTTTAGGGCTAATATATTTTAAATTCAGAAATGCTGGTATTCGAGTTTTCGACATTGAATTTTCTTTTTTAATTAGAAACATAACTTTAGATTACTTATATGCCACTTTGATGAATATATGAAAATGATCAGCGTATTATTGAATAGAAATAAATGTTTGATACTTGTATTGATGTACTCGTTGAACAATTTAATGAATATCTCAAGCTATTCTCATTTTGATTTAAAAAAATTAAATATTATTTCATTTTTTTTTCTTACAAGACTTGTTAATAACGAAAAAATAGTTAATTGTAAGCATAGTCTAACTTATTGGCGAAGATTATTTAAAGGAAAAAAATGTATCTTTTTGTTTTGAAATAATAACGTTTAACAAATGCTCAAATGTTAATAAAGAATAATTCGAGATATTTTTTGCCTGAAGTTAGATCACAATGATCAGTAAAATACAAATATTTTCAACAATAGATTATAAATTCAGTTATTATCATACGCCGAAGAAATAAAAGAACAATACTTCGTTTGTTATATCATACTTTTTAATCATTGGAGAATAATTGTTGATGACCTTTCACTCATTACATTGTATCTGAATAAACTTTTTCTATTCGTTTGTTTAGAGAAAACATCACGCTTTATCGTTTCCTGTTTTTTTTCTATTAAAATATATTCAAATCGTTTAAAACAAAGTTTTTAATATATATTTGATATAAGAAGAAGGGATTTGTCTACTGTAGAGAGAAAGAGTTATCTCCACTTACGACTGAATGATGTATTAAGTACATCGATAAATGCATTTGAAGTGAACAAGTGACAGTTTATTGACAGATATATTTGATTTCATATTATATTTCTTTTGTTCGTATACAATGAACAGCTGACTTTTCTTCTTCTTTCTCTCCATTGGCTCGTAAACATCTCTTCTTAACTGACCAACGAGAACAACGTGCTTGTTTAGTCATACTATATAATGAATGTTTATGCTGTGTAATATTTATTATTAAAACAAAGAAACAAAATCGAATAAATAAATCATGTCTGGTCGAGGTAAAGGTGGTAAAGGCTTAGGTAAAGGTGGTGCTAAACGTCATCGTAAAGTACTTCGTGATAACATCCAAGGTATAACCAAACCAGCTATTCGTCGTTTAGCCCGACGTGGTGGTGTTAAACGTATTAGTGGTCTTATTTATGAAGAAGTACGTGGTGTATTAAAAATATTCTTAGAAAATGTTATTCGTGACGCTGTTACATATACTGAACATGCCAAACGAAAAACTGTTACAGCTATGGATGTTGTTTATGCACTTAAACGACAAGGACGTACTTTATATGGTTTTGGTTCATAAAATAACAAATAATATCAATTAAAATACCCAAACAGTCCTCTTAAGGACTAAACAAAACTTTTTATTTTTTACATTCGAAAATATTGGATCGAGAATATAAATACAATTAAACTAACTTGCTTATTATAATAGAATGAATTTATTGTATAGATCTATTTAACGATAAAAAAATTTCTTACAATTGAGAATATCAATATTAATACGTGATGAAATAGAGATACTAATCTCGAAATGGTGGATACACAATAATTTGCATAAGAACTTGTTTATATTCAACGCAACAAAATAAAAAGTATATTAATAAATTATATGATTTTTCGTGAGAAGAATAATGCTGATAGTCTGTTTTTTTTATTTTATATATCTAAAAATAAAGTAATACATGACTACGAGAGTATAACATCTAATGGAATTCAAAATACGAGAAATGTAATCTGTTAACAGCACTGATTCAATATAAATAGTATTGAAAAAAAGAAAATGTTTGAAAAAAAAACACGTGTTTAATACAGAAACTGGATAAACATTGTTTCACTGTTGTATTGACAACCAAAACATGCTTTATGTGCAAAAACAAAAATTATATTATATTTCTTACTCCGTTAATAGGTTGAAATTTTCAATTGAATAACAACATTTACAGCACTTTTAAATAATTTTAATACAGCAAAAAGAAAATGCAGTAATGCTTTCACTATTATTCTCTTATTTTTGAAAAACAATAACATTTACTTACTTTCTAATCATAATAATTCGACGCAAAAAAATAACGTCCGTCACTTGGTTTATATCAAAAAAAAAAAACTATTCACATCTATTCATTATTGGTTAATACGAATTACATTTCACTAATACAGAGACTTAGGTAAGGATTGAGAACATGAGAAATAATTAGTATTCTTCGCTTCAGGATATTTATATAACATAACTAATATATTTTCAATTGAATGCTTCTGTTTTAATTATGATTTAGATATATATATATATATATAAATGTCCGCATTTTATTCATATGGATCTCCAAATGTTTTACCGAATTCTATGCCACTTTCACATGTAGATCCTTATACACGTCTCTATAAAAGTCCAAATCAAATTGTTCCTCAATATGCATATGAAAATCAGTATGAACAACCGAGAATCGTACATCCATACAATCCCAACAATATTGCATCAATTCCTGGACGATATGTTTGGCTAAAGTTAGTCATTTATGACAATATTTTTTAAAATTTCATATGTTACATTATTAGATGTACTATAGAAGGATATATTTGTGTCCTATCGTCCCTTACAGTACTTGCTCTCGCATTGGCAGCGTTAATTATCCCTCTTGTTGTACTAATACATGGTAAGTCGAGAAAATAGAAATATATATCTCGTATTAATTTAAGAGTTTTGTAAAAATAAGAAATTTATCAATTGAAGAATATGTTATATTACTTGTGTTTTCATATATGAACTATTTCGCTTCGAATACTATAATGAAAATAGTTTTTAAGTAAGATTTCATTACTATATATAATTACTTGATTCAAGTAAAATGTATAGTTGAGTGATGTTTTCAATTATCATAGATATGTGACTTTTGACGTAAAAAATTATCAGTAATAATAAACTATATTAATATTAAAAGTTTAATTTATTAAAAAGAATATCAATTGTCATATGAAAACTCTAATAGAAAGACAAAAAAATATTTTCTTTCAACTATAAAGGATATGGAGAATAAGTATCGGTCTATGTTTTTTAATAATAATGAACGAGACGAGAGTTTTGTACAGTTTGCCATGGGATTAGTGATTCATCAACCGTTGCAGACGGTAATCCACGTTTTTCAATAGCTTCGTCGATAGCTTTTTGAAGGACATTGATTGAATGTTTGTTCCATTGAATATCTCCTGTTTTTAAATCATAATCTAATTTATCACGAAGTTGACTAATTTTAATTACGGGTACATTCATTTTTTGATACCATCGTTCGACTAACTTTAGAGCATTAATTGATGATCGAATAGGTATTTTAAACAACAATATTAGTCGTGTAGCAAAAGCCATCCAAAACGTTGTAGTTGGAGCGTTCATTCTTCTTCTTAAATGTGTCTTGATAATATGTTCTGGCACATCCAGTATGATAGCTACACTTGTTGTGTGTGTTTCTTCCAGAAGAATTTGCCTCATATTCAATGGAACTGAAGTGTAATTGTCCATTAAAGCATATGTATAGACATCGAGACAAGTTCGATCTCTCCATATCCATGTACGATTACTTCGGTTTTGTTGATCATTAAAATAAGAAACATTGTAGAACCACATTTTTGATAACATTGTACTGTTGAACCAAAGAAAAAATCGACCGATAGCCAGAAAAATAAGAAACAGTATGATAACTGGCCAGACAGTACCAGTAAGATAATGATTTATGAGGGTAAAAATAAGTACTGATATTGGACTGATATATGCCATAAAAAAACTTGTGACATTATCACGAGCGGCAAATGCCGGTTTTTGACGATACCACGACATATGTTTATCATCTGAACTTGGCACAGCCATAATTCCTTCCAAGACTTCCTCCATAACATGACAATTCGTGCCCCAATGTTCACCCATTAAACGAGTGAGTGTCGATTTTCCTGCGCCTGTTGATCCATGAAGAGCGATAACACGCGTCATTGTGTGAGAATATAATAAATGTTAAATTCTTGCTTTATCTTTTGAGTATATATAGGTATGCCAAGTGAATTCAGGGCACTGTGCTCTTGTTATCGAATAGGAGAGTTATAAATAAATATCTTAAAAAACAAAATGAAAGGCAACTTTATTGCACTTCAAAATTCAGACAGACAAGTTAAGCGCAAAAAAACGTGCATTTTAACCTGTTATAATTTTTTTTATAAAAGCAAGTTTTATGACATTAACTTAGGTCAACTCGTTTTGTTCTCATAAAAAAATGTTTTTTTAACGTATTAAAATGAGCGCTTTTTACGCCTGAAAATTTCAATTTTTTCGCTACTTGCCTAACTTGGATAAGTACAATAGCACAGTGACCTTCATAAAAAAAAGAAAATTATGTATATGTATGACCTTTTAAGTATTTTTGAAAACATCTTACTTTAACTAACCTAAAATAGTGAATAAAAAATAATCATCTCGACATTCGAAAAGATGTGATATATCTCGTACATAAGTTTTCAAATCCTATATGCTATTGAAAATAATATTTCACGTTCAATTAACATCTCTATCGATGCATCTTAGAAATTAGTTCAAGTGATTATATATATATTTTCATGTGCGAATAATTATGTAATTATTATATTTGAAATACTTGAAAAATAAGCTGAAATAATTTATAATAGGAACTAAAACATTCCATTAGTGGAATATATGATACTGTCATATATATAGATCAAGTAATTATTCAACTATGTACTATATAAGTGAAGAATTTTACTTAGAAAAAATAGTTCATAGGAAGGTTTTGATAAAAAAAATTTTGCTTATGTATTTATGAAGTAAATTTTAATAAAAACTATTTTTCTTTGTAGATCTCAAGTATAAAGGTAAATATAAATATTGTGATATATTTGATTAATTATTTATTTACTATTTTGATTGTAGATTGTGCAACAACATATTCTCAATCCTTTACAAACGGTGTTACTCCAACGACTCAATGTACTGCATGGATTACATTTGCAGCTGGTTTGACTTGTACTAGTTATTCAAGTTTACGCATATACGGATCTAATGATCCAACTGGGATAACAATAACTGATTCATACGTTGCTACAGCTATCGCGGTGGCATTACGTGCTAATACAACGTACAGTGCTACAGCGAATGGATATACATGGATAGTTGGTGCATGTGGTGGTAATGAAATAACTGCAACAGGAACTTTATGCACATGTAATACGGGTTATACTCTAAGACCATGTTTTAGTGGTTCTAATTGGGGTGGTATTATGGGTACAACTTGTGGTGCAGCGACACAAACATTATCACTTGATTTTTCATGAAAAAAAGTGAAAGTAGTTATGCGAACAAATAATATGTAATTTTTGTTAATTTTAAAGTGTTTTAAAATTGTTTTTCTTTCATTAATAAATGTAAAATATATATTCATACCATTATCATCTTACTCTAATTATATGTATATCATTAGAAAAGTAATCTAAATATAATAAACTTCGATTTTATTCAAGAAATAAATATATACAACATATTTCAGTCAAATCTTTCAAAAATAATTTTAAAAATAATTTCTCTGCTCTTCTTCATCATTGTTTGATATAATTAAGAAATGATAGATTTATTTAATGGTTCTGTCTCTTAGCCATCAGATAATTCTTCGAAATACTTTAAAATACGTTACCATGAAGAATAAATAACATTCGATAAAGAAGGTTATAGTCTTTTATCATCTATTAAATGTCTTATTATTATTCATTGAATTGTTATAAATTAAATAATTATTCACAAGATGATTTTTTTTTAATTTCGAAGTCGTATAAGTATGAAAAACTTCAATAATCTGCTTATTCAACCACTTATTAATCATATAGAAAAATATGATATTATTTCAACATTATATTGATTATAAAATAATTGATCAAGATGGCTTATGTGATGATTTTATTCATATAAAATCCAAATATATCTGCTAAAAGACTCCTGATATTTTATAAAAAATAATTCTGATATCTAAAGTTTCGATTTAATCAGTGTGTTCGAAGAGTTATATTCATTTACTCTTTCAAAACACTGGTGTCCTATATTTTCATCCGTTCGTTGTATTCACTTTCGTTTATTCATTTTGACGATTCACATTGACATTATGAAAGAAAGTAGAGCAAGTAAATATTCTGTACACAATAATTATAACCTATTTTTTTTTTCTTATTTTCTGTACATATTGTAAGTAAGCATATAGAAAAAGCAATGTAATACACATTATCATTCATCCTACGTAGAAAAACATGTTTACGTAAAGAAACATGATAATTATTCACGCGAGCTTAAGAGTGGTCTATATACCTGTTTTTCAATTCATATCAAACGATTTCTATTTTTCATAGGCCTTTCGAATAAAAACAAAAATTAATTTCTGAGTATGCATTTTCTTTTCATCTGCTATTCTATTCACATAGAATAGTATATTACATATATTTATTTTTATGATGATTTTAAAACGAAAACATTTATTAATGAGTACTATCTATCTTCACTGGATATTTTACCTTTTACCAGTCATCTATACGCTTCTTCCGTAATTTTTTTTTTTCAAAAATGAATATATATCAATCATAATTAGTACGTCAACTTTCAAGCATGAATAAATAAATATTTTTTTTAATGTATTAAAAATATGTCTTTGACGTATTTATTTTAACATATGAATATTAAATGTTAAGTCAAGCGCTAATAATGAGTGAATCGTTGTTTTTCATATATTACTCGTTTTTATTTTATACAAAGTCAGTCATTCATTGGTTTCATTGACATAATAAGTAAGCAGTTACTATTCTATTTAACTATCACACCTTCGTTCTATTGCGTTAATGATATCTGATGTTTTTCAAAAAATTTTCTGTATATATAAATTGCGTTAGCTAGTCCTATTTAATTGTAATAGATATTTTAGAAAAAACTAATAATGTTTAGCAAACTTTCATTTGACTGCGATGCACCACAAAAGGCTATTGATCGACTTAAAGCACAAACTGATGAAGAACGATCTCAATTTATTATTGATATTTTTGTGAAATATTTTGGTGATGGTATTAAGACCAATCCAACAGCATTTCGTGGTCGATTTCGAAAAATGGCCGCTACAGCATTTAATTTCTATCGTGGATCAGCTTTATTATTTTATCAAGATTTAAAAGTTGATCAAGATCCATGGATTCATGGTCATATAGCAGCTGGAAATATTTTTATTCATGTAAATAATTTTCTTTCATTTATTTTTGTATATTAATTTGAGATTCTCTTAGGGTGATTTACATGCTGAAAATTTTGGAACATATTTAGATAATCATGGTATTTTAAATTTTGATGTTAATGATTTTGATGAAGGTTATTGTGGACCATTTACATGGGATGTTAAACGTCTTTTAGCATCATTAAATTTAGTTGCACATAGTAAAGGTTGTTCAGATAAAGAAATCGAACAAATTTTACGAGTTTGTGTTGAATCATATTTAAAACAAGTTGATGAATTTTGTAAACATCCAATCAATACTTTTTCATTAACATTAAAAAATACAACGGGTAAAATAAAAAAAATTCTCAATGAAACTCGAGTTAAATCTCATGTTGAACATATAAATGCAATGACTGTAATTGAAGATTATGATCGACGATTTATTCGATCAAAAAATATCAAAGATGTTGATGAAGTTTTACGAGCGGATATTTTAAAAGTATATATTAACAAATAGAAAAATTATGTACATATTTTCTTCTTGTTATTAAGGCATTTGAAGGTTACTTAAAAACAATTCCAGAATCTAAAAAACAAGGTGATAAAAGCCCAGAAAATTTTAATTATAATATTAAAGATATTGTTGCACGTTCATCACCTGGTATTGGTTCAGCTGGAAAAATATCCTATTCAATTTTAGTTGAAGGTCCAACAGAAACACTTGAAAATGATATTGTTCTTTATATGAAACCTGCACAAAAATCAGCTATTAGTTATGTTGTTCAAAATGCTGAATTAGAAGAACTTTTTAAACATGATGGTTTAAGAACTGTTCTTTGTTCTTATGCAATGCAAGCATCAACACCACAATGGTTAGGTTATACATCACTTGGATCAGTTCCATGTTTAGTTGATGAAGTTACAGCTCATTCAGAAGATTTAGATTGGGATGATATTAATGATATAAATGATATGATTGAAGTCGTTACATATTTAGGACAAGCGACAGGTAAAATTTAATTCGATTATTTTAAAATGACAATAGTATTTATTTATTTATTTATTTTAGCTAAAATTCATTGTGTAGCTGATTCGGATTGTGTTAATACACCAGGTGATGTTGCTTGTTTACCATTTTCAATTATTCCACAACATACAGAAAAAACAATTCGTGAAGCTATTCAAGATCGTGATGAAGAATTTATTAATTATATGGTTGAATTTGGCATGGTGAGATAGAAATAATAAATAATACTTTGAAATATAATTTTTGTTTTAGGTATATGGAAGACAAGTTCGTCGAGATCATCATTTATTCTTCGAAGCATTTCGTAACAAACTTATTCCGGGACTTGAATAAACTTTCAATATCGTTTTGTTTTAGTTGCACCATAACTTTTATCTATTTAGTATATTAATCATTTTTTTTAGAACTAATTAGTTTCAAATAGGAATTTCTAATATTTAGACGAACTTCTTGTAATTTAATCTAATAAAATAAATTATCATTTACTTTTCGTACGTAGTTTCTTAGTGCATCACATATTATTAATGTCTGATGTTGTTATCATACTTTAAGATAGACAATTAGCTAAAGTGATACTTAGAATATTGAATAGTTATCAGTACGGTAGAGTGCAAACTATGAGTAATTATACTATTTTGATCTGTGAACTTGATTGAGACAATACCATATATGCATTCGTTCAATACATAATAAATCAGTTCTTTATATTAGTTTTAAATTAATTCCTGACTATTGATTTCATTGAAATAATCGTCTGATGGTGACATCTAGTCTGAAAACTCGTTGGTCTATAAACAAGGCAATAGTATTTGATAGAGAATTGACGAAGAATATTTAACACGACGTAAAATATATAAAAATAAACTCTGTAAAATTCAACGTCATTCCACTAATTAATATGTGATATATTACATTAAAATAGTCAAATCTACTATATATATATATAGTATATACGATCTCATTTCAATTGATTTTATATTTAATTTTAATTTACAAAAATGCTCATGAAAATTTTTTCTCCAACTCTTCTTTTATTAATTTTTCTCTCAATTATAATTGCCATGAAAGTAGAAGAAAAAAATCAACTTCGACTACAAGTTATAGATATGTTTAAGCATGGATTTAATTCATATATGGTATTGAATTATATTTTTAAATTAAATTTTATTAAACTTTTGTTTTTTTTTAAATAGAAATATGCTTATCCGGCGGATGAATTAATGCCTTTAAGGTAGATTAACTAATTGGATTAAAAAATAGATATGCCAATATAATTATTTGTTTTAGTTGTAAAGGTCGATATCGAGGTTCAGAACCATCACGGGGTGATATAGATGATGCATTGGGGAAGTTAGTATATACATATATGAAATATTGATAATAAAAATAATTTATTTATTTTTTTCTGTTAAATAGTTTTTCATTAACACTTGTTGATAGTTTGGATACTCTAGCAGTAAGATAATGGAAATAATTAGTTTATTTTTATTGAAGTTAAAAATTTCTTTTCTAGGTTATTGGAATGTTTGATGAATTTGAACAAGCAGTTCGTCAAGTTATTCAATATGTTACATTTGATCGTGATGTTGTTGTCTCAGTTTTTGAAACAAATATTCGTATGATCGGGTAATTCATTCTTATCTAGATAATACTTACGATGAATATCTAAACTATTAAATTTTGTGCTTCTCTTCAATTACTTCCTTTTTATTTTTAGTGGTCTTCTTGGTGGTCATATATGTGCAAAATATATTCATTTACATCATCCATTACGTTTATCTTGGTATCGTGATGAATTATTGGTTCTTGCTCATGATTTAGGTCTTCGTTTATTACCTGCATTTAATACGACAAGTGGTTTACCATTACCACGTGTTAATCTTCGTTATGGTATTGATTTAACATTATCAAAAAGTGAACGTGAACGTTTTACATGCACAGCATGTGCAGGTACATTAATATTAGAATGGGCAACATTATCACGTTTAACAGGAAATTATTTATTTGAACAATATGCTGATCGTGCTATGTCATATTTATGGGATAGACGACATCGACAATCAAATCTAATGGGTACAATACTTAATGTACATTCAGGTGATTGGATTTCACGTGAATCGGGTATTGGTGCTGGTATTGATTCATATTATGAATATTTATTTAAAGCATATGTTTTATTGGGTGAAAAAAATAATGATTATTTATCTCGATTTGAAGATCATTATTCATCTATAATGTCTTATGTTCAAAATGGTATTGCAATGGTTAATGTTCATATGCATGAACCACATCGTTCAACAAAAAATCATATGGATGCTTTATTAGCATTTTGGCCAGGTTTACAAGTTATGACAGGAGATTTAAAACCAGCTATTGAATTACATGAAATGCTCTATCAACTTGTTAAAAAACATAAATTTATACCTGAAGCATTTACAACAGATTATAGAATACATTGGAATTCTCATCCATTAAGACCAGAATTTGTTGAATCAACATATTTTCTTTATAAGGTAAGAATTATCTATATATATATATTATAACAATGAATATTGTCTTTGAAGGCTACTGGTGATCCACATTATCTTGAAGTTGGTCGAACAATTTTAAATAATCTTGAACAACATGCACGTGTTCCATGTGGTTATGCTGCTTTATCCGATGTTTCTACTGGTCAAAAAGAAGATCGAATGGATTCATTTGTTTTAGCTGAAACATTTAAATATCTTTATTTATTATTTGATTCAACTCCACATCGTTATATTGATATCGAACAATTTTTATTTACTACTGAAGCACATCTTCTTCCACTTAATCCTTTTTTATTTAATATAAATGATACATTAAAAAATCAATTTCATCAAATAACATTAAAATCAGCACGTAATTATGAACAAAAAAATCTTTCAATAATTGAAAAACAAAATGAACGAAAAGCAAAATCAAATCAATGTCCAGTTATGGATGAACAATTTAAATCACATGAATATAAAGAAAATTTAAGACAAAATATTCGTGATAATCAAAATATGAAAGAAATACGAACAGCATCATCAAATAATGTTAACAAAAATGAAATCAAGTTCGTTAATAATCCTGATAGAGAGACTTCTATCAAATCTGACTTCTGTTTAGTTTAATTATACAAATAACGCTCGTCCGAGGACTCGCTTAGCTCTTTCTCGTAGGAATGCATCCTCTTCACATTTACTGAAAAAAAAACAATTGAAAACTGTGAAAAATAGGTTTTCGATGTTTTTTTGACCTCTCGCCTTGGTCACCCAACAGACCTCAGATTCGAAGTCCCCGAATCGAAAAACTTCTAGAAATGTCTTTTTCGAAAAATCAGTTTTCGATGTTTTTTTGACCCTGCGGACAGACAAGCAAACAAACAATTTATTCTTGCGAGACTCTTCTCTACGAGAATAGCGTTACTTGTGAAGTTTGCGGTAAAATAAATTAACGAATATTTTTTTAGTATATCTTATCATCGTATAACTGCTGTTGAATTTTCCTCAGATAATTCTGAGCATATAGTTCAACTTAGACAAATGGGTATTCAAATTGAACCATTATCTAATGGTGGTATGTATTGAAAATTATTTTTATTTTCTTTACTATTGTTATTTAAATATATACAGAAATTCAATTAATTCATATGGCATCTGCAGCTGAATCTACTAATGATGCAGAAGCTGGTTTAAGTTTTATGCAAGAAATGATTGAATTAATGAAAAATACGAATTTATTTCGAAATTCTATTAAACATTTTAAACCATTAACTGTTATACCATTATTAGAAAAAAAATCAATCAGTTTTACTGTTGCTCCTGCTCAATTTGGAAAACAATTACATGAAACTCAAGGAGTAATTATTGAAATATGTTTCTTATTTTTATAGATTCATTTATTTTAGATATTTGCTCAATTATATGTTGTTCAACCGTATTCTGCTTGCTCAGAACTATTATTATCTCATTATATTTCTTCTCGTATTGGTATTATTCGTCGTGGTGATTGTATGTTTATTGATAAAGCTCGTCGTTTAGAAAATGCTCATGCTACTGGTGGAATTATTCTGGATCATAATCTATCATTGAAATCTTTAAATAATTCAGTGTTTTCTATGACTGATGATGGAAGTAGTATTGTAGATATTCCACTTGTTTTAATGTTTAAAGATGAAGCAGTTCAATTATTATATCTTTTATCAAAGCAACCAGATTTAATAATTTATATTGGAGATGAAAATTATTTAAGTGAAAGTTTTTATCAACAAATGAATTATTTAGAAAATTTAATTGAACCATCTAATCCAATAACAAAAAGATGGTTCTATGGACATATGGAATTATTTAATAAAGATAAACAATGTTCAATTGTACCAGATAAATTAAAACAATTAGAACTTATCATCAAACAACAAGTTGAACATCAGATTCATACTAGTAAGAAAAATAGTTTGTTGATTCTGTGTAATAGTAATAGAATGATATTGTCTATAGAGATTATGACTTGATATTTTAGTCGAATGGTCGAAAGATTTAGGAAAATATGTTCGAATCTACCTAATGGAAGCAAATGATGTTTATTCTTGAAATTCAACGCTGAATTACCTGTTGAAAACCTGAGCTTTGCTGATGCTTCCTTTCGTTATTTTTCAAACTGAAATGTTTTAAATTTCATTTAGATAATGATAAATTATCGGAACATTTTCCTGATACTAATTTAACTACAGGGAATATTCATAATCAATCAAGCCATAATATAAATGCTTATCATACAGTTGTGAACAAATTGATTCAATCAGCCTTTAGTAATGATAAGCAATCATTAGTTTTTAATACTAATACTGATAATCAAGAAGAACAAACTAGTATGTTAATTGAAGTAACTATGACTGATGAAGAAGCAGAATATCAAATGTCAATGGCTGCAGAAGATACACAGAAAAAGAATGAAAAACAAGCAAATATAAAAGAAGAGTTTTAAAATAATGTGCAATTTCTATCTTTTTTTTGTTTTATTACCGGTGGTATATCAATTTATTTTCTAGTCTTTAAATTAATCAATTGAATGAATGTCAATAGGATACATATTTGTATATAGCTATTCTTTCATTGTTTTTGTTGTTGTCATTTTTATTGAAAACTATATCGAGAATGTAAACGGTTAATAAATATATATATCAACTTATAGAAAAATCTATAGATAATAATTGATGTACTAATTTCGTTGAGTTTTATTTCGGAAAAGAAAATTTTCTTTTTAATGCTGGTTTACAATTATACAAAACAAATTATGAGAAATATATACATATTCACTGTAGTAAATTTCTAATCAACCATAATTACTCGATCGTTCATAAGTTTGCTTTCATTATCATCATCATCAACATCATCATTCAATTTTAATTCTTGACCAGTAGTTCTTGTTGGTAGTGATTGATGAATAAAGTTTGTTAGAGTTCGTTCAGTACATTTTGCTATAAAACGTATTAATGGTCGAACATCTCCATTATTTGCTTGATCTAAATATGAATAATAAATAAAACGTTCAGATTTCTCGATAATCACCGGTGGAAAACCAGATCTCATTAGAATTAAATTCATTAATAAACGTCCTGTTCGACCATTTCCATCAATAAATGGATGAATATAAACAAATTTATAATGTGCTATAGCAGCTAATTCAATAGCATGAAGATCTTCTGTATCTTCTAATGAATTAAGCCATTGAAGAAAATCATCAAGATATTCGGGAACTTCTGTTGCTGATGGTGGAATAAATGATCCAACATATACTTGATGTTGACGTAATTGACCAGCTTCAATTGGATCAACGAAACCTAAAACTCGACGATGAATTTCAAGAATATCTTCACGTGTTATTGTACCAAGACGATTAACTAATGTACAATTAACATATTGTAAAGCTAAATCAAGACCAAGTACTTCTTGTTGTTCAACAAGAGATTTTCCAGCAACAGCCATACGTGTTTCAACAATATATCGTGTTTCACGAAGATCTAATGTATTACCTTCAATACCATTGGAATGATAAATATGTAAATAATAAGCATCACGTTTAGCACGTCTTAAATATGGATTTGTATCTGGAATACGATAAAATTCTTTAAGAAGATTATCAATAAATGTAAAATGTTTTTGATCAATTTCTTGAACTAATGGTAATGTTCGTTTTTTAAGTTCTAATGCACGAAAATGATCTGGTTGTTTAACAAGTGCACGAGTATAGAAATGTTCAGCACGTATTAAATCTTTATGATAATATTCAAGAAATTGTCCATATTCAACAAGTATTTCTGAATTATGAGGATCAAGTATTAAAGCATGTTCAAATACTTTTCGTGCCTTTTTAACTTTATTTGATTTGATCAAATCAAGTGCTACATGAAGTGCTGTTTCAGCTTCTTGGCGAAGGTCTAAAATAATAAAAAAATTTAGATTTAAATATCATAATAATTGTTACGATTATCCTTGACTAAAGCAATTCGAATAGTTTATAACCCAAGATTCTTGTCTATCATACATCACATTCTGACATGTTCTTTTAAATATTTTATATGGCGAAACAAAATATGTGAAAATAATTATCGAAAGCCTATAAGACGTTGCCTATGAATAGTACTGATCTTTTCATTCATTATATTTCTGATAAAATATACTTTACCATTCGATACATTCTTCTGTTGTGATTGATCTTTTATATATGATCGTCTTTTATCTGATAAATCTTGTTTTTCATAATGTGTTTGTAATTCATGATGATGTTGTTGAGAATAATGTAAAGGAATTAAATCCGATGGAAAGAATATATGACTTGATGCAAGTAGACTGACTGATGGCGATGTTTGAGTTTTGGAAATAAAACTTGGTAATAAAATATTAATTATAATTGTTGTGAAAAATGAAAGAAGAAGCAGTAGGCACATTTTCGATAGAGATCGACGAAGTTCGATTGATGAGCATCGCTCCATAAGATAATAAAGAATATGTCGTATAATAACTGGATAGATCATTAATATTCAATATAGATATATTTAACTTATTCATTGTAATGAAAAAGCGCGAGAATATCAAGTCATATAGAGACCATTTTTATTCAATTTATTTAATAGATCGGAATATAAACTTTTTTTCAACTGATTGACGCTGTTGACGAGCAAGTCAATGAATGGTAGAAATAATCTATCAATGAGAAGTGAAATATCATAGAGGACACTAGTTAACGTTTTTCGAACAATCAAAAGAAGATTTTTTCTTCTTCAGTTTTGTATTATGATAAATAAAAGTTTTTTTATTAAAGAAATTTAATGTTTATTTATGTAACAGGAAAAAAACGATCGATCTACTTTATTAAAGAGAAAATGTGTCCGAATCGATTTATTTTGTTCTATCGATTGTCAAAATACATAATAGAATAAATTAAACGCCAGTGTAGAGTGAAAGAAAGTAAATGTAGAGTAAAAATATGGGATAAAGAAGAAGTGTTTTCTTTTGTTGAAGTTCTTCAACACATAATAATGTTGCTGCAGAATAAGTTGACCATACAACACCCATTAACTATAATTAAATATGAAAATAATATATAAAAATAAAGAAAAACATACTTTTATAAAAACAGACAAAAAATGTGCTTTCTTTACTACGGGACTTATAAAAGCAACCAAAAGTAAAGGAAGAAGTGAATAACCAATAGTACCAACAATTTGAGAATAGGAGACCTAAAATCAACAGAATTAAATGATGTATATACTGAGAATTTTCGAATAATACTTCTCCGCCAAGAACACGAGCTAAAGTAAAAATTCCGAGTGAACCAAAAATCCAAATTGTTATAATCCATGAGACAACCTTTAAAATGATTTATAAAACAAATTAATAGAAATAAGTTAAATACTTACACGAATTTGACCATAAACTGAGAGTAGAGCAAAACAAAGAACAACAAGTAACTAAATAAAATATTATTTTTTTCAATGAAATCATATGCATTTATTTTTTGTTTACCGGTCCCCAAAAATCTGGATTATCACGTAAAAGTGTTGCTCGTTGTAAAGCTCGACTTGGAATTGGTAAAATAACGCAACGTAATTTAGCAAAAATTTCACTAATATTTATATCTAATTCTTCTCTAAAAAGAAGCTTTTTTTTGTAAAAATTCTTTTAAAAATATTCAAAATTTCTATTACAAGAGTGGTCGATTTTCTTCAGTACTTAAATCATCATCATCAGTAGTTGTATCGAGTAACCATCCATAACCTTGTTTATCTAAGGTACCACCAAGCCAACCACGATGACGTATTTGATTTTCAAAATCATTTTTACCTAAAAAGAAAATCGAATTACATTGAATTCCTATAAGACAAATAAATTTTTTTAAAATTAACCAGCATATCCTTGTGAAGTTGATCCTTGTGTTACATTTGATTGACCATCTTGTGGTAGAGTAAATGCACCACTCACAAATTGTAAATCATCCGATGTTGGTGGATGTTCCGGCATCGAAAGGCCAACATGCGATGGTGTTTGTTCACTAGTAGTCATCATTAATATATCAAAAAAATCTAAAACGAAATATTTCGGAATAAAACTAGATGTAAATTTAAAGTTAATATGTGGTATAATGACCATTAATTCGAATCAAGATGTCCAACTGTGGCGAACATCTCTGTTTACGATTAAATATCAAGATTATTGATGTTTTTTTATAGTACACGAGGGGCGGCTCTAGCTATTCGGCGACTGCCACCCTCTCGAAAATAGTTCCTTCGATAAATACTGAGAATAGGTAGAACACTATAGGTTTCTCTCCTAAAAAGTAATACTACTTTCCACTTTTTTTTTATAAACCGCCACCCCTCATGGATTCTAGGATATTAGTATTCTAATCTTAATCATAATGCTACGTTTAAAACTCGAAGAATAAATTCGTTTCTCGCATTGATAATATTCATACTCTGATATTAATGTACATAAATAAACAATTATTCATAGAAATCTTTTTTCTTTCAAAATACTACTAAATAAACTTATCTAAATTCTATAAGAAACTTTCTAACATATTTCTAACTAACTAACTAAAAACAGTTTAACTATGTAATAATAAATCGAGATTGATAATGATTTTGATGAGCATTGAAAAATAATTGTCTCAATAGACGACGTATTTCTGTACTCAGAAATTGAAGAACTTCATAATGATATTCTAAATGTAAACAAAAATTAAAATATTGTAATGATGATAAATGTAGAGAAATAATTGATGCAAGCCAATTATAATCCGGAATAAGTTCAACAATTTTTGAAACTGATATTATTCGATCAATACTTAATTGTTCAAGATTAGGTACACATTGAAGAAAAATATCAATTAATTGATCATTATAATACCAATCATTTATATCACTATGAATTTCAAGTTTTTTAAGATTAAAATGTTCATAAATATTTGAAAGTTTTAAATAGGATTGAAACATTTTTAATTTAAAATAATATAAATTTGGACATGCATGTAAAATTGATTTATAAACATGATAATCAATTAAACCAATTTTTAATATACGCAATGAAGCTGTTTGTGTCCATGTTAAAATTGTTTCAATGGTTTCAAATCCATATAAATTACAAGATTTTAAGTTTGGAAATGTACTGGAAAAGATTTTTTGATAAATAGGTGACATACCAAATAACATATCTGGTATTGAAAGATATTCTAAATGAGGTAAAATATTATAATTGAGTTGTTCTAATAATTTAGTTGATGGAAAATGCAAAATAAGATGACGAATATTTTTAAAATAATAAAGATTTATATCAATTTCACCAGTTATAGTAAGACTATTAATATAATGAGAGAAAACATTGAAATTAATTTTATAATTATTTTCCGAAATTGTAAGATGATGATTATCAAGAGATTGTATTGTTGTATTAAAACGGAAATTAAGATTATAAAAAGATTGAAAAATATCTACCGTATTTAAATATCTGAATATATTAATCAGAAGTTCATTAGATAATAATTCTAATGTTGATAAACTATTATTCATAAATGAATTTAATCTAAAATGAAATGAATAAAATTCTAGAAAAATTTACAGTAATATCGAGAACAACTAACCATCTAGTGCTAGTAATAATCTACTACCCTTAAAATAATATCAAAAACATATGTAAAACTTTCATTAATCATATTATTATCTCAAGGTTATATATATATTCTCCGATGACAAATTAATATCAGTCTTCTTCGATTAACATATAATAGATTATTCATTGATCTTTTGTTTAATGTAAAAATCGAAAAATATCTGAAGAACGATAATATCTAATGTTCATAGATGTAATACATTTCATTTGGTCACATAACTGAAATAGATCAAATTTTCAAATAAATCGTGAAAGCGATCTTATTCTTTTTTTGTCTTATTTATTCAACTAGAACAAAAAATGACGTACTTATAGAAAGATGACAACAAGTATTTTAGTGCTGTACAATCGTACTTCCCTCTCAATTTCATCAAAACAAATGATGAGATGACTGTTCATCCAAACTATTCACTAAAAATAAAGTCCTTCTAGATATTTTGATAATTATTTATTTCATAACAAAATAAAATAGTTGTCTTTTGACGTACGTATACAAAGTTTTCTATTGCTTAGAGTTATATTCGATATCAAATACAATTCATTTTAAAGAGATGGCGCACTACTGCAATGACAATTAACCATATCATATATACGGTTTCAAGTAAAAAGATGAATACATTGTTATTAATTTTTTTTATATGCTTGAAAAAAAATTATTACGTAAAAGATAAATCACCAACTCGTATTAATATGTTTCTCATAATATAAGAAGAATAAAATTCAGATGTTATCAGTTAGAAATTGACCATGTTCGGTTTAAATGATCACCTTCTTTGTCAAACTATTGAATTTAAATGATTGGCTACTGATGGCTGTCTCATATGAAATTATTCAGTATCTTATAAACGGTAGGACTAGATTTTAGGAACTGAATTATTCTATTTAAGACGACCATTAGTAGTTAGTGTTTCAAATTTAGTAATAGTTTGAAGATGAGAGTGATAATTTAGCTCAAATAAAGTTCGGGTTTTAACTGATAATCAAAAGACAGTAAATTGGAGTATCGGATTGGTTGATCACGCCTGTAGATAACTAACTATCCTAGATACTTTTCACTAAATGCATTATTCGCATTCGCAGAAATAAATGCAGATATATTTTAGTTTTAAAACTCTTGAACGTCATTATGATAAAACATTTTCTTTATCAATTGAGCGAAGGTTCATATGCATTTCATCTGGATTCACATTCTTCGAAGACTAACGTTGATGACACTTCTCAATGCACCAACACTTTTTAGCTTGATCATGCGAAACTTTGTGGAGTTGGGTAGTATCAATTGAGATCATTTTTATAAAATATCTTGGATAGGATACTCGATCTGGTACATTCTCAGTACGACACAGAAACAATATTCATTGTAACACTTATGTATATGCATTTGAAATGAATACAAGTTCAATTTTTAGTTTTAATAAAAAGAGATTTGACAATAACTTTTCTATCTTCACAATCTAAGACTCAGAGCGAATGTGAATCTGGATTTCATGATAGTAATATATTCTCCATAGCACTACCTTTTCATGTTTGACTCGTAACTTCCTATAGATTTTTCTTTCAGAACAAAGAAAATCTGAAGATATTGTATAGACATCATTTAGCATCTTTGAGGGTGTGGGTGTGGTTAACATCAATATGATACACTCACCCCACACCCTTGATTTTTAAACAATTCTTGCTGAAATATACTTTATTTTATCAGAATTAAAAAATAACTTTTTAAAATCATTTTCAGTAACAATATTCCACTTTTCATCAAGTTTATTTTCATTTGAAAGTTCCGAAAAATTTTTAACAAATTCTATTTGGGAATTTGATCCAAAACGTGAAGAACTATTTGCTCGTTTTTGACTATATTCAGCTTGAAGATTTGTACGATGAAATATAAATACATAATTAAGATATGGTGATAATTGACTTTGTTTTAAAATAATTTTTGTTAAACCATTAAAATAAGATCGAAGGTCATTTTTCGTTATTTGTTTATTTAAATTTGATAAATATAAGATTTTCTTGACATCAATTTTATATTGTTTATTGTTTCTTTTTATTATAAATTCATTGTGTTTGTTATTCTCTATTTATTAATCTTATTTTAAATATAAAAGAATAATTAAATTGAATAAACTTACTGATAATTTCTTCATTTATTGATTGATCATTAGATGATGATGGTGTATCAATCATATTTGGTATTTGTTCATAATTTGCAGATTCAGATCGATTATTATCCATAAAAATATCATTTCCAAAATCTTCTGATGAAAATAATTCATTAAGAACTATTTCATTGATTCATTACAAATATCCATTAAGAGATCTTTTCTAAAAATTCATTTTATTTATTTATTTGCATCAATCTTTTAAATAGAACTCATTCATTAATATTAGGAAGAAATGATGTATCTTTGTCTAATATAGAATCTTCATCTAAATAAATAAACTTTTTAAAAATATTCTTAAATAAAAAAAAAATACTTTGATGAGTATTGAGTTGAAGATATTTTTGAATATATCTTTGAATAGTTTCATGATTATATAAATTCAAATCAATTGATTCATCTTTCTTTAAATTTGAAGATAATTTACAATGACATAAAGAAGAATTTTTAGGAAATTCATTATAAAACCAAGATGGTAAAGCAAAATGAATTGCTTCACATAGAATTTCATGTTGAGTAAAACTTTGTGAAAGAATTTCATGCGGATTTTGAGTTACTTTCTTATATTTTATATTATATTTGTTAAATAATAATGGATCAATTAAAATTTCATTATGTCCAAGACATATTGTTGAATTATTGTCCTACTGTGATAATATACTAATAACGAACACCACCTTCATGATGATAATTTAATTGACAAAGATTTTGTTTATTTGAAGATAAAGAAAATATTGCAGCAGGTCCATATGCTTTAATTAATGTTGATGAATATTTATTACAAAATTGTTTTCCAGATAATTTTAAAAGTGATTGATAAGGTAATTGATTACGATGAACACGCTTTCAAAATAATGTTTTACTATTAATAATTCAAATACTTGACATATCTTGTGTATTAAATCCATTTGGTAATAATAACCAAAACATTTTATCACTTATTAAAATATTTTCTTTTATTTGTTTATTCTCATTATCCATTTGTTTAACTTGTTGAATTGTTGAGCATAATAGAACATTTATTGGTATTTTTTTGAATATATTTTTAAAATTTGATGTTGAAATTAATTGAATTGCACTATTTCTTTTAATAATGATTCATTTCATTATCTTTCATTGATATTATTGGAATATCATAAGATTGGTAAATAAATTCAGATATAGATGATGTGACATTTTGATTCGAATCAAGCAGGTCAAAATTGTTTAATTAAACATTTTATTAATTTTTTTTTAATAGAAAAATCAAAAATAATAATTTTTTTCAAAATTATTACATTGACAAATGTTCGATGAAAATAAATTGATGAAAATATCATTGTGTTTCTAAAACCACATTTTTCATGTATAACGTTAGTTAGTTATTTATCGAATTACATTTTTATCTGTTTATCTGACGACATCAAAAAGGGTAATTTCGTTTTTTTTTTATTTTGATCAAGAATATTGGAGAAGTGTTTGTTTTTTCTCATATACCTTATACGAATACAAACGAAATAATAGAAGAAAAAAAAGACATGCTTTTCTTTTCCTTCACAATATTTATTTGTTTTTCTTACCTTGAATACAAAAGTATTTGTATTATGTTAATTGATGTAATTTATCATACAACAAGAAAAAGATAAGAAAAACATTTATTTTATCATGATTTAAATGTCAGAAAAAAACAAAAATATTTTATTTAAGAAAAGGAAATCTTAAATATTTGTCAGTCATTATTATTAATGTATTTAATAAATTATTTTTAAACATATTCACAAAGCACGGGTTTATGTTATTTCGTTGATTTTTCTTTTCTTTTTACCAACTTTTATATTTAATCAAGTGATTTGATTTTCTTTCTTAGTTTTTTTTATTTATTAAAATTACCATTAAAAATGCGTACTGCTTATCGAGGTTTATCTTTTTTAATAAAATAATTATTTTCTTTAATGAAAAGATTTTTCGTTTATCTAGTTATGAATGAAATAAAATAAATTTATTATCAAATGATTCAAGTCAAATCGAAATGTGTTTAATATTTTTTATCATTTAAAGTTATCACCGATTGAAATCATAATAATTCTGTATCATTCATAGTAATTGGATATACATTTTTACTTTTATATATCCAAATGTTATTAAAAACACAAAGTTGATTCCAAATCAGCTTTCATCGCTGATACAAAAACAAAAACTTCGAATTATTGGGAAGTGTGCACTCATCTTCACCCACATCCATACTCACCATCAACCACACGCAGCCTATTATTGTCAGTTACTGTGTAAGAGAATCATTAAATAAAAGGACTACGGCACGAGCTACAGATGATATAGTTGAAATTCAATTATTGATTATATAATTTTATTCGAAGATTCATCATACAAATACAATCATTACAGAATATATTCAACCTAGAGGAATGTAATTACATCAGATTTTGTTGAATGTTAAAATTTTATTGAATTCTACTGTCGAAATACGATACTCTCTTTACTATTATAATAGATATTAATGAAAAAGAGTTCGTCGATTAGATTCTATTAAATCTGATATCGAATTTATTCATCCTGAAAGAAAATATTTAAAAGATATACAGATGTTATCTTATTTGAAAGACTTAAATGTAGAATAATTTGTATATATGTTTATCACATATAATATTATCATTAAATTCGTTCAATAATAGTAAGTCGAGATTGATATTGATTATTATGAACTTTCTTAAAATGTTCTTTTATTTGACTAAGAATATTTTCCATATCATATGTATTTGATAATCCAAAATAGAAAAGCTCGAAATAATAATTAAATGAATGAAGTAATGGTAAATAAGAATTAATCGATGATGATAACCAATCATACGATAGATATCCATTTATATCTGCACAAAATTCAGCATGATAAATACTAAATTGTTCAAGATTGGGTACATATGAAAGAAAATTATTCATTTCAGATAATGTATAAGAATTCCACAAGGGTAATTCTATTATCATTTTTTTCAAATTAACATGTGTTTTATCAGGTAATAATATTCCTTTTGAAATATTTTTAATAAATTTACGATAATATAGATTTGAACAAGAAGATAATATAGCTTTATAGGTAAATATATTAATTTTTCCAACTTTTAATTTACGTAATGATAATGTGTGTGTCCAAGTTTCGAACCTATGTATAACTTCTGCTTGTTGTAAATAAGACGATTGTAAACATGGAAATTCATTTGAGAAAATTTTATTATAAATATTAAATATATTATATGGAAATGATTGTGTTAAAAAATTAATTGAAAGATGTTCTAAATAAGGAAAAGTATGCGTCGAGAGTTGATGGATTTGTCTATAAAATGGAATTGTTAAAATTAAACAACGAATATGTGTAAATTGATCTAATTCAATTTGAATTTCATTAATAATAAGAATAGAAATACAATCTATAGGTATTTTATTGATATTGTAATTAGTTTTAGTAAGAGTAAGAGAAAGATTATTTAATGAATGAAGAAGAATATTAAAACGAGAATTAAGATTATAAAATGCTTGAAAAAGTTCTTGAATATCAAAATACTTAAATATTTCAATTAATATTTCATTAGGAAAATATTCCATTTGATAAATCATCTAAAACAAAAATATATAAAAAAATAAAATTTATTATTATTCTGTAATAAATGTTCGAAAATTATATTCATTTGTTGAACATTGAATTTTAGAAAAACATGGATGAAATTGTCGAATTATATCAATATTTGTTTGTTTATCTTGTGATGCATCATCGATATTACAATCAAATCGTTTTAAATATCGTAAACGATTTAATAAACTTTGTATAAAACGAATAAATGGTACTTTACATAGAAAATTTAATTGAATCCGTTTAACATTTGGAATTAATGCTAAAATAGTATAAACATGATTGAATGATAATTTATGATAAGGATCCGATAGACAAAATTGTTTTAATGGATGATTTATAATTACTGGTGAATTATGAAATATTGATATGGTATCATTTAAAAACTGAATATGTAAATAAACAAGACATGGTGATGAAGCAAGAATAAATGCAATTAAAGTTGGATTTGTACAATGTACAGATACGGAATAGAGTGATGGTGATTGTAACCATATCCGTAGATGTGGTACATGAACAAGACCAAGATCAACAGATCGAATTGATGGCATTTCATTAGAAAATATACGTTGTGCTAATTGTGGCATTAATGAAAATTCAGGTATTGATGATGTCGATAAATAAATAAGATTAGGCATGTATTCGGAACGAATTTGTCGTAATTGATTACCAGTTATTTGATGTAAAATAAGTGATTGTAAATACGGAAATTGTCTAAGATCTATATCTTGCCATGTATTAACTACTAAACGATTTATTTGATTGGAAAATAGATGAATTAAACTTGATTCATTTCTTTCAAGATTTAATGAAAGTTTTTTTAATGATTGTAAAAGATAATTCAATCGTTTATTTAATCCATAAAAACCATAAAATAAATCTTTAATATCAATATATTCAAAAAGATCAAGTAGAATTTCATTTGGAAGTGATTCAATTTTAAGCACAATCATCTACAAATAGAAATAACAGAATATTTATTAATCATTGATTACATATACATTACAAGAAGAAGAAAAACTGACTACATTAATTAAGAATAAGATAAGATTGATAGAGATTTTTATGAATATGTTTAAAATTAATTTTCATATGATTAATATTATCTTTCTTAATATTTTTAATATCAAGAATAGAGAGATAATATTTAAATCGATGGAGTTTTAATAAATAAGTATGAATTGAACGCGCAAACCAATGATAATTTAAATAGTCATTTATATTTACTTCATAATTTAATTCATTTATAGTTAATTGTTCTAAATTTGGTACACATGATAAATAATAATTCATAATATAATCTGAAAATGTATGAATTAGACTTTGAAATCGAATAATTATTTGTTTAAGATTGAAATGTAATTTAATAGGATTGAATTCTTCTTGTTCACGATGATTTATTGTAAATTGAAAAAAATATAAATTAGGACATAATGTTAAAATATCTGTATAAGTTAACATATCAATCATATCCATTTTTAAAATAGTTATTTGAGTTGATTGTGTAAGATCTGATATAATATCAAGTATTCTTGGTTCAAATAATGAACAAGATTTTAAACAAGGAAAACCATTGGAAAATATTTTCTGACATATTTCAGGAATATAATCTATATAAAGATAATGTTCATATCCAATTGTTAAATGTTCTAAATAAGGTAAAGTACTAAATACAATTTGTTTTAATTGATTCGATGTAGGTTCAATAAGATTAAGACGATGTAGGTTTGTAAAATTATTTAAATCAATATCAACTGTATTATATATTGTTAACGTATAGATATATGAAGTAAATATAATATAATCATTAATTTCAATAGATTTATATTTTAATAAAGTAAACGAAAGATAATTAAGTGATTGAAGTAATGTATTGAAATGATAATTAAGATTATAAAAAGCTCGAAATAGATCACGAGCATCAAAATATTGAAATATATACATAAGAATTTCATTAGGTAAACATTCTAATCGAGATAATGGATTATTCATAATTTGTATCATAATCTAAAAGAAAAACATTAAAATTTTTTACAATTAGTCAACAGACACATGTGTCTTACCAAGGGGTAAACAACAGAGACTTCATGCATGAAGTCTCATGAAGTCTTTTGAAATCTTAGGAGTCTACTGAAATTTTAGAAGTCTTTTGAAGTCCCTTGCGGTTTTGAAATCTCTTGAAGTCTGTTAAGTCTCTTGTAGGCTTTAGAAGTCTATCGAAGTCTTCTGAAATTTTTTCAAGTCTTGAAGTCCGCTGTTTTCCTCTAGTATCTTATTATATAAAAATAAATACTTATCGACCTTCCGTGATTCAGTTAGACTAATTTGTCATTGGAAAGCTGAGGATGTGAGTATATTTTGACATACTGCAATCCACCCACAGCCTTGCTAATAAATATTGCAAAAGATTATCAATAATATTAATCTATAAAAAAAGGAAAATAGTATTATCATGATTATCAAAAAATATATTTGATTAAAGCAACAAATCATATAAAAATTGATTAGTGATTTAAAATCGAAAAAAAAGGAATGTGTTTTTTGTGTATTAAATTAACTGTGCTCGAATGATAATAAATCGAGATAGATATCGTTTATGATGAGCAATTTTAAATTTTCTTTTGAATTCATTAAGAAGCAATTCAATATTTGGTTCCATGATTCTCTCAATATCAAAAATATGAAAATAATAATGAAATTGATGAAGACAAGGTAAATGACAAGCAATTATAGATGCAAGCCAATCATTTTTGTGTGAGAAAATCATACTTGGTTGATGAACACTTAAATATTCGAGATTAGGTACATATGAAAGACAAATATTCATATCATCATCAGTCCAACGTTCAACAAATGCTGTTGTTCGAATTACTATTCGTTTAAGATTCAGATGTGGACGAATACGAATAGATGTATTACTGGATATTATTGTTGCTAATTGAAGAAAATATAAATTTGGACAAGAAGATAAAATAGATTTGTAAATAAATAAATCAATTTTTCCAATTTTTAATATATATAAACATGGTAATATTGTCCATTGTGAATTTTTTACAATTGTTCCCCATTCAAGTAAATGACAAGATTTGAGTTTAGAAAAACTATTCGAAAAAACTTTATCACATAGATTTGGAATATAATTCAAAACAGAAACATGCATATGATTAACGGAAAGATGCTCGAGATGAAGTGAACTATTAGAAATAAGTTGAGCTAATAATTGATCTGTTGGATATCGAAGTGTAAGTGAACGAATTTGCATAAAACGACATAAATTAATATCAATAGCACGATCTATGATAAGACTACGTATATAAGGAAAGAAATCATTATTATTATTATTATAATTTGTCAAAAGATTAAGTGTAAGATAAGGAAGTGATTGAAGTAGATTATTAAAGCGGGAATTGAGATGATAGAATGCTTGAAAAAGTTCTGGACATTGAAGAAATTCAAATATACTAGCAAAAATTTCATTTGGTAATGATTCCAATTGCAAGAGATTGTTATTCATGATCATTTGTTTTTCGAATAACAATCTATAAATAAAGAAAATAAAAAAAATCAATCGACGGACAGCATTTAAAATAAATATTTTCTAACTATCAAAAAGACTTTTCATCATGATCATCATACCGTATGGATCAAGTTAACCCTTTAACGGGCGGTGGGACATATATCTATGAGGGTGTGAATGTGGGTGTCGGTGCGGGTGTAGATACAATGGCAAAACTCAGAGTCACAACTACAGCCGCACCCATCCATATTCATACCCTAATAATCTGCATCAAACCTATAATTCTATGCGAAAAAAATTGACAAAACTTGCTCATCCAAAAGTCACCCGTGAAAGGGTTAAGTGTGAACCAAATTTGGACTTTACGGATATCTAAGTTTTCGCGCAAAAACTCTAGCTGAAAACTGTAATCATCTGTTTTTGACTGCTCTAATAGATACTCTGCACCGTGTTGAGTCAACTGGTGATACTCAGGAAAAAAAGCACATAGTTACAAGTTACAATTTGTCGAAAACTTAACGTGTCGTATGTTGTTTAGCATCCTAATGTAATCATTCACAAATCTAAAATAATAAAAATATATATACATTTAACGTATCTGAATTAAAAATATTCGCGAAAAAACATTTTTGTTTTTATATATAACTCAATATATCATATAAATAAAAATACATTCTATCACATTTTAATTATTGCAATATATTAAGATTAAGTTTTGATCGATATCGATTATTATGTATATTTTTAAAATTTTCGATCATATGATTAAGAATAGATTTATTATCGAATTGAAATGATTTTTTTGTACCAATAAAAGATAAATGAAATTGAAATTGTTGAAGTAATGGTAAATGTTGATTAATAATTAAAGCAAACCAATCATATTTTAAATATTTTTTAATATTAAATGCATAATTCATTTGATATATAATTAATTGTTTTAAAGCTGGAACACATGATATATAATCATTAATATGAAAATTATTATCTGAAGAAACAATATCGTCAAATTTAATAATCAGACGTTGAAGATTGAAATGTTCTTTTATAAAACATGCTTCTTTCCATGGAAAATAGATTGTAAATTGTAAGAAATATAGGTTTGGACATGTTAATAATATAGTTTGATAAGTTGAAAAAGTAATATGATCAACTCTTAAAAAATGTAGTTCAATTGATTTAATAGAAGTTAATGGTATGTAGATTGTTTTTGGTTCAAATAAATCACAAGATTTTAAATATGGAAAACCATTTGAAAAAATTTTCTTACATAAATTAGGTAATTCATTAGAGAATAGAATATGTTTATAACCAATTGAAAGATATTCTAAATAATAACAAACATTCGATTCCAATTGTTTTAATTGTTCATAGGATGGTACTAATAATTCTAAACGACGAATATTTGGAAAATCACTTAGATTGATATTAGCTTTATAACCTAATTTTAAAGTATAAATATTAGGCATAAGATTTTTGTAATAGTTTGTTTCGAAGGGATGAAATTTCAGAAGAGTAAGACATAAATATTGAAGTGATCGAATTAATGCATTGAAACGAATATTAAGATTATGAATGGCTTGAAATAAATCAGAAGCATCGAGATATTTGAGTATATCACATAATATTTCATTAGGTAAATCTTCCAAACAAGATAGATTATTATTCATTGATCTAAAATGAAAAATATTCTGTTATTAGATAGTTGTTCAATGTAGAAATCATTTCGTGATCTTATTTTACATAGAATAAGAATTCTCTAAATCGATATAATTTAATTTTAAAATTCATAACATAAATAGAGATGAATCTGCAAAAGACTATGTTTTATTAAATATCTATAGTCAATTATAATTTGCCTGAAGATATCTAACCTATATTAGATAGTAATACATTGTTTGGTTTGAACATTTGAGTTATTACACTCGATTTTTGTTGGAAGGTAAACTGCAAGAAAATAAATTCATAGTATTAAATGATTTCAATTAAAGAGAATCAACTTGTTCAATTTTCTAGAAATTTTAAAGAACATCTGGAATTGAAAATAGGTAAATCTAGAAGTCTTATTGATATCAAATACATCTTCTAAATAATTTTTTTCATATTTCATAAATTAATGCCTTACGATAGAATCATTTCAGCTTGTTTTAGATCAAAATAAGTCTTAATGAGACTTACTAAATTTTTTATTTCAACTATGATATTTTTGAAACTATCAAAAGAAAGACTTTTGATATAAAATCGAGGGGGAAATAGCAGAGACTTCATGCATGAAGTCTTATGAAGTCTTGAAAGTCTTTTGAAGTCTGTGAAGTCCATTGAAGTCTCTTGTAATCTTTTAAAGTCTATCGAAGTCTTCTGAAATCTTTTGAAGTCTATCGAACTCTTGAAGTCTGCTGTTTCCCCCTAGTATAGAACACTAGATTTTAACTGTGCTTTTATAATAGGCTACCTTAAATACAAATAAATCGTATGATCCTAGTATCTCTAAAGGCATATGTTTTATAGTTCGAAAGACAGATTAAATAAAATCTGATATTAAAATTATTATTAACTAATCAATAGAATAAAAACCTGCTTTATAATTACTTCTATGAATGTTGAATTATTAATCGAGATTGATATTGATCATGATGAGATTCTATAAAATTGTTTTTAATTTGATTTAGAATTTTTTCTGTATCATATTCAGTTAAATTTTTTGGTGGGAAACAATGTAAATAAAAATAAAATCGATGAAGTGTTGGTAAATGTGCAGATATAATTGATGCAAACCAATCGTAATTAAAAAAAGATTCTGTTATTCTTGAAATATAAAATAAACGATGAATATTTAATTGTTCAAGATTAGGTACACATGAAAGATATTTATTAAATAAATTATCATTCCAAGGCCAAATAACATCTCCAACATGAATAACTAATCGTTTAAGATTATCATGTATTGGAATATTTGATAAGAATTCTTCCGAAGTAAATATAGATAATTGAAAATAATATAAATTAGGACATAGAGATAGAATAGTTTGATAAATTGATAGATTTATAAATCGAATTTTTAAAATACGAAGTGAAGGTAAACACATTAATCCATTATTTGCAGGAAATATATCTAAATAAGAAAATTTTGAACTTAAGAATGTATTTGTTAATACATTACCTATGTATACTAAATTAAGTTTTTCTAAATAAGGAAGTACATTAGAACAAAGTTGTTGAAGTTCTTGATTTGAAGGCCATTCTAATTTAAGATGTCGAATATTTGAAAACTGAGTGAGATTAACATTAATACCAGAATCAACACGTAAAGTATAAATAAATGAGCGGAATATATCATTATTGTTAATTATATTATTATTATTCATTTTATTTAAATAAAACACAAGTTTTAAATGATGAAATGATTGTATTAATGTATTTAAACGTATATTAAGTTTATAGAATGCATGAAAAAGTTTTTGTGCATCAAAATATTGAAACAATTCGATTAAAATTTCATTTGGTAATAATTCAAAACAAGCTTGATGGTGGCTCATATCTCGATTAAACATCTAAAATAAATGAAAAGAGAATTCATTTCTTATTATCACTTCAATTCAATGAGAATTTAAACAATTTATACTTTTATAAAAAAAAAGTCATTCATGAACGTGCGCGTGTAGGTGAGGATATTCTGTTTCACCCACATGCAACTGTACAATTAAAATCTCTTCTATTTTTTCTATGATTATTCCACATTCATAATAATGAAAAAGAAAAAAGTATAGAAAATAAAAAAACAATATTCTCTATTCATTCTAATAAAAATCTTCGAGATCCGTTATCATTTTCAATACATTCTAGATATTGAAAAGATTCATTCATTTGTTGAATAGTTTCAACATTAACCATATGATTATTTGGTGATTCGAAAATATCACATTCAAATCGTTCTAATTGTCCTAATCGATTTAGAATACTTTCAATAAGATTAATAAATGGTACACGACATAAAAATTGTAAATTTAAATATTTTACATTTGGAATATAAAGTAAAAGAATTTGAATTGTATCACATGTTAATTTATGATACGGATCAAAAAGAGAAAATTTCTCTAATAAATGATTATAGGATGGTGATGAAGGTGGAAGTATATGACAATTTTGCCCAAAAAATGTTATAGAAAAACGAATTAAATATGGACATGCTAAAAGTATTTGTGGAATAATATTTGAATTTATACAAGTTATACATAATGAATTAAGAGATAATGATTGAAATTTTGAATTGAATTGAAAATGATCTAATCGATTGAGATTTACATAACGAAGTAAACGAAAACCATTTGAAAATATATCATGTATTAATTCTAATGGTAATGATATATGAAATTTTGTTGATATCGTAAGATTAACTAAATTTGACATTTGATTACATTGAATTTGTTCGATTTCATTACTATTTGCATTATATAGTTCTAATGTATGTAAATTAGAAAAATGAGTTAAATCAATCGGTTTTGTAGTATTAATTTTTAATCGATTTATTTGATGAGCACAAAAATCAAATGGTAATAAATTTTCATTTTGAATTATTAAAGGAAGATTATTGAGTGATTGAAGAAGATTATTAAATCGTTGATTTATTCCCCAGAAACTATGATATATATCCAAAATATCAAAATATTCAAATATCTCGAAGAATAATTCATTTGAAAAATCTTCCAAATGCGTAGACAACATATCTATAAAAAAAGAAGAAAAGGGATGGATTAATATGACCGTTAAAAATTCTATTGGAATAGAAATTTGTCTTGTTATCTCTGAATATTTTCGTTCATGTTTACTATATATTAGCGAGGTTCTGAAAGACGCGGATGAGGGTTCGTTTTGTTTCCAAACCTCCATCCACATCTTTCGCATATCCCTATTAGCAAATATTTATAAAGTTGGCGGTGAACAATGAATATTCACTTCTTAGGATTCATTTGTATACAATTTAAGATAAAGAATAAAAATGCGTGATACTTTTATCTTGGTTATTTTTTAATTATAAAGCAGCGTTTATATATAAATATAAATTAGTTTATTTATTTGTAAAAATTTTAATAAATAATTCATTATCTGAATATTTTTCATAATTGATTTGATTGAAGCATGAATGTAAAGAATAAATATCTTTTAAATCAATTTTACATTGATTTTTAATAATAAATTCACAATTAAAACGACAAAGATTTGGTAGACGACATTTAAATATATATGCTAATTCTTTAAAATTCCATTGAAAAGAAATCATATGTGAATCAAAATAAGATGAATAAAGACTAAGAAATGTAATAGTTGGAATGTAAGCAAGAAATGAATCTAATTTTTCTAATGTCCATAAACCATATAAATGTAATTTTAAACATTTTAAATATGAATGTTGAGAAATAATTTGATTATCGAGAATGTCATGTGTTGGTAACCAATTAAGATATAAATGAAATGATATTAAATGTGTTAACGCATGTAATATTCGTTCAACAACTATACGTGGATTGTCTGACCAAACACTTAAGATTTTTATAGATGGTGAACCAGTCCATTGTTGATTAATACTAATATTATT